GGGGGGGGGGGTCCCGTCGGCAGCTTGGGTACCTGTCCGTCGTCGTCGTCGTCGTCTTGTCGCGCCTTACGGAGTGCAGCTTCCTACCTACCTACCTACCTTTCTCGGACGCACAGGACCCACTTGGACAGACACTTTGTTTATTGATCTTACTACTTTGCTGCGCGCTTCGGGCCAAGGGCGCGGGCTGAGCTGCCTACCTTTTCGGATTCTCGTGTCGTCATTGGAGGAGGGAGGGCCCTGTAAGTTCCGGTGGGAGGAATCTTTGTGAGGGGTAAAAAAGGGCGGCCGCGACGAATGCGACAGAGCGGGCCTTTTCTTGCGTGTGCTGATCTTCTGAGGGTGTGTGTCATGCATTTTTTTTTTGAAGAGGCTGGCTGTATACAAGTCTGTGTGCCTGGCAGATTGTAAGGGGGAAACAAGGCGAGTTTGATTGCCCGTCCCCTGCATGCAGGGCCAATTTAAAGTCTTGCACCAGCACCGGCGATGAGCTCATCGAGACCCTCGAAGCCGTCGCTCCGAGAGAGATGACGCAAACGACTCTTCTTTTCATTTGTAGAACCGTTGCATTTACCATTTTTTACTATCTAGGATTTTTTATGTGTTCATCCACTGTACCATATCCTCGTACATCATCTTTCCCGACCATCCCAACCAGAGCCCAAGGAAAAGCCAATAACAAATGAAACGGTCATAATACACATTCGTCCACACCTGCAAAGATGTGACAAATCCCATGAAAGCCCCATCCCCTCCGCCAGAATATCATTCGCTGAACTTGTCCGATGCGAGTTCCAGGACCGAAAAAGACGTTGGGTATTTTTCCTTTGCTCCGTTGAAGCGCGAGAAAAAACTTAGAACGATGATCCGATACCAAATGCGCCGTACCTACCCATTCGTGTACATCGAGACCGAGACTCTTCCTTCGCCTGCTTCGTAATTCATAGTGTGTCGTGTATGCCGCCGAAACATGCGAGAAGGAGAGACGTCTCAAGCCCGTTACCCTCGTGTATCCAAAACTCCCAACTAAACATGTAGAGTGGAAAAGCAGTGTCAAAGAAACTGCATGTCAATGTGTCAAATCCTCCAATGTAGCAGACATTTCCCTGTCATCTTACTGCGTCCCACTCAGGAAGAAGTCCAGTTCGCTGGGGCCACCCCTACTCTGTTCGTTCTCCGCCAACTGCTCGAGGAGAGTCAAGAACGGGTCCTTCTCCGAGCTCGTCTCCGTATGGCTGCTGCCCGCTGCGCTAGCAGCACCTGGCGTTCTTTGTTGCTCGTATGGAGTCGGCATGCTAAACATTGGGTCGTAATGTCCCTCATTGCCGTTTTGATTCCTCGACGCACCACTCGGATCCGGTGTGAATGCAGCCGAAAAGTTGAAGCCAGGCGAGAACGGTGTGATGACTTGCTGCGAAAAAGCCTGGAGGTTTGAGCTGCCATCGTTGTTGCTTACCCCGATGCTGAGATGGTTTTGATTTTGCTGTTGTTGCTGGGGTTGACGGTGCTGCTCCTCAGGCGAGGCAGTTTGCTTGTTGGTAGAGCCGGTTTGATCGTTCGATACAGAAGCCGAAGCACCGGCCACGTTTCCAGCCTCCTCGGATTTAATGTTGGGGTTGTTTGAGCCGATATTGGTGGTGGAATGCCCCGACGTTGAGGAAGCTACCGTGCATCGGCGTTTCCGGCGCCGCTCTAGTGGACTCGTCGGAGACTGGTTGGGTTGCGACGGGAGTAGCGGAGGTTGGGCGGGCAAGGGGAAAGAATTGGCCCCATAGTAGGGATTCTGTGGGGAAGCCGTGTACAACGACACACTGTTTTGGGTTAGCAAGGTAAGATGCGGGCGTCGGCTGGGTGAAACATACCTCTCACGTATAGAGTCGTGAGAAAGATCTTGGAACGTGACGTGTGCTCCATCAAGAGCATGACCAGGGTACCTGTCAAAAAAGTCCTCAAGATCCAAGGTTGGTGAAAATCGCATTGCGTTGCCGGCCATGGACTTGACAAGTTCGGAGTGGCAGCCGTAGATCCACTGAAGGGTATCCCGCTGATGTTGCACACCAGCCCAGATGAAGCGAAGCTCCGCGAGCTGTTGCATCTCCCTGGAAAGAAGTTCCGGGCTTGTGGAGTAGACTTCTCCCTCGCGGCCCCGGTAATGAGCTCCGTGCACGTGGATGGTGCCGGCTGTACCGACACAGTAGCCAACAAAGGCCGGCCAATCAATGATAGACGATGCCCTTCCGATCTCCACGAGCTCCGCGATCGCGTTGGCATGGAGAAAGCACAGGTTTGTTGCCTCAATCTGCCACGACTGATGCTGGCCGGTGATGGACAGTTCGGCGAGGTCCATGGGAAGGAACGGCCGGTAAATCAAGCAATGGATCAAATGATACACCAGTTTGCTCAGGACAAGCATGGTGCTTTCTCGATGCCCAAACAGATTCTCCAGCGAGCTGAACGTGTCCTGAGTCTCCGATGCCCACATGTCCAGCTCATGCCGAATCTTCGAAAGATTCGACAGCGAGTGCCATGGGAAGTGGGAGTCGCCCTTCACACCACCCGCAGCGAGATACCTATTCGTTATTCCGAGGATCCGCGCAATACCGATCAGCATCACCGTACTGCTCTGGCCTTGCTTGCCCGGTCCGGCCATGTACTGCAGGTTCGAGCCGTTCCGGAAGAAGTCGCCCTCGAGCATCAAAGATCCCGGTCCAGATGCAGCTGAAGGGAGGCGGAGCATGACCGCTTCATCTGTGATGAGAGAAGGCCTCTTCGATCCGCAGGCGGAAAAACGATCCATCAGGTAGCATGCCCAAAACAGGCGTCGGCGTCCCTCGCGTTCTGAAGGCGGGATATTTAACATCAGGGGCATTTCCCGGTGGAGCTCCAGGGCGAACGCCATGCTGATTGCAGTTGCTGAATTGCGGTTAGCCTCGTACCGCGGAGTCGCTTTGTAGTGGCTTACTCAAAAACATGTACGCTTTCTTTCCACGTCCGGATTGATAACTAGCCATGGCAAGCAGAAGTAGCGTTTGCAGGGACTCTATCGACGGTTCGTCCGTATCGAGTTCGGCGCGGGCGCGAGCCGCATAGTCTTCGGCGGAACGGACCGCGGCGCTGTAGCCTGCAGGGTGGGACGTGTATCTGCGAACGTTAGTGAGGAAAAAGAAACAACCTGCATACAGACCCTCCCCCTGCACCCGGTGGTTGCATGCGTGACGCAGGACATGAATACGAAATCTTCACGCTCAAGCACCCGTAGACATGGAAGCGGATCAAATCCCGGATACGAGATCCTGGCACCTTCGCCCAGGACCAGGCACAAAGGAAAGGAGCACCATGGATGAAGCATTCGTAGTCATTCCCGGGACGCGCAGACCACCGGCGGCGGGACGGCTGGACGGCTGAGGGTGGAGAGATGCGGGGCTTACCGCGCGCTCACTGCATAGATGGCATATGCTAGGTGGCTCGGGAGCTGGTGATGCTGCAGACGTTGCCGCGTGGTGAGTTCGTCCAAAATGTAGTAGGGTTTGCCGTGGACGCGTGCGAAGTAGGTGTCGAGCAGAATGTCCAGGCGCTGAAAAGGAGTCGGTTGACTGCACATGACCCATGAGCATACGAAAGCCACAATCCCGGACTGGCTGACCCGGCATACCTGACATCGGTAGGTGAAATGGAGGTTGTTGAGATGCTAGCATTTGGATTGATGCCTATCGATGGTTTCTGTGCTAGCGGGGGAGAGTGTTGCGGTGGCTTGGAGGGCGGCGGCGGGGCGCTGAAGTCCTCGATGGGGGTGTCATTCTTCTTGTCGGAGGGTGGCTTGTCTTTGCTCTCTTCATGGAGGCGTTTCTCGAGGCTGTCGACACGCTTAAGGAGTGCCTCTGGTGGCGGTTGTCAGCTCCCCTGGCCTAGGGATTGTCTTCGGGGGGCAGCGTTTCCTCACCGATGGCATCCGTTTTGGGGCCGCGCTTTTTGGGGACGGCGTCTAAAGGTGAGGTTATAGGTGATCAGCATTAATGGTCGGTTGGGATGCAATAGGACGATCACTATGGGGGAGGGGCGCCAAGCCCGCGGCGGAAGGACGAACCATAGATACACGGGCACTCGAAGACCTTGCAGGCCTCGCACGTGGGACGCAGGCGGTTGCACTTGATCTTCAACTGGAGTGAGCTTTCTCTCTCTCTCTCTCTTTGTCTCTCTGTCTCTCCGTCGACGTTCCCGGGCACGGCGTGTGTTCGGAGGCGGTACCTTGCGCTTGCGGCAGCTCTTGCAGTTCATTGCCTCCCTCGGTTCGGTGCTGAGCCGGCGCTGCGGCAGGCGGTCGATGCCGACGGCGGGCCGCGACATGTTTACCGTTTACTGGCGGCGGGGGCGGGGTTCAGTAGGCGGCTTCGAAGCTTCTGCTGGCGGGGCGCTCGGCGGGCTGGGGCGGCGGCGGCGGAGCAGCAGACATGGCAATGTCCAGCTGGGCGGGGGTCTTGGGCGGCTGGAGGCGGGCAGAAATGGACGAGAGAGAGAGAGACTGACGAGATGAGCTGGAGAAAAGAAGCGGCGCAGAGCCAGGCCGGCGTCTCGCGCAGTAGTAGACGAGACGGCCAGGCGCGCTGACACGGGCGAGCAGACGGACCAGGGCTCTTCGTCACTGCCGCTAACTATAGAGCAGGAAATGCACGCCCGCACCGCGCGACTCAGGACTCGGGATGATATTAAATGGGACGCAGGTGCCTTTTTCCCCACCCACGAGCGCTGCCCGCCCCCGGGGCACACATGCCCGCTGCGGCCTAGCGGCCTGGGGTTGGCGACGGCACATGACGATCTGACAGCGCTGCACCAGCGACGCGCCAGCGGCCGAAGCGGCTGCAGCAGGAGGGCCCGGTGGGCGTGCGTGCTTGCTTCGAGAAGGAGCAGCGGCGCCGCGCCGAGACGAGGCGGCGGCAGGCGAGGCAGGCGAGGCAGGCGAGGCCGCGAGGGGCGGCGCGGCGCCCCCAGTAAAAGACGCACCAGGAGCACCAGGTGCCAGGAAACCGCCAGCCGCCAGCCGCCAGCCGCCGGCCGCCATGAGCTGCCCGCCCACGCGGGCGAAATTAAGTACCGACGCTCCCTGCCCGGCTGCGCTTCTTGTTGCATTGATGAGGGCCGCCGCCCGCAACCGGCAAGGCGCCCGATGCTCGCCGCAAAATGCGGGGGAGGCCAGCCATGCTCTGCCTCGCGTGTCAGCCGCCCTGGCACCACCGCCAATTTGCCCAGATTAATCAATCGCCTTGCCACCGCGCTCCGCTCCGCCACGGCGCACATGTTCTGGAAGGTCGAGCCCAAGGGGCGCACGTGGGCTGCAGCTGCCGGCCAAGGGCTTCATCTATAAGACTTTGGGTTACGTCGCGAGAGCGAAGGCGTCTACTGTGCTGTGTACCATCCATTGATTAGCAGGGACTGCCCGCCGAGCCCCCGAACCCCCGAACCCCCGAACCCGTCCCTGTGTCCCTGTGTCCCTCCCCAGCCCGCATCCCCGTCGGCGCCTAAAACCTTCAGAACAGGCTCCGCCCTGACGCCAGCCGCACGAAATCGTAAGGCACGTTCTGCCCCACGAGCAGCCGCATCGTTTCCACCGTCGTCCATGCATTGACGTCCGCCACGCCGTATGCCGTCCACCCCGACGACGCTGCAATCGCCATTGGGTCGACCTTGCGCGGCCCGTTGGCCAGGTCGACAAACACCTTGTTCGTCGGCTCGGCCGTCCCGGTGCTGCTATAGTGCTTCAGCAGCGGCCCCACCAGCGCCGACTTCTCCGCCGGCAGCGCGCTGATGATGACGAACGGCTGCTCCACCCGCTTCACGTCCTCGACCGACCGGAAGGGCTCGACGTCGGCCGCCAGCGCGCCCGGGCTGCGCATGTGGAAGCCAATCGTGTATATGGGCCCGATGCCCAGGCTCTTGAGCGCGAACATGGCCGCCGCCGCGTCCGCCTCCGCACTGGCCAGCACCAAGGCGGCTCGGTCGCTGTAGGCCGACGGCACGAAATCACGCGTGAGCGTCGCACGGATGCCCTTCCACGTCGCGTTCTCACCGACAAGCACCGGCGTGCCGCCCTCCGTCCGCACCAGGACGGTGTCGACGAGTCGAGTCGCCTTGGCCGCCTCCGACAACACCGTCAAATACGGGGTCGGTGGCGCGAGCGGCGGGTTGATAAAGGCACCACCGAATGACGCACGTCTCACGACCGTCTCCACCGCCCCCCTGGCCACTTTGTCGACGAACAGGAACCGGTGCGGCAGGCTCAGCTCGTTGAAGCACTTCTCGAAGAACATTGCCTGTGTCGCGAGTTTGTAGCTGCCGATGCCGTAGATGTCCAGCTTGGGCATCTGGCCCATGCTGTGCAACGCCAGGTTGATTTCCGCCGCGCTTAGCTGCCCCGGCGCCGCAATCATCGGCAGCAGCGGATGTGTGATAGGGGTGAAGACCTTGTTCAGCGTGCGCGACAGCTGGCCGGTGGGGCCCATGTTGAGTCCGGAGAAGGGCGGGTGCGGGAAGAACTCGGCCTGCACGGTCGAGCGAAAGTACTCCAGCTCGTAATTGTCTTGCATCTGGTGGACCAGCGCAATCATCTTGACGACGTCCCCATACACGGTGCCCCTTTTGAAAAGCTCCTTGGCTTCCGGCGACGTCCACTTGAAGGTGCCCGAGAAGTCGTGGAAGGCGGATATAATCTTGCTGGCCCCCTTCTTGTGGGCCAGCTCTCGCCGGATCTCTTCGGGTAGCCACAGCTCGACGTCGATGTACTCGCAGCCCCACTGCATGGCGCGGTACAGGTATTTGTAGAACAGCATGGGGTCGTCCATGGGGAACCTGCCGTTCTCGTTGGTGCATCTTGTCGTGAAGATGATGGGGAGCTCGGTCCGCTGGCGTAGGATCATGAGTTGCTGGCCGACGTATTTGAGGCTCGGGACCGTGCTGAAGGAGCCGTCGGCCAGCGGCTCCTTGAGAAGATCGACGCGCAGCTCGACCGCATCGGCGCCAACCGAGAGGATGTCGAGATTCGGCAGGGCGGCATGGACGTCCGGGAAGGTGGTAGAGATGAGTGTCGTTCTTGCCTTCTTGGCGAGGTCGTTGTGGGGCGCGATCTGCCCGAGGATGAAGGCGAGATAGCGGGTGACGTCCCGTCGGAGGAACGGGGAGCGGGTGTAGAGATACTCGTAGTCGCAAGCTTCGGAGAGGGCTTCGCTGGGGGCGGAGTCGTTCTCGACGCAGTGGGTATTTATGAGGAGACGTCCGCGACTCCGCTGCGCCAGCTGGCTTGGGTCCTGCGCGCTCAGGAGGCCGGCGACAGTCGCAGGCTTCAGCGCCTCGGCTTCCCTCAGCGACGCGGCCAGCGAGTAGGCCTGGCCCAGCACGCTCGCTATCAGCTCGACAATGGCCTCCTCGCCCGGCGCATACAGCACCGTCAGCGACGGCTTCGCATTGTCCAGCAGCGACTCGATGTGCACGACGCTGAGGCTCTTGGTGGTGGTATCGAGGACTTGGTCGGCGTGAACTTCGGTAGCCATGGCTGGCAGGCCGGCGTTGACGCGCATTCGACCAGGCACGCAGGCGCAGAGAGGGGGGCTCGAGGGAGGGAAAAGGGCGGGTTGGAGCTGGAGCTGGAGCCGGAGCCGGGGGGTGCCTCAGGAATAGACGTTATAGCCGTTGATGCGTAGTTGGAGTTCGGCGATGATGCGGCGTTTGGGATCGGGCTGTTGCGCGTCGAACGTCGCGAAGCGCATCTCCATATGCAATTCGGGGAAAGCGAGGTAGCGCGGGCGTGGAGCTGCGTCTCTCTTGACTGTCAGGCCTGACGGGGAATTCGGCGATAGGTCTGCGGCCTGTTACATGGCCATATAGAGGGCGCGAGCAGGGATGCCGGGCAGCGTGACGGCGGCGGAGCTTGGGGCGGCGCAGGCCAGACGGCAATCGAGCGCTGCGCGCGATTCGACGGTGCACGCTGCGCTGCTCGAGCGATGAATATTGCCGACAACGAGACACAATCGACGGGCGGACTGGCGGTTTGCACGCTGCACGGGCGCCGTGCGCCGCGCGCCATGCTACGGTTGAAGATCCTGTCGGCCTTGCTTTCCTCCACGAACCCCGTCGATCCGTTCAGCCTGATATTTCTCCGCCAATAGACGGCCTGCCCCGCACCTCCGCAAAAACAACTTCGCACGTGCATCCCCAGAACGCTGCCATGCTCCTCCAATCCGCCCAATCCGCCCAATCCCAGCGCCGCCAGCGCCGCCATCGCCGCCCTCACCCGACCGGTCTTTACCCGCCTCAGGCCCAGCGCCCGCCGGCAACCAGAGCCCGGCAGTTCCAGCACGCCGCCCAGCGCGGGCGGATAAATGGGCGCCTAGGTACACGCGTATCAGACACCGAGCCGGCCTGCCCAACGACACGGACAGCGGGCGCCATGCGCGCTTGTCGGGTGCAGAGCTCCAGATAAGACGCCCGCATGGCGCCTTGCCTGGCAAGCGAGCACATCACGATGCTTAGCCTGTTTGCTTGGTGCTACGACGCCGCTTTGAGGCCGCTCCACCTGTCGATATAGGCAACCCAAGACCACCAAGACGCCTTGAAGCGCGACAGCCAAGATTCAATTTTCGTCATTCTCGTCTCAGCCTATATTACATACCGCCCGCACTTTCCCTGAAATCACCCGCTTCCCTCCGCTTCCCTCCGCAAGAGCCGGAAACGACTGCAGAGGCCGACTCTTTCCTGCTTTAGCCTCAATCACCACGAAAACAGCTTTGACCCGCCACAAAAACAAAAAAAGACCGCGACCAAAAGTCTAGATGCGTGTATGATACAAGAGACAATCAGCCTTGACCCGCGCGGAGCATGCGCGCCGATCTTCCGCGCACCAAAGACAGCACCATCCCTCGGAGCCCGCCGAAATCCCCAGCGTCGTCTGCCAGATGAAAGAACGAGAAGCGGAGAGGAGTCTATGTCGTTGTGCGCCAGCTGCCAATGTGAAAACCACGAAACTCTCAGGTGTGCATGATGAAATATACAGGAAACCAGTTGCCCCGCTTGAGGGTGAATTCATATGTACGCCGCCCTCCTCGAACGAACATTCCTTACTTGAAACCGACCGACAACCGGAAATGTTTGAGCCCCCGATTTCCCCACACTCCTTTGCGCCTTCGCTTTGAAATTGGAAATTCGAGACGATGTAGGAGAAACCCATCCCATGCTAGCCGAACGGTGTTTGTCATGTGTTTGTCGTTAAAGAGGTAAGTTGCGGCGCAGCTTTCTTTCCGCTTTGGAGATGTTGCTGCTCGTGTTCCGCATAAATGAAATAATAACCCGCAGTGGTGTTTTCATACAGAGTCGTGAAGAGCAATTGCTGTTGTTGGAGGAATGCCGGAAAAACGAATCAAGACGAAAGTTCAGCTGCGTCGTGCCGAAGAGCCTCCCCATCGGAATCGCTATGACTGCGAACCTTCTTAACCGTGCCGTTACTGCCGCTCCGCGAGGATTTCCTGATCGACTCCCCGAAACCAGCCAGGATTTTGCCACGAGACAGTTCCGCATACGAAATGCTCTCGCTTCGGGATGGTCGCTTTGGTGGAGGCTTCTTGCGGAGATTCATCACTAGCAAATCGTCATCCGAGGAGTCTTCATCGGAATCTTCTTCTTCGTCGCTCTCTATGGCATGATCGCCATCGTATCCGTCATGGTCATGGTCATGGTCGTGCTCATCCGTCACGGCAATGACTGGGTTTGCAGTCTCGGTTGTTGTCACGACCAGAGAATGGACTTTCTGATCCGCGGGAACGAGATCGTCTTGCATGACTGAAGAGTTTGCGGACGCAACCGAGGGTATAGAAGGGTTGGAAGTCGATTGAGACATCCCCGAATAGAACTGATCCTCCGAGGAGCTTGATGTGAGCGGCTGTTGGAATCCTTTTGGCGTCACGTCGTTCTGCATGAGAGTGTGCCTTTGGAGCTCGAAATAAGCCTCGTCATCGGGGCTAGGCGGGCATGGCGGAGGACCAAGTGCACTGGAGGGACGGTTCCCAGCGGACGAGGTTGGACGGCTTGAAGAAAGGCGCTCCTCGAGCATGTGTTTCCGTCGATTTTCATCCTGGGCGCGTTGAAACTTGATGTCGGTGAGATAATCATTGAAGACGGGCGAGCTGTAGAGAACATCGTCTTCGCGTTTCGTTGGACGATGTGATGAGGCTGAGGAGATTGATGATTGGCGAGAGGGAGTCCCATCCCGGCTTCGGTGAATGTCGGACTCGGTGAGTGATGGTGTCATGGGCGATCCTGGACTGGTCACGGCACTGCTTGCCGCTGAGAATTCCTTCAGTTGCGCCGGCTGGTCCACATGTCCAGCAGCAACAGTCTCGCTTAATGCAATGCTAGGTTCACCGTGTGCATTGTCGTCTCCTGCCACCAGACGGTCGATCGAGGGGTTGCGGCTGTGTGACTTGGCGCCATCCATGCAACGTTCCTTGCTCCTCACCTGTCGTAGACTACGGCGAACTCCTCCGAAAATTCCGCTCAGGTTTGATGCTCCAGGCGTGTCCAGGGTAAGAGGAGTGCTTGGGACCCCTTGAGGCATTGTTGGCGACACACCCCGTCGTCTGTTGAGATATTCAAAGTCCGATGGGCGAATGGTCCTGATTGATCCGGCAGTAGACATGGTGGATTCGGCTCGGGAAGCGAAACTGAGACGATGGTGTTTGTCTCGAAGTTTCCCTCGTGGAGATTCGTCAACATCATCAACGCCGCTAATGTCGGGAGTACCTGGCCTTGATTGCGGACCTATGAAAAACTGGGTGCGTTCTCTTAACTCGGGGCTGGCGGTGACGCTGTGCGATAACGGGTGGTCACCTTCTCTGGAAGCTCGTAGGGCGGCACTGATGTCGTCGACCCTCAGACTAGGCCTTCGCGCATCCTGACTGATGGTACTGCTCGAAGACGCAGCGGAAATTCCTCCTTCCCCATTCTTGGCTCTCCCACGTCTTCCGGAAGCAGACGCGCTGGAAGAGTGCTTTGTGCCGATACCCAGAGCTCCGCCGATTTTGCGCATCCCGGATTTGACGCGCTCCAACAGATTGAGCTGAACGACGGCATCGTCCACATCCTCTCTCGAGACCTCGATCTTCTTGTAGTCTGGCACTCGCGAAGGGTCAGACTGCTCGAGCCAGAGAAGCGGATGCTCGAGATCCCGTAGGACCCATGGATGATGTCGAACTTCCGGAAGCTTAATGCGTCGCCTGGGATCTTTGATCAATAACCGGCACAGAAGATCGTGGAGCTCATCGTCGACCTCTTCGTAAATGAGTTCATGATGTGATCGTCTGTCTCGGGCCATGCCTCCCCACAAGCGGTTATGCGAGTTGGGACGCGAAGCGGTACGGTCATCGACGGCCCTTAGGCGGAAGCGTGGAATGTAGACCTCGTCTTCTGCTATCAAACGCATGACCACGAATGTGTTCAGGTCGTGAAAAGGAACGCGACCGAACACTAGGCAGTACAAGGTGACACCGAGAGCCCAAACGTCGATCTGTCCTGTCACTGGTAGAGCGTCCGGATCGCAATCTGTGTCGGTTTGACACAGCTCAGGAGCGTAGAAAGCGGGAGTTCCGACGGTCTTTGCCAACTCGATTGCCTCATCAACATCCTGGGCGTCTGATTCCGACTGGTCATCACCAGTACCGTAGACAGATGCCGAAGCAGTTGCGCTTCTGCGTCCGAGATAGGAGACACCGAAATCGGAGATTTTGATGTGGCCATCTCTTGCTTGGAGAAGATTAGCAGGTTTAATGTCGCGGTGAATGACCCCCTGATAATGGAGGTACTCAAGGCCCGAAACCGTGTCACGGAATGCCTTGCGAGCATCCGGGAGCGTCATGAGTGGAACGTAACGGAAATGTTCAGGTACCGGCAAATCTCCAGGCAAATCTGGCTTGTTCGAAAGCAGACTTCCGCAGACGCTCGGATTCCTGCCTCGTGCTGGGATCTCCTCGTACGGACCCCACATCGTCCCCTCGAGGCCTGTGACCGATGCCGCACGTGGTTCCTCCGCGATGGGTTCTCTGCCGAGGGCGGGCAGAGAAGTGCTTGACTGCTTGGATGCTGCCAACTCTGCAACCGTCTCATTTAGAGGCGCGTGGGGCGTCTGATCGGCGTCGAACTCTGTCGGCGACACTGGTCGACTGCGATACTTGAGCCCGATGCCATTGGGATCTTCGGTGGTTGCGGTTGAGGTTCGGGACAAAAAGTCACTGTTCGTGTCCTCATCGTCGGTGTCTCCGCCGTATTCGAAACTCCAGGTCTGGGCGTCGTTTTCATCGTTCTGTGCGCGGTGTGCTCGCCTCAGCCGTCGTCGTTCCTCTCGTTCACGCTTTCTCTGTGCCTCCAGCAGAATCCTCTGATCTTCCAAAGCCGCCGACTCGTTATCGAAAATACCTCTCACCTCGCGCTCGTACCGCCTGTGTTCTATGAGAACAATTTCCTTCGCACCTTCCGTCCTCCACCGCACTTCGCCCATCTCCACGTGCTCGAGAACGATGTAAACCTTCTTTCGAGACGGATCGTCGATGACTTCCAGCAAGCCGACAATGTTAGGATGGCGGGCCTTCTTGAGAATGGCTATCTCCCTCCTGATCTTGTCCTCGTGGCTTGTGTTCTTGCCCAACCGACGCCTCTTAGAGTACCGCTCCACGATCTTGATGGCAACATATTGACCCGTTTCCAGACTGCGCCCTAGCTTGACTTTGCCGTGTACACCGCGCCCAAGCTCGTCGATAATCTCATACTGGTTGATGATCTTGCGCCCCGAGATAGGATCGACGTCGACGTCGGCAACGTGGGTTTCCTTTGGGACTTGACGATGGGTGAAATGAAGATAAGGACTTGAGTAGTATCCAGATTCCGCGGTCGAGGCAAGCACAGGTCGGATCGGGGTGTGATTCGGATCGAAAAGGCCTGGGCTTCCTGCGGGTGAGTTGCCAGCTGTACGAGAGCCGCCTTCGTGCGCGGTAGTTTCATGTGCAAAGTGTTGGGTGGGATGTAAAGACGGGACATGCGTAGAAGAAAGAGAGGAATACTGTGAAGGGTGGGAACTCCGAGTCCGTAGGACGTGAGGTCCGGGGGGCGGATTCTGATGGGCCTGAAGAGGGGGATTTGGGAATCTGGGATATTCGATCTGGGTCTGCAACGCCGAGTACGCCTGGTTAGGGTATTTGGGATACTGGCGGGGCGGGCTCGGCAGGGTGGCCAAAGTCGGTACGGCATCGACCGTGGAGTAAGCCCTGATCGTGGCATTGCTCATGGTGGAAGCTGTCGAGAGCTGGTCTCGCCGCAGGGATGGGCGTTCTGGCGTTGCTGTCGAAGCTCGGTGCGGATCCTGCGCCCCGCCTGACTCACAATCGGCCGGAGCGTTAGGGGATGTTGTTGTGTCATTGCCCGGAGAAGGGGTCGGCTCCGCGGAGGCAGTATTCGATGTCGGAAGGTATGCGGTGTGGTATCTCACCGGTCTTGGCGAGTGGTATGGGAGGTCTGAGGAGTAATGAGTCGACAGGAAGCCTTGCTGTGAGGGGTGCACAGGGGGCCCCGCAGAGAGAGCTGCATGATCCAATTCCTGAGCAGGGCCCTGACTGGCAATCGGCACAGCGTCTGCAGGCTCGCAAGCGTCGGGTGGCGGACTTGGGCGCGGAGAGACAGAGTGCTGCTCGTCGACGGCGTGCGTGTTGTCGGGGGTGCGGGCAGCAGCGTCGGGCGCAGCGTCTGGCGGCGCCATGATGCGTGTCTCGCAGGCTTCTCGCTCCGCTCGCTGGGGATAGGATGCGGGTGCCTAGGTATCAGAAACCTTCATCTGAGCCGTCGCGGCGGCGAAGTCAGTCGCGGGCGGGGGGCGTCGCTGGAGGCGGGCGTATCATGGTGCACCTCAGCGACCAGGAGAACACCGCCGTCGTTGCAGCGGACGTGTTGCGAGGCGGGCGGTGTTATGAATGCTGCGAGCGGTGCGCGGGCGTGGCGGGCGTGGCGGGCGTAGGTGAGGCAGTGGCTGAGGCGGAGGGGACGAGGTGGTGTGGTGTCTCTGGCGGGCGGGCGAATGTCGTGCCCAGGAGCCGGCCGTTAATTTTTTGCCTCGAGGGTCAAGCAGGGCCCAATGCACCAGCGACGTCAACGCGGGCCGTCGAAGAGGGTGGAAGGGCAGGAGCTTGATTTACCGAGCGACGCTGCGGATCGGTGTACTCGGCAAGCTCCAGTGGAGAATGGGCCGCAGCAGCAGCGGCGGGCACGAGAGCAGATGAGGCCGCGCTGGACGCGCGCCCGCGGACTTTTGAGTAGCTTGGGCGCCAATCACGGCTCACGTCGAGAGCCGCCGGGCTCGGAGGTTGTTGGGATCCCAGCGATAGCCGTCTTTTTCGCTGGCGGTGATCCACGGCCCGCTGGACGAGGCAATCGGCCGCCCATACACACAGCGCTGCAACGGGGCAGGCCGGGGTCTGCGCAATTATCATCGCAGCCGCGCCCTAGCCGCAACGGGCGATGGCGGGAAGCCTGTTGTTGGCTCCTGCAGCTCCAAGCCGCCCTCACGCCCGTCATTTGCTGTCACGGCGCCCTGGTCGCTCAACAGCCAGCGTGCCCGCAGCGTCGGGTTGCCCAGCACGTCGGGGGGAGGCCTGACAGGACAAGCCTGGGAAAATAATAGCTCGAGTTGCTGCGCTGCTTTGCTTCTGCAGGCCGCGGTCCCGCCAAGCACCGCGCCGCTGGGCCTGGACAGCGACGGGGCGCTCTGGCGGCGTGCCTCGCTCGCCCGCCGCCTCGACGTTCCGATGCTCACAGCACCGCCCGCCCCTGGCCTCCGGCTCGCTCGAGCTGGCTATTTTCGCGCAACCGCCCAAGCCGACAGCTCGCCGCCGCCGGGATCCCGGCCGCACAGCGCCCTTTGCAGGACAGGATCGGGGCCGCCCTTCCCCAGATTTTCTCGTTGCTTTTCGCTCCCGCCCAGCGCCCAGCATCACACGAGACGCGGCGTGATGGGCGGGTGGATACAGGCGGATCGCCTCGCGCCATTGGCTGCCGCCTGCGCTTGGCCGTGTCATGCCTCGCTGATGGAGCGGAGGGTGTGGAGGCCCACCAGGATCGCCGTCCCCAAACTCGTCTCCACGCACACTGTGGAGGCAGACGGGATTCGCTCGCTAGCGGGGTTGGAGGGACGAGAGGAGGGTAACGCGGTGCGCATGCGAGCTGTCATTTTTCGGAGGGACCCCAGTCGAGCACCTGGGGCGAGACTGCCCAGCACTCGCTGGCTAGCTGAGCTGGGAAATTCACGATACCACGCCCGAGGGGCGATGCGTGCGTGCAGCGCGATCGTCCATGTTGTGGTGGCCGCCGAACGCTTGTACACGCCGCGACTGCGTTCCCGCCGTGGCCTGTGCCATCCCCGTCGCAGCGAGGCCCGTGTGTACTCGCATTCTGCGTACTGGCACCAGCTATGAGTGCACCCGCGCCTCTCCAGCACCAGCAACCAGCACCGCGACTTCGCACCTGTCCCCTCATGCACGCCCGCGCCGAAGCCGAGCACGGGGCGGCCCCTGCGGACGACCGACGCGGGGCGCCCGCTCCCGGAGGTGGCTCCTCCGTGCAGCGGCAGGAGCTGGGCCTCCATGCCTTCTGGCTGCTGCTGGCCATGCGCATCGTCAACGCACTGACGACACGCACCTTCTTCCAGCCCGACGAGTTCTTCCAGTCGCTCGAGCCGGCGTGGCAAATGGCCTTTGGCGAGCAGAGCGGCGCCTGGATCACATGGGTTTGCCGCCGCCGCGCCCGCTGCGCCCGCGAGTGCTGACGATGTCTGGCAGGAGTGGAAAAATCAGTTGCGTTCGTCACTGCATCCAGCGCTCTTCGCCGGCCTGTTTGCTGGGGTGTCCGCCATCTCGGATATTTGCAGCCTGCCTCTAGCGCCAAGGGCTGAGCTGCTCATCGCTGCACCTAAAATCACGCAAGCCGCCCTCGCCGCGTCGACCGATTACTTCACCTGGCGCCTGGCCAGGCAGGCGTATGGAGCCCGGAGCAGCGCCGCCTGGGCAAGCGTATGGTGACACCTCCCGCAGGCGATCAATCACTTCGGCTGATCCTTCTCCCAGCTTGCATTGACGGCATGCAGTCCCTGGCAGTGGTTCTGCTCCACGCGCACGCTGTCAAACTGCTTGGAGACGACGCTGACGGCCGCCGCGCTGGTCTGGTGGCCATGGCAGTGGCCGCTGACGTCCTATTCAAGCTCGACGACCACCCGGCCTAGCGTGCAGAAAGGCGTCGCACCGCGTATCATATCCGCTCCTTTGGGGGACCTCCATCAGTAAGCCGCTAGCCGGACTGCCCCTTTGGGCCAGCATAGACGAGTGGCTGACGTTAACACGAGCATAGCCTGAGACTTTCGTTGCTTGCCGCAGCGTTGGCCTGTGTCTTGCGGCCCACGAACGGTCTCATTTGGATGTGCATTTCCGCACCCACGTTGTGGCAAGCTTCGACGCGTGAGCGCCTTGCATTAGTGAAATGGGCCGTGCTCTGCGGGTGAGTGTGCCACCAGACCCTGTGGACTCATCCATGTGCTGCAAATGCGACCTCATAATTTCACTGTTGCTGACGCACGACGGTACCCTTCTCCAGCTGTGGCGTTCTTACACTATCCGCCCTGGCGGATCGACGCTATTACGGCGTTTGGACGTTCCCGCCTCTTCGCTTCGTTCACTTCAATATTGCCAAGTCGCTGGCCGTCTTCTACGGCACAAACAGGCCAGACTACTACCTAACCGAAGGCCTGCCACTACTCCTTACTACCGCCTTGCCGTTCGCCGCTTATGGCATCCAGCAGGCGATACGCGGGAGTGGTCGTCTAAGCCCCATGCTCTCATACCTTGCACTGACATGCGGAGCTATGGTAGGCGCTCTGAGCTTCGTTGCTCATAAAGAGGTCCGCTTCATATACCCTCTTTTGCCCATGCTCCATGTCCTCGCTGCACAGCCCGTTTCATGTTTTTTCCACCCTCTCACGCCTTCCAAAAAGGCAATGTTGGGATTCCTTCTTGCCATCAACGTCCTCGTAGCAGGCTATGGTTCCTTGGTGCACCAGCGTGGCGTTGTTGACGTCTTGCATATGCTTAGACACCAGCACGAAAGCCAAGCCTTGGGCGGGGGTTCTGGCAATACGACCGTGGGATTTCTCATGCCTTGCCACAGCACACCCTGGCGTTCACATCTGGTCTACCCAGATATCACAGCCTGGGCTCTCACATGTGAGCCGCCTATTGACGTGCCGTTGGACCGTCGTGCCAGCTACCTCGATGAGGCAGACGAGTTTTACATTGATCCCGGCCCTGTCGCGTGGCTGGATCAGCACATGGAGAGCGTCGGCACCATCCGAGGCAAGGGACATGTCAGCAAAAACAAGGATGAAGGTAAGACGCATAATAGCGAACTTAAGAGGCCCTGGCCCAAGTATCTTGTCTTCTTCCAGCAGCTTGAAGGTACCCTCGCCGAGTTTCTACGGGGGACAAAGTACAAAGAGTGCTGGCGTGGCTTCAACAGCCATTTCCATGATGATTCACGCCGAAGGGGCGACGTGATCGCTTGGTGCTTAGACGATGATGGGGCCGACGCCACTCATGGCCATGTCGAACAGCATGGATTGCCTGGCACGGGACGGATAAGCTCTGGGCAATGGGGGATGGGGAAGCTGCGGGGATAGGACTTGGTGTGGAAATATGATTTGTTTCCTTTTTTCGCGCGAACATGCTGTAGCATAGCAACCCTTTCGACTTCTACCCCTGCATCTTGTCGCGTTACTTTAATCCAATCGCGTATCGAGATGTTGCTGCACAAGGGAGCCCTCCACGGGAAGATGCCCCAACTACGCAAGCCTCGTCCGCTCTGGACCCACTGATCTCCTGGAGTCGCGGGCCTACCTCCTTTTCCTCAGTCATCACACCCTCTCTTTCAGATCCTCCGATGGCTTGTCTCATTCTCTTCACGAAACTGGACCGGTTACGATGGCAGAGGGATGACGCGGGTAGCAACGTTGAGCGCTTACTGATCGGCTCCGGTATCTCCGGAATGATGCTATCGCGTCCTCCGCCGAGCGCTATTTTGCAGTCGGTGTCTCGCCTCGCGGACCTCGCCTCCGAGATCCGCCTGTGCCGCGATGTTTGAGGTGTGCTTAATCTCCATCGTCGGCAGTTGACCTCCTTGAGCGGACTTACGGCACTAGAGTGACGGGCGGCTCGGACGGGTGCTACACAAGCCTCGCCCGAGCAAATGCAATAATGGATCATCGATTCTCATTCTCCTAGCGCATCCGAATCAGAATCCACACACTCTCCTGGAAAGCAGCCAACGGCCTCGAGAGGAATGCATAACATCATCCCGACGGCGTCGATTAATAATATGAGAGAGAGGGAAAAAAAAAAGTCATGCGGCTACTCCGGGACTCTCCACTCCCTTCCGCTGCGTGCACATGCAGGCCATGCAATCTAAGTAGACGTCCCGCCTCCCGTTCCCGACTAAGCGCCTCACCATTTCCCTTTGCTTCTTCGTCTCCTTCGCCTGCACAGATAGCTCGACGCCTTGCATCTTGCCTTGCATCTTACCTTGCATCTTGCCTTCCCGTCCCGCGTGGCGTCCGTCGTCTGTTCGCCTGTCTCAGAACCGAAGCATAAGCAATCCTTGCGCGACCCGTCTCTACGCCGGCGAGAAAGCCATCAAGCCACCAAAAAGGGTCCAAGGCTCGTGGGCTCCTTCGCTTCGCGACCCGGTTTCTGTCGAGCCGCTTTTTGCTGACGACGCATGCCGCTGCAAGCCACACTTCCCGGCACGCACCTGCCTCCGTCGTCAAACAGGAAAAGCAAAGAAAAAGAAAAGAAAAGTCGGCGTTCTCTGCAAAGCTAAGTGATCGCCGTCTATCATGGATCGCGCCGCCAATCTCTTGCCTCGATTTTCCCAACGTATTTCCTTTTTCTCTTCGGAGCGATCGGACATTGGGAAGGAGAACCCGTGTGGGACGAGCGAACGCTTTACTGCCTTCCCTAACGGGTTCATCGAGGGCCTCACTAAATTATACTCCGGTTTGTTGAACGTGATGCACTACGACTGCGATCCTACCTTCCATCCATCCCGCCCTGCCTTCCAATATACCATTCGTAAGATCGTTACGTCAATATGAAGTCTCATGTAGGCGCATCAAACAAAAGGATGCAGCAAAAAAAAAAAAATCGCGAAAATGCAAGTCTCAAATCACAGCAAGACCTTGGACGCCACGCTCAACAACCACGCGGCATCCTGCCAGCCACCCTCGCCCTCCCCTTGACCAGGCTGCGGCAGCTCCTTCCTCTCCTTCGCCGCGCTGCTGGCCGCCTGGATGCGCGCCCGCTCCTCGCGCCGGCGCCGCAGCTCCTCTTCCCGCCGCCTCTTGACGTCCTCCTCGCCCGGATACAGCTCCTGCTCCGTGACCTGCTGCTGCTGCTCCTCGTCGTCCGTCTCCTCGCCGTCCTCCTCGACGTCGAACAGCGACCAGCCGATCAGCCGCTCCATCCACCCGCCGAACCCGCCCTCCTGCGCGAGCCGGGCGACCTCTTCCTCGTCGCCCAGGCCCTCCTCGTCCGACTCGACGAAGTCGGGCTCGAGCGGGATCCCCTGATGATGATGATGATGATGATGCTGATCGGCCAGATAGCCGTCCTCGACGCTGTCGCCCGGCGGCCGGGACGTGAGCCCGGTCAGGCCCCGCAGCTCGACCCTGCTGCCGACCCTGCTGCCGCGCCGGCTGTTGAACGCGCTGCCCGTGCGGCTGCCGCCGCGGCTCTTGGGCGTCACGGGGCTGTATTCGTCGTCGGCGAAGAAGGTGCTGTGGCTGCGTGACGGACGGCCGGAGCCGGCGCCGGCGGGGCTGCCGATGCCGACGCCGACGCTGTCCTCGCGGTGGTCGTTGTCGTCGTCGTCGTCGTCGTCCGAGCCATGGCCGTCGCGGACGAGCGAGGTGCTGCTCTCGCGGCGCGTCAGCCACGATTGGCCCTTGGACTCGCGCGTCTCCGAGGCAATTGCGAGCCCGGCCCGGTATAGCCAGTCGGACGGGGTCTCGCGGGTGTGCTGCTTGGGCGTGGTGAGCTTGCGGCTGGTGTTGCTGACGTTGACGATGGAGCCGGGCGGCGCCGTGTGCTTGCGGCGGTGGTGGCGCGGGTAGTAGGCGATGTCGCTGTGCAGGGCGGCGTCGCTCTTGGACTTGTTGATGCCGTCGGGGCTCATGGGGCGGGTGAAGTAGTCGTCGTGCACGTAGTGGACGTGGCCGGCGTGTCGATGGCGCGAGGAGCTGCGGCTGAGGATGCCCGGCGTGGTCGGGGCCGTCTTGGGCTGGATGTAGGAGCTGTGGGGGCTGCGGGGGCGGATGTCGGCGGTGGCAGCTTCGCCCTGGAACTGGGCGCTCAGCGGAGCAAGGGAGAGCTGCTGGATGTTGGGGTGGGAGCGGCGCGACGAGCGGACGGGCGTGCGGGCGCCGGAGCGCGGCTGTTCTGCAGCGGACTGGGCCATGATGGATCTAGATGGGGGATTGGGATGCGGGAGCCGCGATGGGCGGCACTGCAGTTTGTACTCGCAGGAGCTGCAAGGCGTGGTGGAGGTCGAACGACGGTCACGATACTTTGGCTAGCGCGGCCGCATGCAGGCAAGCGGATTGCGGAGGCCGCCGGGGCGCTCTGCGTCGATCGGAGGTCGCAGCTTGCACGTGAAGGAGCTGGCGGGGCCTGATCATGAATGAATCAGGGAACGCGCCGGCAGGAACGGAGGCGGGCGGCCTTTCTCGGCGCGCAACGCTGGCCTAACCCCGTCGTCATAGCCATCTCCACTCATTAGCCGCGTCCTGTTTTCGCGTGCACCGCCAGCTGGCAGGGATTCCAGACAAAAATATTCGCCTGTGACGCTACCGGTGCCATCTAGAGGAGGAAACCCGTGACTGCGCCCACGCCGTCTGGCCACAGAGGGTCAGGCCGGGCCCGTGGAAGCTCCCGAACGCCTCACAAGGGCTGGGGCGCTTCGGATCGGCCAAAGCGGCGCCAGCAAGCCGGGCTCTTTGACCACGGACGCCGCCCGTGGTACGCTTGCCTGCGTCCAGCTCTCACCACCTTTTTTTAACGACAGCCCACCGCACAACCCCGGCTGGCCCACGCAACACTCCCGCCTCCTAGCCCTGTTTCTTCCCTCCCCAGCTGTTCTTCAACCCGCCGGCAGCCTCGCGATCAAGACCCCAGACCCACCGATTGCCTTCGCCAACACATACACCATGGCTTCCCTCACCGCGCCCCAGCAAGGCCGCAATTCGCAGCTGAGGTGACCCCAAGGCCGCTTCACAACGAACACATCACACTTCTGCCCGCCCACCCCGCAGCCCCGCGCGGTCCCAGCGCAAATCTCTCCAAACACATATTGGCGGCGCACCCAACGGCAGCACACCCTCCTCCATCCTCTACTCCCAACACCGAAACGCCCACTCTCGCCGCGCTTGCCGACACGCCCTCACGCTCACTCAGACTTCCACTACGCGACATCTCCGAATCTCGCAGCACCAAAGGGCGTGAATCAGCACGTCCTGGTTTGACTTCCGGCGCCGACATGTACAACATTGTCGACGACTCGGCCGCCAAACCCGCCCGTATGGACACCCTCGTGGACGGCACCGACATGGCGACACCTGCGCTCAGGGGATTGGTTGTGCCTCATCCCAAGGGGTCGGCGTCGCTGCGTTCGCAGGAGACGAAGGAGAAGAACGTTGGAGCGATCCGCAGCGAGGGGACGGTCCAAGCGGGAGCAGGTAACATGCACCGTGCCTCACTGTGGCGGGAACGCCCTCTGACTCCGTGCTATTAGTCACAGCCGTCAGCTCGTCCGTGACGACAGCTAGCTCGACCGCCATGTCCTCGAGGCGCTCAAGTTTCGTGGCCGAACTGCCTGCGCACCTGCTGCGCCTCACGCCACCTGACAATTTCGGCACCGTCGTCGACGGCAAGATTTTCCGAAGCGCGTATCCGAAGCCAGAGAATTACGAGTACTTGAAGACGTTGAAAGTGAAAAGCATACTGTGAGTTATAAGTGCTTGGATGAAAGGGGGGTTGCCTTGCTAATGTGGCTTTCAGCACTCTCGTTAAGGAAGAATGCCCTGAACCCTACGCCAAGTTCATAGCTGAGAACGGTATCCGCCACTACCGTGTGCATGTTCCGGCGAACAAGGGTCAGGTCTGCATACCGCCAGATGTTATGGTGCATGCTCTCATGGTGGTTCTGGACCGGAGCAATTACCCTTTGCTTATTCACTGCAACAAGGGAAAGGTAAGCAAATTACCCCTTTGACCATGCCGTTTCCGGACGTGCCGCAAGCCGAACTCTCAACTAATCAAAATCCAGCACCGCACCGGCTGCGTTGTAGCATGCCTTGGAAAAGTCCTGGGGAAGAGCAAGAAGCAGATCAAGGAAGATTATCACACGTACGCGGCAGAAAAAGCCCGCGCTTTCGACGAGCAGTTCGTGGAGAGTTTCGACGAGCGCTCGGTACTGTGGATGGCCAGGTTCCACGGATGGGCTTCCGACAACGAGCCGCGCTCGCCGCTGCCCACACCCGCGCGCTCGCCGCGCCAGGCTGCATAGTCGGCCGCACATCATAGACCCATGTGTTACGGACCGAAATAACCAAAGGTCACTCGCCAACCACGGACACGTCTACCGACCCCCGTAACCCCGTTGTAAATATCGTCTCCATCGTGGATCATCCCGGCGTTTGTTCAGAAAGAGCGGAAAGGGCGGCTTTTTCGATTTCCTATTTCCTTCAACGCTCGCAGCTCGCAGCTCGCATCTCGCATCACATCAAATTCGCCCCTTGAAGGTCAACAGACGTGGCTTTCGCGTGTGTCACCTTCTAAGAAAGGCCATGACTCCCTGTCACGTATCGGGCGTCCTACAGCATCGGTTCTTGGATAGGACCACTTTTCCTTTGTCTCCGGGGCCATGGCGCGGATTTCTGTTTTCTTGCCCATCGAGTACCCCCCTCAAGCATTGTTGCTCTCGCACCAGTATTGGAAAGAGCCTGTGTATTGCTGTCGCGCGTTTTTCGATTCTCCAATTGTATTATATCACTAGTTGTACCAACAGAGGGAACAGGGAAAGAGGGCATCGGCGTGGTACGACTACTTGCATAGAAACGGGCACGGGGTTAGCAGCAACAAGCTGTCAGGGTATTGCATTGGAGCACACGGAGGAAGCGATCAGCTACTGGGATTCCTTTTTGCTCTTTTTTTCGACTGTCTTCTGTTCTACACTATCATCAGCCACCGATGCGTCTCACGATTGAGCTAGGAAGGGTTCAGAGACAGCAAAGCAGGTGGCCTTTTTTTTCCCTCCTTGCTATCCCGCTCTTGCCGCGAGGCTTACGGCAGCATGGGGAGTACATAGGAAGCGGGTGCTTGCATTATACACATCTGCTCTAGGTCGGTCTACTACTTAGATCTTCCTTTTCGGAAACAGAAAGAGAACAAAAACTCATCTTCTTTCCCCCCACCCCCTTTTTTTTCTTCCCATCTTCATTTCGCTTTCACTTGGTCAATACGAAATGCACGGTTTGACATGCATGCATGCATGCATGCAAGGAGGTAATAACAAATAAGTTCGTAAACGGTTTTGTCGTGCGTGAGCCGCGGCACGCAGTAGTAGTTTTGGGGCGGCGGCGACAGGGGTTCCCCAAGGTTCTAGAACGTCTGAGATTCGGGGAGGGGGGCGATCCCGCTCCTCCTCTCTCCTCTCTCCTCTCTCCCTCTTCTCTCTTTTTTCTCCCTCCAACCGCGCAACGCGGCTCGTGCAGGAAAAAAAAAAAAGCCCCGAGAACCGAGAAGAGGTAGGGGGGTGTGTGTGATGAGAAGAGTGGGGTGGGGGGTAGCGGCGGGAAATGGTTGGTAGGTCGGTCCGCAAACGCCACGGCGCAGCGCGGCGCCAGGCACCACCAATAAAAACGCCGTACAGTAGTAGTATCGAGAGTAGCATACATGGCTGTGGCGGGGCGGAGGTGAGTGGGTTTTTCTCTCATCATCTGCGCGGGCTGCCTGGATGGACGGACGGACGGACCTCTCCCTCGTTGTCTGCCTGCCTGCCTGCCTTGAGAATCTTCGGTACGGTTTTTTCTTTGCTACGTACGACATGGTTGGGGGGTGGCTGGAAGGGTATGTGTTGGGGTAATATTGGCATACCCATTCATTCCATGGCCAACAAGTAGTAGTAGCACCACACCCCCATGCAAAAAGGATGCGTCGATGATCAAAGCAGGGGGGTCAGACTGCATATATCGATCGGCAAACGATCTCACACGAGCAGAAAAAACCAAGGCGGCAGATCAGAAAAGCACCGCGACAAGGGCGCGCGTTAAAATGTGGGGGAAGAAGTGGAGATCGGAATAAACGGTGCGGATGCGCAACGAGAACGAAACCGGTTCCACACAAGCGGTTCTTTTTTCCCCCTCCCCATCCTCCCTTGGAGATTCGGCGCGGTTGATGATGAGAGGAAGGGAGGTCGGTTGATGGTGCAGCCCGGTAGCCGCTAATGCAGGTCGTTCTGAACGTGGTAAGGGACCGGGGGTGCGGGGGCGTTTGGCGTAGATGCAGGATAGTCCAGACCGGAGATTTTATCATGCTGGTGGGAGCGCATGGCTTGTTGCTTGGCCCTTGTTTATTACTATTGTTTTCTTTGCCGATCCGAGCGAAGAAAGGGGGGGTTGGTGGAAGGGAACGCACGATGCATGTGGGGAGGGGAGGTAATCCGGGGACTGAGGAGAGGAGGGCAGTGGTGCGGTACTCGTGCTGGGTTGGTACTCTACAGTAGTTGGGCTCCCGGCCTTGGCGGGGAGCGGGACGTTTTGGTTCACTCTCACTCTTTCGCTCAACGGGGCCTAGAGCTGCTGGCTGACTGCCATGGTATCACCTGCTCGAGGGCGACGCTATGGAATAATCGCTGGCCTTGCGTGGACACGCAGAGGAAGAGGACTGCCGGCTGTGCTGCATCGGCTAGGGACGGAGCTTTTCTGGCGATATGCATGCTTTCGAGTGCCGCAGCAGCAGCAGTGGCAGCACGTTGTGGCCTTGGTTTCTGCAGCAAGCCGCCGCACCTCATGCGCGTCCGTGGCGTTCTGGCCGCATTATTGATTGGATTGCGTAGTGCGCGCCAGCCGCTGACGACGGGAGGAGCTGGTAGAGGAGGCGCCATCCAAGCTCATTCCTTCGGCGGGGTTGGTCGCATCGTGGTTACCGCCCCTAGTGCATCTTACCATGATGACTACTTCGGAAGCCTCCGAGTGTTGGCTCCGCCGTCAGCTGTGTTGCTGCCGACTCCTGCCAGCACTCGCCGTGGCTGCGCAATCATGGCTGTGCATCATCTTGGGGGCACAGTGCGCCGTGGTTGGCCGGCATGCAGGCAAACACGTTCCACGCCCTGCATCACCCTCGCGCAAGGCCTCGGACAGCCGCGGGAGCTGGTGGCGATGCATTCTTGTACTGTCGGCCGAAGCTGTCCAAGCTGCCGGTTCGTCCGACTACCTACCTCCACCTCCGTCTCCGACCGCCGACGTCGGCCTGCTGCATGGGGAGAACGCACTACTCGGGGACCTGACCAGCGGTATAGGGCAGCCCTTTACCGCATCAGCCAACGACCGTGTGCCGTCCCTTTGCTCGGCTTCGTGACTCGCACACGCATCGATCGAACCACGCGCGTGCTCATGGCCGTGACGGCAGAATGATCGGCTGATGAAGCCATTGTACCTTCTCCATTGGCGCGCGGGCTGGCTGAGAGGCTTTGGAGCAAGGAAAAGTTTGTTCATCCAGCCACGCATACCAGACCCAATTCGTCTCCCTTCGCATGATCCCCAACCCATTCGAGCAGTCGACATGTTGTGGCCGCTATCACACTCGGAGCGGCAATGACTTTCTCCCCTGGCATCCCCCTCTGGGAGGGACGGGAAGTGTGGAGGACACGCGGGACACGCGGAGCGGACGCGGCCTGGGCCTTCCCAACTGCTATACTGTGTCTTAGCGACCGCGCTATTTGCGCCATTGTCCTCATGAAACAATTGTTGAAGCAAAAATCGTGCGAGTCCAATCGGTCCGCGTTCATGGCCATCTGTTCCCCAATCTCGATAGACTGTCCTTGCGGCTGGCGGCTGGTGTGGATGCCTGAGCAGCGCCGCATGTTCACTTCACTTCGTACGGGGCGTGTCGTGAAGCCGTGCGGTCTGGCGCCCGCGGCTGGCTCGCATCCTTTGGCTCTCCGGGGAAGTGGGGATGCAGAGCAGGGATGATGATAGCTCATCTGTCTGAAAGACCAGTGATGAACTCGCGTGAGGTGATTTGAGCATGGCAGGGATGCTTCGACTGCGCTGCGTAAGCGGGTCTAAGCTCACCCGACGTTGAATGCTTGTCCCCACTTACGAGTCACATATGGACATACCTTGTCTTCAATTTGGTCCGCTTGTGATTCACGATTATGGACCGACGCATGCCCTTTCAATGAGCTACGCTCATGGCACAGTGGCTGTCAATATTCTGCCGTCTTCTTTTTCTTTTTCTAGTCCCTTGGATAACGGAAGAGATAAGTACCACTTCACGGCTCAGCCTCCACCACACCTTGAATGAATACGCTTTAATCAATCACTGGCCTCACCTTCGATCATGTAGCTACCTACCGAGACAGAATCAGCCATGTTTTTGATGGTCTATCTTCTGTTCTTACACACCCGTCTTGCCACTGGCAAGACGATCAAGAACACCATCGTTTGACCATCGTGACTATCTCTCGACCAAACCGGATCTGAAAACACGGAGCAACACACTTGTTGGGACTCGATGGGGCTTACCAGGGAACATATATAGGGTGGGGTGTGGGGCTGGTCCAACTTTGAGAAGTGAGGAGTCAGGGGCAAGAGTCGTACTTGAACAACGGGTGCGGCTATACTCCAATAGTACAGATTTACTAGATACTCCGAAACGATATACGTGGCACATCCAATCAGCGAACATCTGGAAATTCTCCTGCTGGTAGAGAACAACGTGTGGTTTCTCGGCGCAAATGACATATAATCGGTGCGTCGTTGCTTTCACCCAAAGTCTGTCTGCAGCTAAAGTATGTGACGACGAAGCTCAAAGTACACCGACAATACATCATATTCGAATTACCTTTGATCCCTTCCCCAGATGATGAGGGGCTTAGATACTACTTTAGAGTTGTTTGGTAGGAAACCGGAAATACTGGAGCGCTCAGTGTCTACCAATGGCTGCAACCATTTAAGCTTCATTGATTTAACGAATCGTGTCCAACCCATGTCCGCCGCCCACATTCAGATCTCGCAAAATCCATGGCTCCATCACCAAGAGCAATAGTGCGCATACAGGCATGTCGAGGGCCAAGTGTCCAATAGACCGGACTTCAGTTTTCAGATTACAAAGCGGCGTTCGGTATCACATTTATTCTGCTTCAGAGCCTGGTATCTGAGCGTCGGGTTCCCAATAATCTACACAACGGTGAGTATAGAGGTCATATTCTTCTGTTAGACAGTGCATGGTTATTGGAGTAAACACATGTTCCCTCATGATTTGTCTACGTTTGCTTGCGTATATAGCTGATATGTACGGTGAGGACAAGGAATAGAGCAAGGGCGAGAGCGAGACTGAATTGTGTATAATGAGGATTTAGAGAAATACGTAGTATTCATTGCAGTAATGTGAATGATTGATAACGATGAACACCAGGTGAAAACGCTGCTGTTTGACATCTCTGCTACAAAGGCTAAGCCTCCGGTAAAGCGATCATCTACCGCTTCAGCATGCCCTGTTTAGCATATCTCTAGAGGCACGGATATTCCTTCATCAGGCTCTTGACGTCTGTCTTAGCGTCCTCTAACTGCTTAAAAAGCCCCGACCAACACTAAATACGGTCGGCATCTTAGTAAAATAATAAAGAGAATCAAATGGTCTTATTCAATGGTGCTGCTGCCATCTCTACTTCACAAAGTACTTCACTTCAGCATTCACTCGATCTTCACAACGTGGCGGCGGAAATGTTCTGAGGGAGATTCGAGGACATCACACAGTGCGATGACAACGATTTTCGTTTCCTTTCCTTCTGAGAGTCACTGGGGCTCGGGATTGAGTAGGCTGTCGGCCGTCTTTAAGTACTTGACGTCTATGGGACATTTCGGAGAAGCGAAGGCACGCAGTCATGCGGATTTCTGACACCATCTTGTTTTCCGATATTTGGCCCAGTTCCACCCATTGGCTTGTGCGGGTCAACAATCGATTCAGGTGAGGCCTTTATCTAGTTACTAGATTCTAGTAGCAGACACTCCAAACACCTCTCACTTTATACTCACGCAACCTTGAAAATCCGATACCACGAAGAAGGAACATATGTGGGTAAGGTATTTTTTGACAGTAACCGTATCAAGGAGTCCCTCTGAATGTCGGGCTCGCGCCTATGTCGTTGTGATTCTACGGCGTGACACTAATGCGGGTAATTGAAATGAGAAACAGCTGGTACATCACCAATCATTGATGATGCTCAGCAATTTATTAGTCAATTGACGATATCCACCATACTTTATACGTGGTCAGGTAATCGAAAGTTAGTAGACTATTACGACGCTCCGAGCCGCACAGAAAGAGTACTACCTGTTATACTAATCAGTTGGTGCACCTAGGTTATTGGAGACCTCGAAGAAATCAAGGTTTAACTTGAATAGGATTTATCTGTATTTAAAATATCATGTGGCTCGAAGTTTGCTATGAGACACACAGTAAGGTACCTGGGCGCCAACCTTCAAACTCCACCTAGTATTACCCAGTGATAAATAGAAAAGTGATGATCAACAACGAGCAAGAGAGCGCGGGGGAGGTCCTGGAAATGAGATCCTTGTGTTCATCTTCTGGATACGATGCCGCTATAATGATCCACGATTCAACATCACGACTCTGACTCAGGTGAAAAAGCACAAGAAAACGCCCGCGATACACATCCAAACCACACCCCAGCACAATCAAACCCAAACTCAATCTGATACAACCAGGTACTTGGAAGAAAATTCAAGACCCCGCTTCCAGAAACCAATATTCTCCTGAAGTTCCACAAACCGTACAGCCTTCCGGTCCTCCCAAAGAATGCAACCACACGTTGAGGAAAAGGAAAAACGAAAAGTCATATGAAAAGCATGGACACTGAATCGAAGGGGAGAGAGAGAGAGGGAGAGAGAGAGAGGGAGAGAGAGAGGGAGAGAGAGAGAGGGAGAGAGAGGGAGACAGAGAGCACAGCAACCCGACGTTGCACACGAACAGCGTCATTTCCAGAAAATCCACCCGACTTGACCCCCATCCGACCATGACTCGTGGTCTTCGATCCCGACTGTGCCACAAGGAAGAAAATAAAAAACACGAGAGATCGATGCGGGTCCGATTGCTCGGTAAACTCGGTAGAAGGAACGGGAGAACCGCGTTCTCGGGACTCAGGCCCCGCTGCCCGAATTCATGAGCTCTCCCTGTTCTACCAGGTGTTGAAGAGTTGTATCAGGTGACGTCGTCTGGGATCCAGAAGAGCAGCAATAATGCCGTCCTCCCATTACGGCAGAAGGAACTGAGGAGAAAGCGGGGGAGCCTCCCTCTCTGGTCAAGGAGAAACCATGGGGAAAGATGAAGTGGGCTGGCGAAAGCGAGCATATGCTTCTTTTCGCGACGAGCAAGCGTTTCCTGTGTTGACCCAGTAACGAAGCACGCGGCAGAACAGCAACGTTGACGTCAAGATACCATGACGCGAATCAAGGGAAACGAAAGGGTCTTGGGCAGTAGTGAGTTGAAACATGATGAAGAAACGACGTTTCAGTGATATTAGCTACTACAATTTCCCTTGACAGCAAGAAATAGGGGACACTAGTGCAGCGTCTCGCAAATGCATCAGGCACGAAGCATTTCCATTCCCCACACACAACAGATCAGGAAAATATACAGGCTAGAAGCGAGGAAGACACCGAACCCAATCTTGACCAAGCACATTATGCATTACATCCAGCTCCACGATACCGAAGAAACGATTCGTCACCCCATTTTGCATCACAACTAGAAGCTAGATAATGAAATCTTCGCCTCGAAAAAAAAATAATTATTCTCCACGCGTACGCTGCCTCGGACTCTCCGTTGTGCTTTTCATTTACAGCATGGCGGCGATGCCGAGAGCCAGGCCGAGGGCGCCACCGGCAGGGACGTGAATGGGGGCAGCGGCACCCGTCGACGAAGAGCTCGAAGACGAGGAGGTGCTGCTCGAGCCTGAGAACGAGTCAAAGTTACCGCTCGAGGTCGAGGTGCTCGAGGCCGAGGCCGAGGCGGCGCTGCCCGAGCTGGAGCGGCTGGAGGTGGCTGTGGCAGAGCCGGACTTGGAGGAGGAGGTGGAGCTGTTGCTGTGTTTGGGGAAAGAAGATGTCAGCCAATTTGCAGATGCCAATGGGCAAAGAGGGAGTAAAAAGAGTACTTACGCCTTGGCAGCAGCACAGAACTGGGTCACCTGGTTCTGGACGGACGACCTGGTGGGGTCGTTGGGACAGTTGTTGTAGCAGCTAGAGAGAGGAAGAGTAGGGTCAGCTGCAATTGCTCCATTCCGCTTTCTGGTGGTTTACTCACGTGGCAAGATCAGTGTAGGCGGAGCAGAGACAGCTCCAATCGTTTCCGTCGCAGGCGGTAGTGCGGGGCTTGATGCTGGTGACACAGGCATCGACGATGCTGCAGGAGCAAGATGGTCAGCAAAGGGAAAAGTGTCGGTGCAGGGGGCAGCAGCTTACTTCTGGGCATCGCAGTCCGACGACGACGACGAGGTCGACGAGGCGGCCGAGGTGGTGGTGCTCTGGGCGGCAACGAAGCCGGCCGAGGCGAGGAGAGCGGCAGCGACAGTGAAACGCATGGTGAGAGGTGGACTGGAGGGGTGTCGAGGTTGTGGAGAGAGCGGGCGCGGCGGAATGAGATAAATGTTGTTTGTTGTTTGTTGGGGAGGAGAATGCCGGCGAGCTGGGGCTTGGCTGCGGTCTACGGGCGAGCGAATCAATTGGGCCCAGAGCGAGTGGATGGGCGTGAGGTCTTTTTGGTGGGACTGGGCTGGGAACGGAAGCAGCGGCGAGGTGGGGAGCAGGAGAGGAAGCAGCGCTGGGGAGGGCGCGACTAAATGGCAGCAGCCATGACAGCAGCTAGTGGCCCGGCGGCGGCCAGGGAGCAGGCCATCACATGGCGGGCATTGCTCCTGCGCGCTCGTGTTCGCCGTCGTCTGTATCCGTGCATATGCCGCAGCCTCTGGTTGAGTTTATCGGGCCAGTCTGGCCGCGGGCTAGCCGCATGGGGCGCTGTGTATAGCAGCCGTCCCTGCAGCGCGGTGGATATTCTTAGCCACATACGAGACCACCCCAATCCACGTCTTGCCGCTGCCGCCGGGTGGCGACCGCCGTCGTGTTCGCGTCACACCAGCCCACGCCCGCGCCCGGCCAGCTCGCAGGAGTCGAGGTGCAAACAGCCATGGGAGCAGAAGAGTGAAGGGGGCTCTTGCTACCTAGCGCCTCAGCTGCGCAAACAAGGTTCCTCCGTCTCTTTTTCTCAAACACTCCTGCTCCCGCCCCAGCCCGCGCTAGCCCGCGCCCGCATCCATGACCCAGCCCGACCCAGTCACCCAGTCCCGCCCAGCGCCCTCTCGCCCGCTGCCAGCCGCGCCCGGCGCCAGCGAAGAGCCGCACCTCCGCCTCCACGCCCATGCTGTCACCCACCGTCATCCATTGGACCGGCGAGCTGGATCCGGCTGCCATTGGCCGCGCAGCCGCGACGGCCGCCGCAACTCATCGAACGAGCGACTCTCCTCACCGCGAGAGGCACCACACGCTCATGCTGCAGGAATGGACCCGGCTCCGTGTCAGACGACGCTCGATGCTCCGTTGGTCGTCCAGCATTGATGGCTGCGCTGCGGCCACCATGTGCCCCTTTGCCCCGTCCTTCTCCCGCAAGGCCCGCAATACGCCTCCGTTCCCCTCTCGCCGCATCCTCTGGTCGGCTCCTCTTGCAACCACCCCTCACCACATCCTCGGCCTGAGTCCATGACCCTGATCCACCTGGCCAAAACAGCACCCCGTAGAATCTCCTCAGAACAGCGCAGAACATTCCCGCGACGGGCTAGCCTGCCTGCACCGCTCTCCGCATCTGCCTTCCATCTCCCTGTCTCCCAACCATCCCATTTCCATCCATGCCCTCCGACTCGGTTGGAGCGAAGCCGTCCTTCCGCGGAATGTGCTGATCCCTAGCGATCGACAGCGAAAGCCCGACTGCACTTCCTCGACGGCTTCACAGCCTGACAGCTAGGTCCGTCGTACATACATTTCAGCCACCTCCCGTCGCGTGCATACATGCTTATGTCCGCTTTCGGTTCCGCCTGCACCGCGTTGCTGGAGTAAACATCCTGTCGCGCGCACTGGCCGTCCCCGCTGTTCGTCGTGGTGACGGTGATCGTGACGGTTGTGGTGACCATGGGCACATTCTTGGCCGGCATTGGCCACGCTGTCGGTGGAGATTATTGCCTCCAGCACATAATTTCGGCGCCGCGCTCCGTCGACCCCAAGCCAACGGTGATGACAAGTCTTGACGCAATCTATCACAAACGCGCCTTTAGCGCATGAGGTAATGGCCATTACATACGTCCCGGCCATCGGCATACCGACCGGAGATGCCCATGGCTAGCCACAAATGAAATGTTCGCCCCACGGTCCGTCCCGGGATATCCAGCCCACGGCCTATTAGGCCTCCTACATCATTGCCGAAGCAAAGAATGGTCAACTTAACCAATCCCGGCCTATAAATACCACCGCTACTCTCTCGGCCGTATAGCCGTCGATGTCTTTATACGGCATTGCCGAAAGCCACCTATAGCGCCAAGGTTAACTCGGCTTTTGCCGTTGCTATCTGGCAGATATTACCCTCCCTTCTATAGCACACCCATCCACCGACTCATTCATCGTCATGCGTCCTCGTACTCGCCAAGAATGGTGTGCATCAATCGCAGAGGATAGGCCGAAAAGCTTATTGACAACCGAGCTGCTGGCAGAGATAAAAATATCTCACAACCCTAAAATATCATCATCGTCTCCAAACGAAAATTCAACTGTTATTCTTACCCTTGTCTCCACTACGTACCCGCCCTTCTGCATGCTGTTCCCCCACTTTCTCATCAGTCTCTCATATGCAATCGACCACGTCACCCCAACGTCGTAGCCAAACGACGCTCTTTCCTTACCTCGCCTAGTTCATAATGGTGCCCAAAGGGGAAGAGAGCGACCCATCACTACGAAGGTGCAGGCTCAGAACCAAAAAAAAAAAACCCCCCCCGCCCGCATCGCCCAAGGCCAATACTGCACGGGGAAAAGCAGAACTGGCGGAGCACGGCGAAGCTAAATGAATAGCCAAACTCAAGCAACGTACGATGAAATACCATGCTCTCACAAAAACAAAACGCCTACACTCGAACCAACAGCCTCAAGACACGAAGCCACAAGCACCAAAAAAAAAAAAACACCAAATACCAAACTGTCCACCCCCTCATATACATCAATGCCTTCCCGCTCCTTCCTTTCCTCGCTCGGTAACATGCCAATCTGGCCTCATTCCCCCCTAACCCCAACTGCCGCGTCTATTCCCCAGCGTCGACAACCAGCCAACCCAGTTCTTCAACCGCGCACGTATACTGTGATCTCTCCTCTTTGCTTCCACTTCGACTGAAATCCTTTCTGTTTGGTCCGTTCCGCTCCCTTCCACCCCGCTCACGAGGTTGGCCGTTCGTTCCTATCCCGCAATTTCACCTGTTCTTGAGCTTCCGGTGCATATAAAAAGGAAAGAGGGACAGAAACCAAAGAAAGAGAAAGAGAGAGAGAGAGAGAGAGAGAGAGAGAGAGAGAGAGAGAGAGAGAGAGAGAAGGAGAGGGGAGAGGAGAGGAGAGGGGAGGGGAAGTGGGTTGATCACGCACTCTCCCTTCCCGACGACAACATGAACACGGAGGAGTAGTAAACACTAGCGAGCGAGGAGAGAAGAAACAAAACGTGAAGAAGCAGCAGCGAAGGTCATGGAAGATAGAGAAGTAGGAAGATCAAGCAACAACCGGTTTCATCAATCCTGAGGGAGCAAATGGGCGGGGTGGGAAAGAAAAGGAAGAAGCTAGAAGCGCCTCCGTTAATCATTGCGAGGAACTAATCGAGAAAAAAAAGCAATGTCTAAAAAAAAAAGAAGCGATCGATATCCTCTCTCTTCCTTCCCAAACTAAACCCCCCCCATTTCCATGGGGTCCTGGGAACGATGTGTATTACAAAAACAAAGAGGAATCTGTTTCCTCGCCCGCAGCCCAAATGATAATAAAAAAAAATTGTTGATTTTTTCCCCTCCCTTTCCCTTTCCAAGGGTCTTCTCCTCCTCCATCCCTTGATCCATCCCTCCTCGTTACCTTCATCTTCGAGTTTGCCTCCACAGAAATTCCAACCTCTCACCTCCGTTGCGCCCACTCGCAACAGCTTATAAAGAGGGGGTCCAGCCTCTCTCTTCTTCCTCCCCCATCTCTCCAAGACGACGCAGTACACCCTCGCTTTTCTCCTCTTGTCGATCTGTTTCCCATGCTGGTCATCGTGCGAGCGCTGTGAGATAAATGATTCGGATACTCCTCACTCCCCTGTTTGCGCCTGAGCCTATACACGATGAAAAAGCGTTCTTTCCTTTTATACAAGAAGAAGATCGCGAGCTGGGAGTCTGTATGAGCGGGCGGACGGGCGGGCGGACAAACAATGTTGAATGTGTGAGTTGAAGAAATGTCCGGACGACGGCAAAAAAGCAGGGTATACGCCAATCTCGAGTTCCCTCCGCGACAATTCTTCAGGTCTCGAGGGCGCCTGAACGCTTACTCCTGTCCGAAACCGACAGTCTCCTCGACGGCAATCGTAAGCTTCTGGTTGAGCGCCTCGTACGTCTTGTAAGGTGGCAGATCGAGTCGGTTGAAACTGCACATCGTTATTAGCAAATAATGGCAGACCACGTCAGAGATGAGCACTCACCATGTGTGCGACTTGGGCAATTGCGTGATCTCGCCCGCCTTCTCAATCGTGAATCTCCTTGGACCGTCACTGCCCTGGAGATCCTTGAAGCCGTTGACGGGAATACGGGAAGTACCAGTAGCGAACTGTAGCAGACGCGACTTCTGCTCAGCATCCCAGCTCCGGATGCACTATGACCAGATTTTAGCTTTATGCTCAAGCAATTTAAAACTGGGAACAGTCGTCTTACCTTCCAGAAGTTCTGGATGACCTCATCGCTCTCGGTGTAGCCACGGTAATCCGTGTGCTTCTTCCAGTCTTCCACATCGATATCTGCAATACCTCCGATGAGCAACTCCAACTCGCGCTCGTCGAAGACAGTAATCAAATCTGCTGGGATCAACTCGTGGAAACCGGTAATGAAGGCATTGAACTGCTCCTCCACGCGCTTCTGAATACGCCATTCCGTGATGAGTCTATTCGAGTTAGTTCGTGGCTCAAACCTGATTGCACCAATTTTACTTACTCAACATATTCTCGCTTATTGTCGTTGGTCACCTCGATGTCTCTTCCGCCAGGCTTCAGATCAATGGTCACAGTCTCACCGAACCGTTCGTCGTCGGTAGAGAAAGTGAGGTCCAGCACATCGTCAATGTCGTTGTCCCTGACAATCTTGTCAATAATGCAAACCAAACACCATAGAGCGCTCAGTTACTCACATTGTCCACTGAAGGTTCCTGTGGAAATCGGCATCAACACCCTCCATGTCTTGGAGGGTGATCTTCTTCTTCAAGATCATCTTGTAGAAGGCACTGATGAAGAATGCATCCAGGAATCGGCGATGGAAAATGGCCAAACCCACAACACGACCAATGAACTTGAAATAGTTCAAGTGCTCCGGGTTAATTCCAGAGTGTGGGTTAATCTGGAGCGTGTAGTTGTCGTGCGCGGAATACTCGAACAAGCAGTAGAACGGGTTGAACATCTCGTGGGATAACAAGAAGAAGAATTCTCTGGACAGACCACCGTAATCCAGACCATCTTCGCCGTCGAACTTAATCATGAGACGCTTCTTCAAGTCGCCAGCGCTCTGCCTCATAACCTCGTGGTACGAGTCCTCGAAGATGTGACTTCTGCGGACCTTAACGTGACACTGGCCAGATACGATCCGGAGCGCGGGCTGCGAGCGGAAGTAGATCAACTTCCTCCTGAAGTCACGCTTGTACTGTGGCACGTTCTGGTCCAAAGAAGACGGTAACCTGGGGTCGTCCCAGGTAGTCGTCTTCGTGTTGTGATCAACAAAGTAGACACGGGCAGTGTTGGTCAGACGCATTTCCCATCCACTAGGCAACGGGCCCAATTGCGATACAGGCTGCTGCTGGATGGTACCGTTCTGCGCATTTTGGCCGTACATGCGGATATATTGCTGGCGACGGGGATCGACCCAGGTGGTGGTCCGGGTGTTGTGGTCAACGAAATAGGCCCGTCCCTCAGGCGTATGCCTCATCTCCCATCCCGAAGGCAGCTCGCCGGTTCCAGCCGTGGTAGCCCCTGTGGCCATCATGGAAACTGCGCTTGCAGACGGAGTGGATCCAGGCGAGGGTTGACGTTCTGACAGAGTAGGAGAGTTGGCACCGGTGCGGTCCTCGGGAAGCATACGGTTCTGGTGCCTCGTCCGCTCCTGCTGCGTCTGCGCCTCCAGCTGGGTCCTCTGTTGGGCTTCGTTGACGTTAGAGGCAGGTCGGATCCATGTCGTCTGCCTCGTATTGTGATCAACGTAGTACGTGCGTCCTAGATGGTCCTCCCGACGCTCCCAACCAGCAGGTAGACGGCCCTGAGCATCTTCGAAAGCACTGAATCCCGCGTTCCTCTGTGCGTTGCCGGCGCCGGTTCCGTTGGGCGGACCTCCAGGTGGGGCGGGCTGATTCGGACGGGCTGCAGCCGCAGCGGCAGAAGCGCCGGGGCGGCTTCCGGGGAACATATCGGGATGCAAAGAATTCGATGGACCAGCACTGAGAGGGGTGGTGGGGTTGTTGGATGCAGGAAGACCGTTAACCGAGGACTGAGCGGAAACGGAGGAAGGGCGGGGACCATTAGGCTGGTTAATGGGCTGCGACAAGTTCGTGGATAAATTTAGAATCAGCTTGCCGTGCACGACCATGTTGTCGTTTGACTTCTTGAGGTCGCGTGTCAACATTTCTGCGGGAGCATTCGTTAGAGCTGAAACCGGAGTGGCATGGGCCACCAGTCTGGCTTACCGTCGCCGCCGGCATCCAGGTCTATGGCGGTGCCGATGCGCACATTGATGACGCCTAGAAAACCCTGGTCCTTCTTCTTGAACTTCTTCTGGTCGAATATCTGGACGGCGAGAATGCTGTCCTCGGTTGCCCTCCTGCGCCGTGTCAGCGACGGCTACTGGAGCCAGAGTGTTGGCGGCTAGGGCGCGCGTGCTTACATGTCGAAGCTCTCGTTCCAGTACGGGTTCAGTGTCTTCTTTATGACGCTGGTGGTCCGCGTTTGCTCGCCATTTATGGTTGCCACCGCGAAGGGATCGGGGAACCCTGAGGAGCGATCAATACCGGGGCGGCAGGCAGCTGGGGGAGGGTGGCTTACTGAAGACATCGCGTTTGTACAGGCCATCGGCGGCGATGACTGCGGGACAGGTCAGCTACGCGACGGCGGGAGCTATGGCATGCTGCGGGGTGGACTCACTGGTAACGCGCAGGTTGGGCTGGGCGGGCTGCTCCATGGCGCGCTCTTGGGGGCTCCGCTCTCGGTGCCGCTCGCGTTGTTTTACGTAGAAAGGGAACTGTCGTCAAGAGGGCTCAGGGAGCTGGCTTGGGGCGCGCCGCAGCGGTTATGTCAGCGCGTGGTGAGCGCAGGACGGTGTCAAGGATGGCCGGGGGCTGTGCAGCTCTCGACGGCGGCGGAAGGGCCAGGCGTCGGCCCGCGGGCGCTGTGGCAGCACCGTTCAGCAGAAGAGGATCGGACGGGCGTACGTTGGCGGGTTGCGTGGCCAGGACGGCGGCGAGGAGCGGACGGGGGCTGTTGCGTGGGTGGGAGGCGTGGTGCAATTCTATCTTTGAGGTGTCGAGTCTGTCCGCCGGCAGCACTGGGTCTTTGCTTTGGGCGGCGGGGCGCGCTTACAAGCGCAAGGATCCCTACGACTAATGCGATCAATCCGGTCGGCGGGCCTGCACGAGCGACGGGAGCGAGCGAGAGCGGCGCACCACAACGGACAGGCACGATGGACGACGATGGACAGCGAGCGATCGCAGCGGTGCAGGGGGCACGCCGTCAATCACCCCGTCGCCTCTCCGCCCTCGCCTGACCAGGGCTCCACGGGCTCTCCCTCCACAGCCCGCGACACTGACGCCTCCTCCAGGCTGTGCGCATGATGTAATCCGCCTCAGGCCCAGCCGCTGCCAACGCCAGGACCGCCTGCGAACAATCGGAGCCCGCCCGTTGTGTGCCATTATCTGTGCCGCAGCCCGCAGCGCCCTATTCGCGCACCGCCGCTCTGCAGCCTGGAGCTGCCTCCTGCCGTGCCGCCCTACCCGACTGAACATCTGTCCTGGGCCGAACGCAGCACCGCCGCACGCTTTGAACTGCTTTGTGATTGTGTTCTGCGTAGCATCCAGTGCTCGGCCCCACATCGCGCCCTTGGGAGCACTTCAGTCAGTCGATGATAAGCATCCAGAGCCTGCGCTTCGCTTCCATTGCATCTAAAAAAAAGTAGTCATCTATGCCTAGTACCTGCGCAGAAAAAAATAAAAAATCTCCTCCAGCGCCACCACATGCGAGCCTGTCCAGGGCGTGCTTCGCAACGCCACAATGTGATTTCCTCAAGCTATTTATTTACAGCACTGGGTGCATCCCAAGCACCCGTCTGATAGACAGGTAGTACTCGTACAGATTGAGCTCCAAGTCCACCCTCACATACGAGAGCCAAGCCCGCAAGAAGCGGAAGAGGTTGCGCGGCCGCAGGATGCTGCCACTCAACGCCTCCATGTGCTCTTCGAATACAGTCCGGGATGCGTAACGAGCGAGGATCAAGAACGTTCGGATTGGTCCCTGGCGCGTGTGGAGGTTCTCATCGAGTGATCGTGCTGGGCGCAATCGTTAGTCTTGCGGCTGTTGGCCCCGTCTTCCACAAACTTACTCAAATCATTGGTCTTCAAAATAAGCAACATGACCCTAGGAACTTTGCCAAGTAGATCGACCAACTGCTGCAGCATACCCTCGCCAAGAGCAGTCGAGATGGCTTCCTTCTCGGCCGCATCTCTCGGCTTGTCCACACCCGCCGTCACGGCGGTGAAGTCTCTGCCAGTAATGGCGCTCGCAAACAAAGGGAAGTATTCATCGGGAATCCCCGCAACTTCCTTTGCGTATTTCCTCATACGAGTCTCGTCCGCATCCAGCACCGCGAGCCAGAGCTTGGCATACGATCGACGAATGTCCATGGGGATATCTCTGTACAAGCCATGATCGTAGAGAACAATGTCGAAGTTTCCTTTGCCCCATCGGGAAGGGTTATGCCGGATGGCAAGGTTACCGCCATGAGGATCACAGTGCAGCGGGGCGTTGGCGCCGAAAATCATCTCGTTGAATATACGCGCAAGAGCTGCAGACACCTCGTCACGGTCGATGCCGTGTGAATCAAGGTATTCAAGGTCATCCGGCCGACGTCCGGTGACGTATTCCATGACTAGGAAGCGGCGCTCCGCCCACAGCACGTCCGGAATAATCAGGGGCGCATCCTTGATGTTGGAGAAGTACTTCTTGGCCCGCATGGCGTTCTCGGCCTCTCTGCGGAAGTCCAGTTCTTGAGGGAGCGATATGTCCATCTCGGCGGCGAGCCATGTAAGATCGTACTCGGGAAACCATCTTTTCAACGTAGCGAAAGAGAACCGGGTCAGAGCCAAATCGAGCGGGGCCCATTCGTCCAGCGCGGGGTGCTGCACCTTGACCGCGACCTTCTGTCCAGTCTCCCTCACCACGGCGCAGTGTACTTGGGCCAGCGACGCCGCGCCGATTGGCGTTTCATCGAACTCAGAAAAGTATTCCCTGAGAGACTGTCCGGTGTCCTTCATCACCATGTCCTCGATCGACTCGAAAGATGACACCGGGCACTTGTCTTGCAGCGGAATGAACGTGTCGCACCATTCGGTCGGGAGGAGGTAGTTCATGCTACTCAGATGTTGTCCCAGCTTGATGAATATGGAGCCGTTCTTTTCCAACGTCCACAACGTTCTCTCCGCGCAGCGCTTGTGGCAGGCCTTGAGGAGCTCGGGGTATCCGGGGTCGGCGTCATGCTTGAGCGTTTTGCGATAACTTTGAAGCAAGCGCCGTTAGTCAGATACACGTATAGGTATGGCGGCATCTTACTCCTGAATGTTCACGTAAAGAGTAGCAACGACTCGCCCTGAGCGCCGAACGGCCGTGACGGCGTGCTTCGCATCGTCGCTCACCGCCACAGCCGTGGCGACAGCACCGCCGCCGGCTGCAGCAATAATAAGCCGGCGCCTTTTCTTCTGACGCGGTATGCTCCTTGCATTGGATTGGGTGGCGTAGCCGAGACGTTGACGCAGAGGTTGTTGAGACTGTTGCTGTTGCCGAAGGCAGGTCCTACAGGTCCACGGGGATGCGGCAGTCCTCCTCAGCAGGGGGGAAAACAAAGGGAAACCCAACATCATATGCGCATTTTGGTGAGAGGACGGGTGGCCGTTCGGAGGTTGTGCGCGCAGCCAGACGCTCGGGGAAGGCGGACGACAACAGGGTTCAGAGCGCGTGGGAGAGATGATGCTGCTCTGGCCAGGATCCCGACATTTTTTCGGACCTAGCGCTGCTGGTCAGCCACCTCCCCCTTCCGAGGTGGGAAGTCGCTGTGGCTGATGTGACCGCCCATATCTAATCTCCAGCATTGGCATTGGACATCATCAGAAAAGGCATCCTGCGACGCCGGACGTCGGATGCAACTTGTTCTCCTCCGCTCAGCGGAGGATACGTCACTGATCACGGCAGAGATTCCGTCGCTCATTTGCATCTGTAATTCTGGCAATTCACTCTGCTCGCTCGACTTTCACCCTGTTACTGCTTCTCAGCGACTCAGGTATCCTGATCAACCCCCACCCCCCTATCCTATCATCGCTGCTTTCCGCTACGTCGGCCTGCGTATCCAGGTCCACGTGAACCGCCTTAGCCATCCGCCGCCACAACGCCACTCGTTGAGGACTGAAAGCATCCGTTCTCAGCATCCGTGACATGATACATGCCACATGTTCATCATCTGCATACATGACCACCGGGCTTTCGCCCATCGTGGTCTGCATGCCACCCCAACCGTGAGACGCCAGAAGGAACGCCGTCCGCTAAATGCCAATTGCCTTTTTGAGTACCAGCAAATCGCCGAGTAAGCGATACGAGACCCAGCCACGCTAATGCAAGCAATGAGGAAAAGCCTGGAAAAAGAAGTATGGGATGAAGTAGCAATGTCCGCCTCCCGCCAGTAAGGCATCCCTATAGCAGCTGGAAGATTTTGCGAATGCAGTCACCCTGCGCTATGAAGGTGCTCATTCGACTTTCTCTCCAACATCAGGCACGTGTTGGCCAGGCCCGGCGGGAGGAGGCATTTGGGGAGGCAAAGAATGCTGGGGCATCATCGGCTGGCTGTAGGCGCCACTAGGGGTTCCGCGGTGTGGCTGAGGGTATTGATGGTGTTGGTGAGGACTTGAGGCGTACTGCATGTGCGGCTGTGGATAAGGGCCACGCATAGGTGTCACTGCTCACGGTTAGCCGACTCATGCTGGGTGATAACGAAGACTTACTTGATCCCGGTTGCATCTGATGGAACAGACCCGGGTATCCACCATTGGGCATAGGCATGAACTGCTGCGGGGCATGCCCCTGTTGAGAACCCTGGTGGACCATCATGGGTGCTGGACCAGGCCTCGGACTAGGAAAACCATTGGCACCAGGAGGTGCAGGCATCATCCCGGGTTGGTAAGGATAGGCCTGGCCTGGAGCTGGAGATTGCATCATTTGTTGCATCTGGGGCATCTGGGGCATCTGGGGCATTTGCGGCATCTGGGGCCCGGGGAACATTCCAGGACCATTCGAGTGCTGGCTCATCATGGGATGGCTACCCATGACAGGACCCTGGGCAACAAATCCCGGCTGAGGACCAACAGGTACTGCACGCATTGCTGGGCTCATCGCATAGGTTGCCGGCATAGCGCCCTGCTGGAAGTTGGGCATATGCTGTGGTACTTGGCCGTAGATGAACTGGGGCATGCCTGCACGAGGGGAAGGGTGAATCGAAGAGTTGGATGCTGAGAATTGCATGTTATGACCATCAAAGTGGGGAGCACCTGGATGATGGGGTTGGACAGGAGGGTGGCGAGGCGTGTGTTGGGGAGTGTGCACTTGCGGCATTCCCTGCCCGCCCTGTTGCAAATGAGTGGGAAGCTGGTGCTGGTGTGGAGGTTGAACGCTGTTGAGAGCAGCTTGAGGAGCCGAGTTCGGCTGGACTGTGATGGGAGCACGCTCAAACAGGTCTGCATACTTCTTTTCACCGTTCTGGTCCGAGACGTCCCAGGTAGGCGGGGTCCTGTAGGCCTGGGGAATGCCACCGTTGTGCGCGTAGTCTTTGCTCTTGTTCTCAGCCTGTACGTCCTTCTTCATACGCTTGATTGGGTTAAACACATCGGCCAAAGCGGGCTTGTCGGTGGCCGGAGTGGGCTTGTGTGAGCCGAAAAAGCTAGTCGTCGGGGCCCTACGTGGCTCTAGACGAGGCGGGGCAGACTCCTTCCTCGGACTCGATGCGTTGCTACCATTGCCTCCAGGTGTGAACGTGTTAGCAGCAGGATTGGGTCGGAACTCGAGAGCCTTGACATTGAACCTGGTCGAAATGCTCGAGGACGGCGTGTGCGATCCACTCGATGGCGCGGCAGGGCCAGAGGGCGGAATGCGCAAGTCGTGAATTGGCATCGGCATGGTAGGCATGCCCACACCAGCTTTGTGTTGCTGCTGCGTGATTGCGAGACGTTGACTGAGCATTCCCGGGCCATTCCTAGGTGGCATACCCGGAATGTTCTGAGCGTTCCTGTCGCCACGGGGTGCTTGAGGGTAAGGCCCCTGGTTCGGCCTTGCACCACGCTGATTAACAGGAGCCGGCGCCGCAGGCCCAGAGGCTCTCTGCTGCGTCTTGACATCGACGTTGTTGGTGGCGGCCTTCGCCTCGGTAGTCGAAGTAACTGAAGACTTGCGATCCTCGGCGGCCTTCTGAGATTTTTGCTTGATCTCCTGTTGCTTGCTGGGGTCCTTGGCTAGGATCGGAATCAAGTCCTCTGGAATGGGAGCACTGTAGTTGAAGTTCATCGCAAACTTCTTTAGGTCATTGAGCTTGACGTTCTTGTCATGCCTGGCGGCATGACGCTGCCTCTCCTGCAATTTCATCTTCTCATTGGCAGAAAACTGCTTGAAGGAGTCCAAAAGATCGTGCTCAACAGTGTTGGGCCCAGTCCGTCCGGGCTTCCGAGCTGCCATATCTGAAGTAGTTTGTTGCAGCGCTGGTGGCTGCTTCTTGTTGCCATCGGTGGTAGTCGCAGTTGCGGACGTCTCCGCGGGCTTTGTCGCGTTGCTCGCCGTAGTTGCCTGCTCTCCCGCGGCTGCGTTCGCTGCAGCTGGCTTGTCCTCAGATTTCGGCGCGGCGGGGGGAGCTTGCTGATCCTTGGTGTTGGCGGTCGGGGGCTGCGGAGGGCGAGCAGCGGAAGCCTCAGGGCGCGCGATTTGCGAGGAGATGATGGCTGGATCGACCGGCGCGCCTGGAATGGTGGCCTGCGCAGTAGGCGCTCTCCTTGCGGGTGGAGTGTACTTGTTGGACTGACCCGACGAAAGCGATGGCAAGTCGCGCTTGACCCCGCTGTACTTCTCTTCCTCGTCCAAACCACTATCATCGATAGCTGCTTGGCCACGCTCTTCCAAGACGTGAGCATTCAGTGCGGTACCGGACTCAATTTCCCTCGCAAGCCTTTCAGCCTTCGCTGCTCGGTCCCTGTACCGAGGATCGCTGCGATCGATCTTAGTAGTGTATAAGTCCTCGTCATAGTTGCTTGTAGCACCAAACAAGCGCTCGTTAGTCTCGAATTGATCCCACCCAGCACCGGAATTATCGCCAAGCGAAAGGTCAACGTCGGTGTCTGCGCTGGGAACCCATCGTTTGAGGTCGCGCTCCCGCGCCTGGAGGTGCCCAGAGATGTCGCTGTCAGTCTTGAAGCCAATGGAGGCTCCTGCGGGTCATAGGTCAGCAGGTTGTCATTTCCGAATCGCACGGAAAATACACACCGTTCTTGGCCTTCGTCTTATCCATGGCGACGTTCTCTACATTCAGAACGACAACATCCTTCACGTCGAAAACCATGCGATGGTCTTGGCCAACACCGCAGTAGTCCTGAGATTCTGATGTACCGTTGACCTGGCCACCGGAGGACGGCAGCCGCTTCACCATCTTGAAAGTGTAACGGTACTCCTGCTGCTCGAGAGAAGAGCTCGAGAATATACCGGAGAAGCGCTCGCCGCTCTTCAACGTGACAGTTGCCGGCATACCCTAATAGTTCGATGTTAGCGGAGGTTTTTGTACAACGCGTAATCGCGCCTTAGTGCGTGCATCACCGTAGGGACGTTGATGGCCTCTCCTTTGCGACAGGCTGTCGCCGAAAGTGGTGCACTTACAACAAAATTACTGATTAAGAAGATCATGCGGTCGTGCGCATGCTTATTGTTGTCCGCAGCCGAGGATTCCTTCGAAGGAACCGCCATGCCCTTGAGGCCTTTGCCTGCGCCGGCCACGCCGTTCGATAATGCCGGATTGTTGGGGCGTTGGGTAATCGGGTTGGTCCCTGAGGACCAAGCTTTGGGAGCAGGTGCTTTCCTACGGTGAAGCGAGACGTTAGCTGTGAGTGCTAAAAAGCTCCGCTGCGTGACCGTGAGTCGAGTAGGGATGGTTGCGACCAGACAGCGACCGAGTGGAAAGACGTGGTCGAGTGAGCGGGCATTGAAGATGAAGGAGAGAGATGCAGGTGGGAGCGCAGGCGGACCAATCGCTGCAGCGATGGTGTAACCTCGAGCCCGGGCAGAAGTCGAATCGGACCACAAGCGCGGAGGAGATTCGGTGGGTGAGAAACGGTCACATTGTGCCACGAACGAGGCTCATTGCCCACGCACGGCGGGCGGGTGGAGGGGAGCTTCTTACCTCTGCGAGGCGTCAATGGGGCTGGCGGCCTGCTTGCGCGTGCCGTCCATGGCCTTGCCGCTCGTTGTCGTCTTAAGCTGTGCCTTGTTGCTGCCAGAACTGACTGACGGCGAGGCGTTGCCGTTCGTGGCGTTCATGGACGCCATGGTCGGGTTGGGTGAGGGTCAGTCGAAGCCTCGTAGTTGGCGGGACGCAGGGAGGAAGAGGAGGACCGCGACGGGCCGGGGAGCTCTGGCCGGGGAGCGCCAAGGTACGGTGGTTGCGGCGGCGAGAGGCAGGAAACCGAGCGTTGTCGCCGCTGCGGGCACGGCGGGGGGAGGGAGGGTGTTCGGGCGAGGTCCTGGAAAGGGTGTCCTCTGTAGGTGAGGTGACGGCCCCGGTGTGAAGCCGTTGAAGGTTGTTGGATCGAGCGTGGTTTCACGCTAAAACGGAGATCCTGGCTGCCCGCGGGAACCCTCGAGTCTCAATCACTATTATGTACGGGCAGCAGTGTCGCGCACCACCCCAAGGCGCGGAAAACGAGGCGGCAGTCGGTGCAACCGGTGCCGGGGCGCGCAGGCGACTCGACGGGGCGTCTGGCTGGGGGTGTGCCCGCCTGCTGGGCGTTGCACAAGCAGTCGCAGCCGGGCGTTGCTGGCGGTGGAGCTGCTAGGCGCATGAGCTTGCTGGCCGCTCCAGCTCCGCAACGCCTCGCACCGCTCACCCACGCACGCGGCGCCCATGCAAACAGCCGCCGCGCGCGGGCATGCTGCGAGCGCTGGGCTTGCCCGCCTCCAAGTTGCAGCGCGGGACGTCTTCCGGCCCGCCCAGCCAGCGAGCAGGCGGGTGACTGGCAGAGACCGCCCAGCCACTCTTTCGTAGCCACACCTCCGCACGCCCAAAGCAGCAGGGCGGAGGACCCAGCGCGATTGGCAGCCGCCGCTAACCACCGACAAAAACGCCCTCGCAACACTTGCGTCCTGTGTGTCTCTGTCTTTGTTCTACGCCGCCTGCGCCTGCGCCTGCGCCCGCACCCCTGTGGCTCTTCACGCGTCTCAGGCACTTCAGCTGTCAGCCCCGCTGTCTTTCCGCCGTCTCTCGGCGGCCGTGGCGCAAGAGCACGTACGCACAGCGCGGAGCGGAGTCCAAGCGACAACGCCCGGCGGGATCCCTGAACGCTGGGCTAAGCATCATCAGCACCCGACACGCTCAGATGCTGCACGCTCGCATCTGCATCTAAGCTGCCATGCAGAGCCCCCCGACCGCACAACGACAACACCGCCGGTCGCCCGCGACAGACTCGGATCAGACTTTCTACTCCAACACCTCCAGCATGACGCTTGCCGGCGACGATGCCGGCTCCAGGGCGTCGTCGGCGTCCAACCGCTCCGCTAGCAGCCAGTCGCGGCGGCCCATGAATGTGAGTCGCGCAGCTTTTTCTCCCCAACGTGGCTGGGTGGGCCGCAACCTGAGCTCTGGCTGACTTCATTCCTTCGGCAGCCCCAGCAGCAACTTTCTCAAATTGAGAAAAGCGTTACGCACCTCCTAGTCGCCACGAAGCAGCTTCTCGAAACCCTCACTCTGTGGTCGCGCGGCACTGCAACGGAGAGCGAAGTCTCTGACGTCTATGTGCGTCTCGGATATGAGTTCAACATTGCCTCCCGCGCCTTCAACGCGATCGGTGTCGACACATCGGATCTAGGAAATGTCCCAGAGCTTCTCCGAAGCATATTGGAGGAAACCCTCAGTCAGGAAGCTTCCCAAGCGAGTCTCGACCGATTTCTTCCGAGGATACGGGACATCATAATCAATCTGCTGCATGGCCTGAAGAAAAAGCAGCAGAGATTACGCCAAAGAAGTGGCAGGGACTCGGCTGGATCCAACGGGTCGAGCTCCAGACACGCGAGTGTGGGTGAGGACGAAGCACAGAGACAAAAACGTCAGGGGAGCGGAGATCTGGGCCTTGACCACCCGGATCTTCCTCCACGGACTTCATCTGCTCACGGCAGGGCGTCACCCAGCAAGTATGAAGGTCAAGGCGCGCATTCGCGCGCCCGGTCGACCGCTAGCAATCGAGACGGGATGAACGCGTCTGACTCTTCGCTTTCGAGTAACGCCGCCCAAAACATTCCCATCATCGCCCCGTATCCTGAAGACGAAGGAGGCATGCCCGCGCCAACCCCACCTTCCTCGATTCCTGCGGATTTCCCGCCGCCTCCGCCTCCTCCGAAACAGCAAGATGCTCTAGCTGCGCTTCAGAGGGGTGGTGAGCTGGAGAGGAGGGCTTCGAGGCGGTTCTCAGCATATCAGATCCAGAAGCACCTAGGCGCCTCGAATGGCATTCCCATGATGCCACCAAGCCAGAATTCCCCGATACCCAACCGCGGGCGAGATGTGCGCGAGTCTATGAATGCCGTTCGCAAACGCGGCTCGCTGCTTCACACTCGCAAGCAATCCACTCAGCAGGCAGCTGTCGACGCTTCTCCTAGTGCGAACACACTGGCATCACGCAGAATATCAGAAGAAAGCAGCCAGAGTGATGCTGTTGCGCCTTCTCCAGCCGTGCCTTCCGCTGAGGGGGAAGACTCAGCCGTATCGGCCACAGATGATCAAGACGCCCAGCACGACGAGACTGAGGAGAAGCCTGAAGTCAGCGCGACCGTACCTGGGCCCGTCGATGACATCCCGGCCGCAGCGGAAGGAGACGACGACGACAAGAGCACTAAACGCCAAGCAGTAGTCACGCCTAGTCGTAGCGACTCTCGTAAAATAAAGCCGGCGACGCCTCCGCAGAGTCAAGAATTCATTCCGGATCAGTCTCCGCAGCCTGGTAAGGAACTGACCTTGTTCTTGCAATACAAAAGCAAGATCAAAAAGTTTGTTCTCCAGGACGGCTACAACGATCTTTCGATTGCGCGCCTACAGCTCGCTTTTATCGAGAAATTTGCCTGGAACACTCACAACAATGGCGTCGATCTACCAGAAATCTATGTTCAAGACCCAATTTCTGGCGTTCGACACGAACTTGAGGATCTGAGCGATATCAAAGATCGCTCCGTCCTCGTCTTGAATGTCGAAGCCCTAGATGAAGTGAAGCGTCATTTCGATGACGGCCTCGGCGACATCCGCAAGCTTGTTGAGAGTGTCAAGAGCGCAGTGGTAGACCAGCAATCGGCCCTTCAGCGAGTCTCAGATCGCCAGGCTCAGGCTGCAAAGGAAATGGCGGGTTTGTCCGTTGCTCCATCTGCTCGTACCTCAATCGTGTCACCTCGTCCCACCGGCAAAATCGGATCAATCAACCTCAAGGATTCTGCAGCGCAGCTTGACGAGATTCAGTCTCTTAGGCGTGATCTCGCAGTCGTTCGCCAGACTTATTCCTCCTTCGTATCGGATATCGAAGCGAGCATGGGCAACATCCGTTCGAAGGCTGCCTCTGTAAAGAGCGCAGCAATCAACGCCGAAGTTCCCACTTTGTCTGGTGAAACGGGCCGCTCCTATGTGAACAAGGGCAAGAAGACTCTGAACGACGATTCCGAGAAGATCGTCAACCGCGTCGACGATCTGCAGGATCTTGTGGAGGATCTGCGGAAAGATGTTGTTGCCCGTGGCGTGCGTCCTCGTCCCAGACAGCTCGAGGTGGTTGCCAAGGAGATCTCCTTTACCACATCAGAGGTCAAGAAGCTTCAGGATTTCCTCAAGAAAGAGAAGCCAATCTGGACCAAGCTCTGGGAACAAGAACTGCAGATGGTCATGGAGGATCGGGAGATGCTTACCATGCAAGAAGAGCTGGCGTTGGATCTGCAAGACGACTTGGAGAAGCTGTCCGAGACTTTTGGCCTCGTGGAACAGGCGACAAAGTCGCAAAATGTCCAAGGATCTGGCAATCGCCACACCAGCGTCAAGGCCTCGCATGCGATTGCCCTCGATACCTCGGCCGATCCTCGTGAAGCCAAGGACGGGATGCTCAACGAAGTCAGGGCTCTTCAACCTAATCATGAAAGCCGACTTGAGGCAATCGAGCGCGCTGAGAAGATCAGACAGAAGGAACTCGAAAGCCGCAAGGAGGGCGAGTTCCAAAGGGAGCTCGGTAAATTCGTCGAGGAAGGCAAGCTCAAGAAGAGTGGGGGTGTCGAGGAGGTCGAGCGCTTGCGAATTGCCAAGGATGAAAAGATTCGAAAGGAGGTTTTCGAACTTCAAGCTAAAAGAGCCATTGAAGCTGAGGAACGAAGGCGACAGAAGGCCGAAGCCAGGAGGCAGGCCCAGGCCGAGGCTGCAGCGGCCGCGGCAGCTGCAGAGAACGGCGAGGCTCCACAAGCAGAGGGAGAGTCAGCTGAAAAGCCAGCTGAAACGGAGGCGACAGAGGAAAAGAAGGAGGAGCAGGCACCCACCGAAAACGGTGGTGAGAATGCTTCGTCCTGAAGTCCTTGTGTCTCTTTCGCTCCGTCTGCTAATGAGGAGCACGCAGGGCAAGGCACAAAGCTCCCGTTTCCGTCCGATGCAGACGCGCCGCGGTTGAAGAGCGTCCTCAAGCCTTCGCAGCTTCAACATATCAAGGCCGAGCCCACTACTGCCCCGAGTACGAGAACGCGCACGAAGTCCAACACTCAAAATCCACAGCGCTACGAAGCGGCTACTGCGAGGGGATTCATCGGTTACGATTCTAAGAGCTCGGAGAATATGCTTGCCACGCACATGAAGAATAGTCCGTATGGCCGATCGGGACATACTGTTTCGGCATGTTCGTTCAAAGAGCCGGCTGGACGAATGACGAAAACTTCTCCCACGCGCTCACTGCCAGGTCAAAAATCGACATCAAGCGTTCGAAAGACGAGATCGTTTTGGAATAGCATCACAGGATTGGCTGGATGGTGATGTCGGATCCTTGTTCTTAATCTTCGCCTGTTTTGTTCAGCGTTTCCATTGTAACTATGTTTAGTTGTTCTTTTCATTTCTTGCCCCTCCTTCCACTGACGCGTCTTTGAGCGAGTAATCATTAAAGCCAGTCGCGTGCGGCATTTCAAAGGTGTCGTCTAGCGACGGGGAGTTTCTTTTCTGCTTTCATTGTGGTTTTGTTTGGTATCACGCCATGATCCTACGGGCTTCATGCTGAAACGTTTCAATGGTTTTCTTTCAGATTGAGCAATCAAGATTGGGTACAAATACACGCCGAGGTGTCTTGTCTGCAAGAGCTATGGGGAAAATGTGTCGCACGACTTGTCCAACGATGGAGGTGGAAACGAATGGATGTCAACCTGAGCAGGTGATGTAAGTGGCTCGCTGTGACGGCAGGAATAATGATGTGCTCAGCTGTATCGGAGCGCAGTTAAGTTAGATTTCATGTATAATTCCCTAATCGCCCTATGCACAATGACAGCTACAGCTTTCGTCGCCTCCGAGCTACGGTATGATGATACAGGAGGGCATATGCGCAGCCATGCGCAAGCTGCTGGCTTCATGTGCCAACAGAATTTATACTGACGGAGCAGCTCGTGTCCAGAAGAAGCTCGTTTGTTACGACGCGATCGGCTTCCCGAGGATGACTGGCCTTGGACATCAGCATTACGAGGATGAGTGTCTCTCACATGCAGGACTGGCCCGGACTTTATCGAATGATACGACCGGTGGTAGGGCATGATGCAGTGGCGGTCCGTGTAGCCGCACCATATGCATCCTTCGCGCGCAGTCAATGTGCGAATCACGGCAGGAAGATGCCGACAGAAGCCGCGGCAGAGAGACAGAGAGCCGAAGCGGGAAACACCCATCTCGGTTGCTCGCGTCCTGGATCGGGCAGAAGCCGGTCGAGGATCCACTCATCCATGCTTCTCGCCTTGCCCTACATATCCCCAACCACTGCTCACTACTACACGCCCCGCCGCTCGACCCATGCTTGCTACGATCTGGTCACCGGTCCTTGTCGGGTTTTCACAGTTACCGTCCATGATCCCGCAGGATGCACCCACCCCCGGCTTTCGGCCCAGCCAGCGGTCAAAAGGCTCTAAAATTAGGAGTGAATCCTTCGCATGCCAAGCTTTTCCGCCGGCGCCAACTGTGTGAGCAGACATTTTAAAATGAGCCCCTGCGCTAGCCGCGGCTTCTTTACCCTGGGACTTTTGGGGGCGTGTCGGACCATGCGATGCTTGGCGAAGGATGCAATGCCACTGCAGCATAGTGTCTGCAATGCCGCTGTGACTCGGAGGAGCCGAGGCCGGCCTGCACACGCTCCGCACAGCTCGGTCGAGGGTGATGTTCCGAGGGGCGAGAAGCCAATCGCGCCGCTCGTGGTGCAGTCTGGCCATGCTCGGTTGTGGCAGACGGCGACGGAGAGTGGAGTGGTGCCTGGCCCGTTGGCACAAGCAGACAAGCAGCGATGCCAAGCTCATTGAACTTGCCCGAAGGGGGAACGCAGAGGCATCGAGGCAGACGCTCTGACGGCAGAACCACCATCTGCGGCCTAGCGCCAGGCAACCATGCTCGCTTTCGCCCGTCGGCACCATCCGCTCGGTCTCGTTCGGGCTATAGCCCGGCCAGGATCGCGAGAGTTGTATTATTGAGCCGCGCGGGAAGACCAATCTGCAGGTGGGTACGATGTGCCATCCACAGCGCCTCTTGTTCGACTATAAGATGGACGGGAGAGACGATGGCGTTGCGGCTTTGTTTAACTTCTCCACCGTTCAGCCTCCCGTCTGTTAACGAAGAGCCAGTCTTCACTTGTCATTTTGGAGTGCAAGCCAGTCCAGTTTGGATCACCTCTCGCACGATATCTATACCTTCTCTCCACCTTTACCTTTTCCCCGGTGACGATGCGTTCCGCCACCGTTGCACTCGTGGCCGCCGCCACAGCCGTCGGCGCGCAAACCACGTCAATTTCATTCTTCTACCCTGCCGAGCAGCCCTCGTACGATGAATACAGTGACATCGCACTGTCCATCGTCGAGGTCCAGGACGCCGACCACACCGTCGTCGCCTTCTCGTGCCTCGACGCCACCACCACCACTTCGGCCGACTGGCCCTACAGCACGAGCTCCGACTCCGACAGCGACAGCGACAGCGACAGCTACAGCGACCCCAGCTACTACAACAACTGCGTCTTCGTCGACGGCGCGCTGACGGCCACCGTCGGGCCCGACTCGTTCGCCTACACGACCGTCATGTCGTACAACGACGACTACTACGGCACCTACGACTACAGCATGACCATGGGCTGCACTTCCGCCGCCGATGCCGCCTTCTGCACCATCCAGTCCGACGGCGCCGACGCCTGGTCCGACTACTGCTCGTACAGCGCCGACATTGTAAGTTTTGTTTCCTTTTCCTCCCCTCTATTTCCCTCGCCTCCATTTCCCTGACCCCGCCAAACCCTCCTCCTGACTCCCCCTGCGACAGGACTACGACGACACCGCCGCCCTCACCAGCTGCATCTCCACCCACGCCTCCTCCACCCTCCCCGCCTACACCTCCGCCCTGCAGGCCTCGGAGCTCTCCGCCATCACCATGCCCGTCACCGCCGGCGCCGGCAAGCTGAGCGCCGGCGCCGCCGCCAGCGCCACCGGCTCCGCGTCGTCGACGTCGCACACCAGCAAGTTCACCGTCTCCGCCAGCGCCGTCAACGGCGGCGCGACTACGACGATTGGGGGGCCGAGCGCGAGTGGTAGTAGTAGTGGTAGTGCTGCGGCGACGGTGGCGCAGCAGACGGGGAATGCTGCGGCGGCGGCGGGGAGGAGGGTGGTGGGGGGGTTGGGGGGCGTGGTGGGGGGTGTGGTGGTTGCGGCGTTGGTGTTGTGAGGGTCGAGGCTGGTGGTTTGGTTGGAGGGAGGCTTGGTGGTAATTTGAAGGGGAGAGAGAGAGAGAGAGAGAGAGAGAGAGAGAGAGAGAAAAGGAAACGGGCGGGGGAGGGGTTTTATTTTCACGTGTTATGCTTGAATGCCTTAGTTAATTACTGTTCATACTTATATCCCGCACCCGGTTTTAGAGTAGCAGCGATGTGGTAACGCGCTGATGGATCTATAATAGAGGAGAGATGCGCGTGTACTCGCTTCCTGAAGGCGCTATGTGCTCGTTGGTGTTTGTCTGCAATTCTGTACCTAGCAGTCCCACTCTTAAGAGTCTGGCTCGCCACGGTTTGATTCCTTTCTGAGTGATCAATTTGATGACCTCTTTCCACGTCAAGGTCGCGTTGAACGGCAAGCGGATGCAAGTATGTGTTCGGTTCAATGCCTCAATTGATCGTGGTAGGTAATGGTCCAGGTACAGCCCAAGATTTCCCCTGCTTGCAGCCATCCCTAGGTATCTGGCAGCCTGTCGATCTGAGATCTGAAAGATGTATCCACAGCTTCATTGGACGTCGAAGTGGCGTTAAGCCAAAAAGTCCCTAGAGCAAAAGCAAGCATGGTGAGGCCCTCTCAGAGTCCACGGCGAGAAGCATCGCTCGCTGTCTCCCGTGTGCGCGGATGCATGCGCCAGCGCCAGCCAGCAGAAGCGTCGGACAGGGCCACACAGGCATTCTGGAAGGACTGAGGAAGTTTTAGGCCGAATAAGTGGATGAAAGTGGCCCCTGGGGTCATGTGGGACGGGCTGGTCCCTGGCGATCTCGGTAGGGCTTGACCCGACCGGGGGCGGCCAGCCTGTGACGACGACGCACATGGCCGACAAGGGAAAGTCCGCCTGCCTGAGACACCGGGGGAACGTGCCTGCCGCGCAGCATCGTGGGGAAAGAAATCACGATGCAAAAACAGGGCGTGACAACACAGACACGTCGTCGCTCCCTTTTGACCGCCGCCGACGCGCTGTTCCTCGCCCGCTGTCTCTCGCTACTCTCTCCCTTGATCACAGCGTGTCGCTGACCGGTTGCCGCCGTCAACTCCTCCTCTGCAGCATCATCCCAGTCTACGAGTGTGCTCAGGCCTCCAATACCTCCTATCCTACCCCACGAATAGGACCACCCCCACCACCACTTTCTCCCGCACGACCGCCCCCGCTGCGCGACCACCCGAGACGTCGAGATGCGGGACCTCGGTGCTCCCCACGAGTCCACCGCCCACGAGCCGTTGATCGGCGGCCGCAGCTCGCGGGAGCTTCCATCCCCGACCGCGTACGAATACGACGAGGGCGACGACGACCACCACGCCGACGATGTGGACGAGAGCAAGATCGTCTCGCCAGGACTGTTCATCTGGGCGCTGACATTCGCCGCCGGCGTGAGCGGACTGCTGTTTGGCTACGAGTGAGTGGGATCCACAAAGTTCGAAAGCGGACATGTCCATCCAAAAGGCGCGGGTTATTGTGCGCGTGAGGATATACATGTGTGTGTGTGTTTGCGCGTGTGCACATGGGCTTATTGTCGATTGTCTCCAGCACCGGCGTCATATCCAGCACCCTCGTCAGCATTGGGACGGACCTGTCCGGCCGCGCGTTGACCACGCTCGACAAGTCGCTCGTGACGTCGGCGACCAGCCTGTTCGCGCTGATAGCCAGCCCGGTCACGGGCGTGCTGGCCGACGCGTGGGGCCGCAAGCGCGTCATCCTCGTCGCCGATGTGCTGTTCTTGGTCGGCTCGCTCGGCCAGGCCTGGGCGAGCACCGTGTGGGGCATGATTCTCGGGAGGAGCATCGTGGGGCTGGCTGTGGGGAGCGCGAGCTTTGTCGTGCCTTTGTACGTCGTCTCTCCTCTTTTTTTCATGTTGCCGTCGTTTAGGATAGGAGCTCGACCCGCACAGAGAGAGCAGAGAAGAGCACATGCATGCTTGTGCGCGTGAGTAACATTATGGACTAACACGACATGTCGCCGGCGTGCAGATACATCTCGGAACTGTCACCCTCCCCCTTCCGCGGCCGGCTGGTCACCGTCTCCAGCCTGTTCATCACCGGCGGCCAAGTCGTCGCGTACATCGTCGGCTGGCTCTTCTCCGCCACGCCGCACGGCTGGAAGTGGATGGTCGGCCTGGGCGCGCTGCCCGCCGTCCTGCAATTCCTCACCCTCGGCTTCATGCCCGAGACGCCGCGCTGGCTGGTGAAAGCCAACCGCAAGGACGCCGCCCGCCGCGTGCTGCGCAAGGTGTACGGCGCCGACGACGCCGACGCCGACGGCACAGCAGACGTCGGCAAGGACAAGCTGGTCGAGGCCCTGCTGCGCCGCGTCGAGAAGGAGGTCCTGGAGGAGGAAGAAGCGGCCAGCTCGCGCCGCCACCACCACTATAACAACGCCTCAAACACATCATCGCCCCCCAAACCCGGCACGCTCGCCGCCAAGCTCGCCGCCGCGCACGACAGCTTCGGCGAGCTCGTCGGCGTGGGCGCGCACCGCCGCGCCCTCGCCATCGCGTGCATGCTGCAGGCCTACCAGCAGCTGTGCGGCTTCAACTCGCTCATGTACTTCTCCGCCACCATCTTCGCCCTCGTCGGCTTCCGCTCCCCGACCCTGACGAGCCTGTCCATCGCCGTCACCAACTTCGCCTTCACCCTCGTCGCGTTCCACTCGATCGACCGCGTCGGCCGGAGGCGGATCCTGCTGCTGAGCGTGCCCATCATGGTGCTGGGGCTGGGGCTGTGCAGCGTCGCGTTTGGGTTTTTGGACTTGCCCGAGGAGAGCGCGGATGATGCGGCGGCGGCGGGGGTGGTGGCAAAGGTGTTGAGGAGGGTGGTGGTGCGGGATGGTGGTGATGGTGATGATGCTGGCGCCGCGGGTCCGTGGGCCGTGGCGATCTTGTTGGCCATGGTCATATACGTCGCCAGCTACGCCGTGGGCATGGGGAACGTGCCGTGGCAGCAGTCCGAGTACGTCGACGTCTTTTTTTTTTTGATCCTCTCTCTCTCCCCCCTCCATACTTTATTTTTTTTTTCGCGTACGCGCTGACGAGAAGCCAAACAAAACAGACTCTTCCCCCTCTCCGTCCGCTCCCTCGGCTCCGCCGCCGCCACGGCCACCAACTGGGGCAGCAACTTCCTCGTCGGCCTCACCTTTTTGCCCATGATGGAGGCGCTGACGCCGGCCGGCACCTTCGCTTCGTACGCGCTCGTCTGCGCCGCGTGCTGGTACACCGTCTATCGCATCTACCCGGAGACGGCGGGCCTGGGGCTCGAGGACGTCGGGGGCCTGTTGGCGGACGGTTGGGGCGTGAGGGAGAGCTTGAGGAGGTGGGCCGAGAGGAAGAGGGTGATGGGGAGGATGGGGGAGTGAGGGGGGTAGGGAGTGGTTTTTTTTCGGGGTTTCAATTTTTTTTCATGAGAGCTGGTGTGGTAGGTAGTAGTTTTTCTCGTTCTTTCTTTCTTTCTTTCTTTCTTTCTTTTTCTCTTATGCGATACAGCGTAGCGCGGCGTGGAAGCTAGATCGGATAGATAGATGGATAGACTGTAGATGTCGGGTGTTTATTCGGCGGCTCTCTGAGATGTATCGTATGATGCTTTATTTTTTTACTTTTTATTTGCAATTGTGACTTCGCCATGCGGAAGAGGTCTTCCGTGGCTGCAAAGGCATCAACACGCATCATTCGTATCAGGTGACAATACGGTTCTCTCTTGTTTCGACGAAGCATGGGAAAAACAACAACATCCTTGGAAACCCTTGTCGCCTGGGTTTTTTATGAGAAACGGATGAGGGCGGCGCGTTTCACTTATAAAAATTCGCGTCCGTCTTTTCCTTGGCTCTCTCTCTCTCTTACTATGGGACTACACAGTCCACCTTCCCGCCCCCCGGCCCTCCTCATCCTCCCCTTCTTTATCTTATTTCCCTTTCCAAGGCCGTTAGATTGCAAGATGAACAGCTTGTTTTTTTCTTTGCCGTCGTTGTGTATGTGCGTGTGTGTGTGCGTGTATGTGCTCTGAGCGCAGACCGTGTTCTGGAACGCCGTAGGGCAGGGCCATTGCTCACCTGTCTGTCTGCTGCACCCACCCCATGCATGCTGCAAAGACCGTTGTGGCCATGGGCACGGGCTGTGACGCGCCAAGAGGGAAAAAGAGCAGCAACAACGCGCGCGTTGGTCTGTGTGTGAGACTGTTGCGAATGATTTGTGGGGCACGTCGAGCTACGTTGTTGTCCTTGTGGTCTTTTTTCTTTGGGGAAAAGAAGGCGAGGTGCTACCTGCCCCGTTGTTTGTTCAGGTTTGCCCTTCAATTAATGAAGGCGAATGACGGGACTGGGTGCGTGAGGGGAGAGGAGGAGCCAGGTGCATGTGGTTGGCTTTCGTTTGATTAGGCTTCTGAACGCGTTTTTTTTTTTCATCTAGACACTTTTCCCCCCTGCTTCTTTGTTTGACACACCCACTAAAAACGGGAAAAAGAGACTTGGAATATACGCAATGAGTCGTAGTCCTCTGGTTTGATTCGTGTCTTATCGCTGTGGGGATTTTTACATGCAGGAAGAAATAGGCGGTGGATGCGTGATGAGTTGGTCACGATTAACCACAGCGAAGCAAAACTGCCTAACGATAAGCGCGGGGGGAAGTTTGTCCGGGCGTGCCTATAACTTGGGGAGGGGGCCAGTGAAGGGGATGAGGAACAAAATGGCTCAGTAGTGAAAGCACACAATATGACACTAATGCAACTAATGCAGCGGGACATATCAGCATCGTCCCGAGCTCTCCGGGGAAGCCTTTTCCCCCAAATGTCTCAGAGCTCGGGCGATTCTGCATCTGCTGCTATCGTGTACGTGTGTACTACGTGGTGGCGAATTCAGGGGGGGCCGTGAATGGGCTGCGGCAGCCTGCAAGACGAACATATTTCCCTTGGCTGGTTGGTTTGCGCAGGCAAGGCTGCGGCATTCTGAGTGGAACAGGTTTCTGGGTGGAAACGGCGCGGCCAATTGGCATGCCTTGCTGTCCCCCATCCATCAGTCAGGCGGGCTTCTGTCCCGGACCGCTGGTATCGGAATCAAAAAGCAAAGGGAACGAGAAACGGTATGTATTCACGGCCGGCGGCTGGTGGATGGCTGTCGTGTGCGGTCGAGATTTCGCCTCACGCTTTCTCTCCCGCAGCTCCGCCCCATCCCTGCCCCGGGCGTCGATCTACCATGGACCCGGGAGCTGCGGGCGCGGGCAGCCAGGCAGGTCTCTCTGTCTCTTCCTCTTTGTGTTTCCGGTGCGTGGCTCAGGGCGGCGGATGCGTGCACGCGGGTCCCCGAACACAAATCGGACGACGTGGAGGATGGGAGGGACTTGTTGAGGGCGTTGAGGTTCCACATTTCCGCCTTGTTCACCTTCTTGCATGGCTGATCGACGGGTGATGCACTATTGTCCGGCGGCTGCGCGGAATCCACTCCGGCTGTCTTTGCTCTGAGTGGGCGGCCCTGCAAGGGAGGAGGGAAAGCCAGGCAGCCGTGAGGGTGACAGCGTCGCTGATTCGCACGTGTGTGATGGCGTCCCGGCATTATCTTAGGTCGGATATCAGAAAGCGTTGCGGGCGCGAAGCCAATGGGATCGCATTTCTGGACGAACATGTTCACTTCCCCAGCGATCATGGGTGAGGACAGGGGTTGAGAAGCGAGTGCACGACTGCTTAACCGGGCTGAGAGAGACAGCCGAGGCGAGGCGGAGCCCGGCCGTGGTTGCTTGAGGAATGGCGACCAGCCATCGGAGCGGCGTGATTGGCCGATTGCTGCTCAAGGCAGGAAGCAGCACGGATGAGCACAGATGAGCACAGGAGAGAGGTGGTGGTGGTGAAGGGCGACAGGGGTGTGTCTGCCTGCCTGCCGTTGGATGTGCCCGGGAAGGGGGATGCGCGTGGGTCCCGCTGCCAGTGAGCCAAGCTTTTGACTCTTCTCCACTCCCCCGTTCGTTAAAAGGTGCACTCCCGCGATGGGCGTTGGAGAGGACGAGGACCGCACGCACCCAGGTGGCTGCTCGTACTCGCTGCTCTGCATGATCATCAAGGTTAAAAATAGCCGGTTTGCCTCTCCAGGCCAAGGCAGAGGGTAATTAGAGCAAAAAGGACAAGAAAACAGCAGTCCTCCAGGACGAGCAACGGCACGGCGCAGGCTGGTGCACAGAGTCCCGAGGCACGGACCGAAAGGATGGCAGGACGGTGGTGGTAGTGCAGCCAGCTAGCCAGCCTCACACGCTCATGGTGAAGCAGGCTGCGAGGTTGACTCTCAAGCCTCAAGGCTGACTCTCCGACCGTTGCCCCGTCGTTATTTCCTTCTCAGCCGAGCAAGGTCCCCTGGCAATGGGTAGCGCCTTCGCGGCGTTTCTCGCTGCGCTGCTTCGCTCGCTTGTGCATCGTCGACTTGGGCTTCATCAGCTGCTGGCTGCGCAGGCAGACGCGCGTCAGGCGTCCTGCTCCGGCTTGTGGGGCCTTCTTTCCTTTCCATCATCTCGCCGTCCTTGGTTCGAAGCGCCTTCGTCTCGAGCAATTCGGATAACGGCAAGCGCGGGCTCCCCTGCCGCCGCGTCGGCCATCTTTGAAAGCGCCACCGATAAGGTTGTGGCAGAAGAGCCCGAGAGAAGACCGTTTGATGAGACGCCGTGCGTAATATCAAAATGGCGCCGGGCAAGACCAACGCTGCACACAGACCCTGCGCCTGGGCGAGGCAAAACCGGCAAACGCGAGCGCGAGACATTCAATAAATCAGAGATGCTCCGGTGGCGCCGAGAGAAAAATTGCCTATCCTTTGTCCTGGAAGGCCCCGTCGCCGTACAGTCGCTTCCCCTCTCAGAATAGGGGGAGCAGCGCCCATGGTCACAGTCAGCAGCATCCTGACTCGCATCCTCCGACATGGGGGACATGCATCACGGGCAGACAAGGCCCGGGGCCCAGGCTTTTTGAGTGCGGGTTGCGTCGATCCAGAGCGCCGTGACACGCTGGGTTCAAAGGATCGATTTGAGACGCCTATTTAGAAACTATTACACCTCCTATGCGCAAGATGACAGGACAAGACCAGAAAGGAAACCAGCAAAGCACACCAACAATCGAAAGGGGTCTCCGGCGTTTTTGCCAGAACTAAAAGAAAGGTGCCTCCAATTCCCAGACCAAGCAAGCGACCAGGCACGGGTGACGGATGTACTGGGGGGGTAGTGGGAACGCGCATAATCCTATCTCATTCCGTGACCATCAAACCCGCTACTCGTCAACCTGAGATCTGACTTCCACACTGAAGACTCCTGCCGGTGTAATTGAATCCGAAAGCCCTGCGCAAGATGAACGCCTCAGGTTGCCGAGAATGAGAAGCTCTAGTATGTGGGATGGACCATGTAACTAAGAGAAGCGTCCACGCTTGTCTTCATTCACCGTACTCCATCATTCGCATTGAGCTTCGTTCGTGCTTGTGAGCCCAGTGTCACAAGCCACGGATGTGTCGGCCATGCGCAGGCACCCAACGAAGCAGCCGTGGTGGTTGGTTCGCGTGGGTAATTTACAAGATGCTGCACTTCTTCTTCTCCTTCTTGCGCGTCAGCAGCGCAGCCCGCGTTGCGTGCTCAAACACCTCGCGCACGCCCTCGTTGGTCTTGGCCGAGCACTCGAGGTACTTGAGCGCGCCGATCTTCTTGCGGACATCTTCGGCCTGGAGTGGGGCGTTAGCGACCGCGCCTTGCACCAACCGCCCTGGCCGACGCTTACCTGCTCAGGAGTGACGGGCTTCTGCGAAGTCTTGTGCAGCTCCTCGATCGTCTTTTGGTCGTGACGCAGATCCTTCTTGCATCCAACGAGGATGATGGGCAGGCCCTGGCAGAAGTGCAGGACCTCGGAAATCCACTGCGGTCGGGCTCCGTCAGCAAACAGCGAGCGAGCGAGTCAGTGGGCAGCGTGGCAAACCTTCTCCTGAACGTTGTCGAGCGAATCGGGCGAGTCGACGGCGAAGCAGATGAGGATGACGTGCGAGTCGGGGTACGACAGCGGGCGGAGACGGTCATAATCCTCCTGACCGGCGGTATCCCATAGCGCTAGTTCGACGTGCTTTCCATCGACCTCGACATCGGCAACGTAGTTCTCGAAAACCGTGGGAACGTAGACCTGCTCGCACTATCAGCATCGATGCGCTCGCACGTCGGGCCAGGCGACGATCGGAGGGCGCTCGGCGGAGCTGACGCCCGGCGACGGGCTCCACGGCCGCGAGGACGAGGGAGGGTGTGCTGACCTCAGGGAAAGTGCCCTTGGAGAAGACGCTGGCGGGCGGCGGGCGTTAGCAGAGCGTCAGGAGGAGGCTGCCAGGCGCTGGCGGCAGCGCGGCAGACAAACGGGGAGGCACTCACATGAGCAAGCAGGTCTTGCCGCACGCACCGTCACCGACGATGACGAGCTTACGACGGATCTCAGCCATCTGTGCGACTTTGTTAGGAAGGCGTGCGGTCGGGTCGTGGGAGATGGCGCGGGTGGGTGGAGGACGGTGATGTCGGGGGAGGAAGTGGTTGAGTGTCGCGGGAGGTAAAGGTCGGAGCGAGGCGTACTGACTTTCTGGGGCTAACAAACAGCACAGCCGCAAATACGTCTTCTGGACTAAGGGGGCGGTCAAAGCTGCTCCGGGCGGTGGCTTTGGCGATGGCGGTGCAGGGCAGCGGGATGCGCGCGTGAGGACGGAGCAGGTGCAGGAGAGAGTGAGTTTGGAGCGAGAGGAGCGAGAGGCAGAGCTGCCGCTGGCTGTTGCTGGGCAGGCAACGTCCTCACTACCACCGCCCCCTTTCGGCTAGGCCCGCGTGCATCGGGCCAGCAGATAACGATGAATCACGCCGCAGCGCGATACCAGCAGCAGCACCACCGCCCTCGCGCCTCACGTGGCGCCTGTTTCCAGGTGCGACCGCGCGGGACTCTGGGGCCCGTCTTGACATCACCGCCCGACGCAGTCCACGTCGCAGCCAGAGCGGGCGTTGCCTGGCCGCCCCGGGCAGTTGCAGCCCTCCCCGCTTGGCGACGACCGCGCGCGCACTGGCACAATGGCAGCACGCCTTTGTGCACGCCCAGCACACCAGGCCCGCGCCGGAGCCCGTGGCGAGCCTCCGTTTCGGGCCCGCTCCCCTTCCCTAGGTTGCCGGCCTTGGTGCTCATTTCCATGCCACCGGCCGCCGCCGCTGCCACGCCGCGCGCGCGCTCGTGGGAGCTGGGCGCCGGATCAACGCGGTGCTGACGACCGCGCGCACAAGCTGGGTGGCAGCCTTATGCACGAGCGGCGCGCCGATCGCCCGCTGCGGCGCTGCGCGGGCGTGGACGAGGATGGCCTCTGGTACTCCATCCTGCCCCATTCGGCAGTCGTCTCTAAGGGATGCGACGCTTTTTCGGCGGCGCCAGCCCGACACACTGAACATCACGGCCGTCACCGGTGCAATCTGCAGGGCTGAAGACCCACCAGTGCTATTGCCTTCCCCAGTTTTCCGCACGCTCAAGTAATCACTCGATTTGCAGGCCCGGCGGCGCTCACCAGCCCTTTGGCGAGCCAGATCGGCCGCCGCTGCGTTTGATGCCGGACTGTATGTACATCTATCTCGCTCTGCGTCTATCAGCACATGCGGTGAAGGAGCAGTCGGAGCCGCGGTGCCCCATTGCCCAAATGCGTAATCAGCGTCATTGGGCAGCTTCTCTCCGCCTATTCTGGCGCCGCTTGTCAGTGCTTCATGAACCACTACCTCTTCCGGCACGGTAGCTTGTAATGTTGAGTCAGCGTGCCTGTTGATTATTGTACCCGGAATCATGACTCTTGGCTTCGAGTGCTTTCCATGGTCAGAGGTGCTGCCCGGTCTAGCACATTGTGGCACGCAGCGCATGTCCTGCAATTAGAGTGGCACGCCGCTCGAAGACTGCATCACCAGCCCGTGAGTGCGACGAGACAGGTGAAAGTAGACCGGCAGATGCTGTTTAGACATTGTTGCTGTCCTGTCCAGCCCTGCCGCAACCAAAGTTAGGCGCGGAGTTTAGCGGGCGGCGGGGAATCCAGGGAGCGGGTGCCTGGTGCTTGCCGTGGGTACATCATCGCTTTAGCTCAAGCCGGCCTCACCACAGCTCCAGGCTCAACGGCCACCCCTCCACCATTCAACCACCCCCCGCCTTTCCTCATCCGCTGCGCCCGCAGCACCCCACGTCAGGTCTCCCTGCAGGTCTTGCAAGCAGACCAGACTCGCCATGTCCGACGCGCTGTCCGACGCGGATAAGGTACGTTGCCCCACCCACCTAGCCACCCAAGCCGCATCGCACTGATATCTTTGAGTAGATCCGCAACAAGCGCCTCGCAAAGCTCGGAGGCCAATCTTCTGCTCCAGCATCGCCTACTCCCGGCGACTCAAACAGCCCGTCAGGCGCTGCTTCGCCTTCTGCCTCGACGCCGCAGCCCGCAAGTGCCCAAAGTCCGGCCCTGGCCACAGCACCATCGCTCAGCCCGAGCTCCACGCCTGCCGCCGTGACGGAAAGCCAGGCCTCCGCGCCCAAGATCAGCATTACCAAGAAAGCCCCGACGTCGCTACCCCAGAAGCGTGATAATGAGAGCGAGTCTCGGCCACGACCCCGTCCCGCTGCGGCGCCTGAGAATTTTGAGGCGTGGCAACACAGGACACTCAGCACCATCTTCAGGGTAACACTGGATGAGACACACACGCAGGATGCGCATGGAAACCGCTTGGCCTACGTGCCTGGTGTGAAGGGAGACCTGGAGGATGCTGGAAGCCCGCTGCTATTGAACACGACTGTGCTGGAAGGGGTACTTTTTGAGGCCGCGTCCAACCGGCCTGATGGCAAGCCGTTAAACTGGCTGTTGTCATGCTGGAAACGTGCGGCCAGGGTTTCGAGAGGTGCAACCACTGCGGACAAGAACGACCCGGCGCGAGCTGAGGTAATGAAGGAGGCTAAGAGGCTCACCTTAAGCTACACCATGCTTGCGGTCAACGTACCCGACATGTTCGGGCTGGACTCATGGCTTGTGAACCCTCTGGCCCAACACCTGCTGAACGACCCTGAGGATGAATATGGCATATGCCATGATTTCCTGAACGAAGCTGTCTCACGGCTCGAGGAAGACGAGTCTATCAAGGAAGCATTGGTCGGCGCGGTTGAGCAGCTCAGTCAGGATCTGAGCAAGAAGAGCATGAACGACCAGTTTAAACCTTATATGCTGGTATGTCACAGATTCCCCACCCCTGTTATATCCGTATAAGTGACTCTTTGGTAGGCTCTGCGCAATATCTGCCAGTATCCTCCGCTTGTAGTAGCTCTGTCACAGTCACCCAAGTTCTTGCCATCGGATATCACTGCGCCCCGTTTGGAGCATGACACGTTGCTGGGCCCGTTCTTCAAGCTATCACCGTTACAGGCCGAAGTCGCGCTAAACTACTTTGCCGGATCACGAACCAGGGATAGGTCTGTCATCATGAATGCGCAGCGAGCTCTGCGCATGACTCTGGCGACACACCAGGATGAACTTTTCGACGTGGCCAACCGCTTCATTCGGGCAAAGGATTCCCGGTCGAATATGCTTGATTGGTTTGCGGCGACGGTCAACAAGAACCACAAGCGCCGCGCTATGCGTGTCGATGCGAAGCATGTCTCATCTGATGGCTTCATGAACAATATCACGGTTATACTCGATCGCCTCTGCGATCCATTCATGGACTCGACATTCTCTAAAATCGACCGGATAGAGATTGATTACATGCGGAGAAACCCGCGTGTCGACATCAGTGACGAGACCAAGATGAACGCAGATCAGAACGCATCCGACGAGTTTTATTCCACGAAAGTCGAAGGAGAGAACAATTTTATCTCAGAGTGCTTCTTCCTCACTGTAGCGGCTCATCACTATGGTACCGAAGCTGCTCAGAGCAAATTGACCCAACTTCAGAAAGACCTCAAATGGATGGAGCGTGAGCTTGAGAAGTTCGAGACGGAGAGGCACAAGTACGCTCATGTAAGTTTGGCAAGACTTCTCTAATCGTGATATTTTGCTTACCCGTCCCAGAACCCGGCGCAGCTGCAGGTATTCGAAAATGCTTTGAAGAAATACAAAGATGCCGTCGAACGTAGCCATTGCACCATCTTGGCAACCCAGGGAGTCCTTCTTGATGAGACGATTCAAGGACGGGCTATGCAATTCATGCGATACGTCATTGTCTGGATGCTGCGTATCGTCAGTCCCGGTTACCCTCAGAAGGCGTTCAAGCTCCCGCTTCCTGCGCAGCAACCAGAAGCTTTCAAATGTCTGCCGGAGTACTTCCTCGAGGATGTTGTGGACAACTTCAAGTTCATCACCCGCATGATGCCTCAGATTGCAACCTCGACACAGTGCGAAGAACTAATCGCAATTTGTCTGACCTTCCTACGAAGCTCGGCCTACATCAAAAACCCCTATCTCAAGTCTGGACTTGTCACCATCCTTTACTACGGGACTCTGCCCTTCCAAGGCCGGTCCAAGGGCGTGCTTGGAGATCTTCTGTTTGCAACCAAGTTTGCCACCGACAACCTCCTACATGCTCTGATGCAATTCTACATCGAGTGTGAGAGCACTGGTGCCCACACGCAATTCTATGATAAGTTCAACATCAGATACGAAATCTTTCAGGTGTTCAAGTGCGTCTGGGGCAACCCTGTGTATCGGGACCATCTAGGAACCGAGGCTAAGTACGTTTGTTTCCAACCATTACCGTTCCGTTTGACCTTCATACTGACGATTAGTAGGGTCAACCTGGACTTCTTCGTCCGTTTCGTCAATCTGCTTCTCAACGACGTCACCTTCGTCCTGGATGAGTCGTTCACGGCTTTCACCCAGATCCATGATCTTACCAAACAACTTCGCGATCCGAATGCCATCCCGGATGAGAACATCCGCAAGGAGAAAGAAGAGGCGCTCGAGTCGGCGAAGGGCAGGGCCAAGAGCTACATGGGTTTGACCAACGAGACGGTGGCTATGTTGAAGCTTTTCACAGAGGCCCTCGGCGATTCATTCACTATGCCGGAGATTGTGCAGCGTCTCGCTGACATGCTGGACTACAACCTGGATGCCTTGGTGGGTCCCAAGCAGACAAATCTCAAGGTCGAGAATCCGCAGGAGTATGGCTTCAACGCCAAGTCAATGCTTTCAGAAATTGTCGACGTCTACCTTAACCTCAAGGAGAAGGAGAACTTTCGTCTTGCTATCGCGCGCGATGGCCGTTCTTACAAGCCGGACAATTTCAACAAGGCCACGAGTATCATGAGGAGGTTTGCTCTCAAGTCTGAGGAAGAAATTGGCAAATGGGAGCGCTTGGCAATTCAGGTTCAGCAAGCGAAGGAGGCTGATGAGCAGGAAGAGGCTGATCTGGGCGAGATTCCGGACGAGTTCCTGGACCCGCTCATTTTCGACATCATGAAGGATCCGGTCATTCTTCCCCAAAGTAGGATGACCATCGACCGTGCCGTCATCCAGAGCCACCTTCTCAGTGATCCTCACGACCCTTTCAACCGTGCACCACTGAAGATCGAAGATGTTATTCCGGACACAGAGCTGAAGAACAAGATCGAAGCGTTCAAGACCGAGAAGAAGGCTGCGAAGCAGGCTGAGCGCGCTCAGGCCGCAGGCACCGAACCGATGGACACGTCTTGATGCTCTGGATAGTGGGATTGGTTGATCTTCTGTGAGCGGGTGCATAGTGGGCGTTCAGTAGGGGCCTGGGATTTTAGATGGCTTTGAGAACCATCATGAATGATGAAGTGCAGAAGATGGTTGATAGTTCGATAGAAGCATCCATGCACAATTTTGGTATGAGTCCAGCTTTTTGATTGCAAAATCCATGCGTGAATACTTGGTTGGTTTACCTCATTCCCACTCATTGGTCAAAAATGCTTTTCTCTGTTGCATATGTTGGTTACACTGTATGTTACACACGTCGTGAGTTCGTAATGACTTGTCCTTCTATTCTAACCACTGATCATTCGTGGTCCCCATCATCAATCCTCCTCTTCCTCCCTAGTTCCGAAGGCGTATGCCAACCCACCACCAACCAAATTGGCTCCGCACATTGCCACTGTTGCGCCGCGGGTGATACCTCTAGCGCCGAACTTGGAATATATTCTCTGTTGTGAAGAACGCCATGGTACGTCAGCCCTCGATCCTCAAACAGTTCCAAAAATGGGCTGGCGACGAACCTGCTTTCTCCTCCCGGCCAACAATACGTACAAGCCGCTCCAGGCGGCCGTCATCCCGGCGGCATCCTTCTTGTAGCCGTTGAGGTTGAGGTAGCTGGACAGCAGCAGGACGGGCGGGAAGAGCATGGGCAGCGGCTGGAACGGGCGCATGTGCTGGGCCGTGATGAGCGTTGCGGTGAGCGTCGCCGGGAGAGGGTTGTCTGGTTAATTTCGTGTCAATTCTTCAGCTCGTCCTGATGTATCCATTGGTGTGTGTTGGTTGCAACTGCTTGCACGTTGTTGCTGTGCAACTGTACGTACCTCCCCATGCCCGCAACGTCTGCGCGACGCCGGCCTTGACTTTTTGTTCGGTGGGTTCGCCGGCCATTGGTGCGGATTGCGAAGTTGTGGAGGAGGGCGACTCGGTGGAGGAACGAACGTGGTGGTTTGGAGCGGGGTTAGAGGCAGAGGTGGTGACGAGAGTTGCGCGCGCGCGTCACGAAAAAAGGCGGTTTCGTCATACAGCAGCCGGGGTAAAGCTGTCTGGGATTTGGCGTCAGGCCAGCAATTTGGCGGGCGTTGCCGCGGCCGCAGCGCCGATGCATGAGGGGCGAGAGCGGCCACTTGCAGCAGAGACAGGGCCGATTTGCTCCTTCCTCCCGTCCCGTCCTTCTTTGAAGAGGAAGGTCTAAGCTCTTTTCCGCTTTCCGCCCGCGGCAAGCCCGCGCTCGATCTCGCTGAGGCAAACCCCAAGAAAGCCCGGCCCGCGTCCGCCCCCCCCCGGTCGCCGCCGCCTTTTCGTGGAATCCCCCGGCCTTGGCCGACGCGCCGACGGAGAGAACCTTAGGCAGACCGACGTCGATACCACAGTGGCATCTTGGAAAGATAACAACAACCGGGGGGAGAAAATTACCAACGCAACAACGCCAAACCACCGCACGCGACCCTTTGACCGCTGCATCAACGCACTCAAGGCCGACGCCTGAGAGAGCGGCATTTCGGACTCGGACCGCCCGCCTGCAGCGGACTGCTTTTCCCACTGCCTTGCGCCGGGAAGCTCTCTCAGCGACACACCACATCACCCACACCACCTCGACGCTCTCACAACAACCAACGACCGTCCTCCACCGCACGCAACCGTCTCAGGCCACCGAATCCATCAACACACTCGCATCCGCCACTCCCGTCCACCGCACCCAGTCCCCCGTAAACCAGCAGAGCCCATCTTCTCCATCCCTCCCACCACGAGCCCCAGCAAATCCGCAAACCGCACAACACAAAAAGCAAAAACAAACCAAACCGCCCACACCGCCGAAGAAAGGAAGGAAAGAAAGGAAAGAAACCAGGAAACAAACAAACGAAAACCATGTCAGCCAAAGCCAGCGGCGCGGACGCATCCTCATCCGGAGACGGAACCGGGGCGCGGCACCGGCAGCACCACGACGGGTCGGCGGGGCGCGCGTACACGGCGGAGCAGAAGGCGGCGGTGCTGCGCATCCGCAAGTGCGCGGCCACGGCGTACTACGAGATCCTGGGCTTGGAGGAGCGGCGCGCGGCGTGCTCGGACGCGGAGATCAAGAAGGCGTACCGCAAGCTCAGCCTGCTGACGCATCCGGACAAGAACGGGTACGAGGGCGCGGACGAGGCGTTTAAGTGTAAGTTTTGCGGGAGGGGGGAAGGGGTTTTCTTTTGTTGTTGATGGGGGGGTTTTTTGGAGAGGGAGTAGGGGAGGCATGGTGGGAGGGTGTGCGGGTGGTGGAGGTGGTGGGTGGAGGAGGGGACGAGGGGACGAGGGCTTTTTGGAGAATTGATGGACACAGAAGGCTGACTGTTCATTGCAATTTTTCTAGCGGTGTCGAGGGCGTTCCAGGTCTTGTCGGATCCGGACAAGAAGGCCAAGTTCGACAAGTTTGGCGGCGATCCGGATAACAGGTTTGGCGGTGGCGCATCCGCGGCCGGCGCGTCGCCCTTCAGCGGCTTTGCGAGGTCGCCCGGCGGACCAGGCGGAGGGTTCTACCAGGAGGAGATGTCGCCAGAGGAGCTGTTCAGGCAATTCTTTGGCGGAGGATTTGGAGGAGGAGGACCTTTTGGTGAGTTTTGCCAAACAGAGCTTTCGGAGGCGGAGCATTTGGGTCGACTACAGGAACAACGGCCACGGCTAACTCTCTACCACAGGCGGCGGTATGGGTTTCGACACGGGCCCTGGCTTCGTCTTCAACCTCGGCGGAGGCCCCGGCATCCGCGTGCACCAGTTCGGTGGTGCGAGACCACGCAGACGGCCGACGGCGGCCGAACAAGCCGCCCAGGCGCCCAGCATCAGCAGCGCCCTCTCGTCGCTACTGCCGTTGCTGTTCCTGTTCATCTTGCCGCTGCTGTCATCCATCTTCTCCGGCTCGAGCTCAACGGCCACGGGGCCCTCGCTGCGCTTCGACGGCGCAGCTCCACCGCACACGCTGCAGCGCACGTCGGCACGCCTGAACATCCCCTACTGGGTCAACCCGGCCGACGTGGACGACTTGAGCGGGCGTAAGCTAAAGGAGCTGGACCGCACGGCCGAGGTGCGGTACATGAGCCATCTGAACGTCGAGTGCGACATTGAGCAGCAGCGCCAGGCGCGGCTGATGCAAGACGCGCAGGGATGGTTCTTCGTCGACGAGACGAAGATGAAGGAAGCGAGGAAGATGCCGAAGCCGAGCTGTACCAGGCTCAGGGAGTTGGGGTATGGACGGTGAAGTTGATGAGGAAGAGGGAGAGGGGTGGAAGAAGAGAAGGTAAAAGAGAACAAAACGTTAATAATAAAGTGAACATGAGGTTGGGGTGAGAAGACAAGCATGATATGGCATTTTCTTTACCCCTCGTATTCTTTTTCCCTATTCTGTACTCCTTGGTTGGTTGAGAGAGAGTGAGAGGGTACGGGTCGGTCTGTCGGTTTTTTTCCTTCCTCCTTGTTTACGTCACCTTTGAGGAGTGTTCATTATGAAGATATCGCTGGTATTGCGAATGCTGCATCCCGTTTTCTTTTCTGCGCTGTTCTCTCTTGGTTAGCAGTGGTGTGCACAATGGCGCGTGGATCATTAAGGCGGATTGCGTGCGTCCGGTTTCCTTCTTATCTTTTCTGTCAATCTTGTGGTGCGAGTGTGTTGGGCTTGTGCGCGAGTGAGTGAGTCTGTGTGTGGCGGTGTCGATTTTGAGTCTTTCTCTCCTCCTCGACCACAATTTGGCTGTTTCAGCGTATCTTGTCTTTCCAGTTCTATATCTTTTCATTCCTCGGCGAAATGAAGCAAGTGGGGAGAGGCAGGGCTGTCACAAAAACAAAAAACAAAAACAGGAGGGGGGGAGGGCGTAAGTTGACCTGGTGTGATTCAATGGAAAAGCGGGAAAGGGAGATGAGTAGAGAGGGAAGCATGTTCAAGCTTTAAAACCATAGCAGTAAGGGCGGATTGGGCCATTGTGATTTTTATATTTTTTTGAAGGGCAAGGTAATCAAGTGTACAGATTTTTTAGTTCCAGCAAAATGGGCTTATTCAACGTGTATGACTTTTGCTTTTACGTTTCTGGTTGAACACATGGTCGCGACCTTCCGGATGTCCTTGTTCGTGTTCTCTTCCCGTGTTTAGAATTGTTACAGATTTAGTGGTGCAGGTCATGACGCATGTGGTGTTTACTCAGGTCATGACTCCATGAGCTGAACAGAAGCACAGGCCGTTCAAGCAGCCGCCTGCACGCTACGCCAGTAGCCCAATATCATCCTTATTTAAGCACTTCCTTTGACATGCGTCCAAGTTGTCTCATAGAGCAATTCGGCGCCACTTTCTGGAAGACAGAGTCATTCTGACTGAGCGACTCTATTTATGAGTCGGATGCACTGAGTGCTCGCTGAATAGACAATGGTCATGGTCCGATGATGATCTCCATCATAGGGAGAATAGGGCGCCGAACTTCATAAGGATTTAATGACGACAGACAATATTCATTGCAGATCTTGGGCAGCCCAAAGAATCTGATCATGAGGACAAACTCTTTGAGGTGAAGCCTGGTTGGAGACGAGCAAGCGGAGAAGGCATTAAAGTATTTTGCCGTTGTATTTGAAAAGTCGTATGAGGCACAGATGATGTCCTGACAAATGAGTTGCTTCGGCTGCTGCTGGACTAACGGAAGATTGAGGAAGCGAAGAGATTATGAAGAGAATATTGAAAAGTGAAGATTTGGTGAGGTAGGACGACATTATTGGTTCAGAGAGTGTTCATGCACCTAAGAAATATCTCCGAGCTCTTCAAAAAAGGTCGAGAGGATGTATGCGAATTTCCTGAGATTCTACTCTCGTTGCAGTGAGAGGTTCAAGAAGAGGTGAAGTAAAGACAGTTGAAACACAGGTGATGAGATCGACTCGTCGTAGCTTTTACATACTCGTCGACTCGTATGAGCAGCAAGCTGTGGATATGACTTGATTTCGCTCAGTCTATTATGGAATACCACGCTATGATAAAAAAACAACAAGAGAGAAGTAAATTATAGCACGCTCAGTCTCCGCTCAGAGCTCCCCCTCCCGCTCAAGCCGAAAACACCTTCCTCAGCGTATTCTCAAACGGCGTCGGCACGCTCGGGAAGTACTCCAACTCCCTCCTACCCTCCATCTCCTCCGAAGCAGCCCCGTCCGCGTCAGGATGACCAGCTCGGTCCTTCTCCTTCCGTTCCTGCAAATCACCCACTTCCTTCCTGACGATCTCCGCCCTCTCCTTCTCCTTCCTCTCCGCCTCCTCCGCCGCCGCCTCGACCGCCTTCTTGCACCGCCACCGCAACGCGACGAACGCGCACGGCGCCATGACGGCGACCCACGCAAACATGATGGGCAGCGCGCGATACAACCTGTTGACCGCGCCACCGGACCAGATGGTCATGAGCACCAGCCACGTCTCGTGGGCGGGCAGGGCGTACGCCCAGCGGTAGAAAGCCGGGGCGAGCTCGAACGGGGCGATGGTGCTGGTGACGTTGGCGATGACCCACGACAGCACGAAGAAGGGCACGAAGCTGAGGGGGATGAAGGTGGTGGCGACGTCGAAGACGAGGAACTGCACGTGCTGGTACAGCCACAGGCACATCCACACGAGCGCGAACACGGACCCGGGTTGCTCCCGCGACTCCCGGAAGGCCCAGAAGTACGCCGACTGGCACAGCGCGCCGACGAGCGTGTAGACGAGCGACAGCGCGGCGCGCACGAGCAGGTTCTGCGCGAAGGGGAGGTGCGAGTAGAGCTGGAGGGACGACGCGACGCCGTTGACGGCCATGAGGAAGAAGAATTGCATGATGATGCCCATGACCATGGGGATCGTGTTGTACACGGTCTTGGCGGCCTGCGGGGAGGGCTTGATGTTGATGGAGGAGGCTTGGATCGGGTTGAGGTAGGCCGCGACGGCGGCCGGGTCGGTCTGGGCGAGGGAGCTGAGCGCGGCGGTGCCGTTGAGGCGCGTGTAGACGGCGCGGGAGACGGAGATGAGGGTCTCCATGTTGCCCTTGATGGAGCCCGCAGCGACGGTGGCGTAGCGGATCTCGTTCCAGACGTAGGTCACGGCGGCGGAGGAGTTGTAGGTCGATGCGTCGTCGCCGCCGGCGAGGGCCGCAGACAGGCGGGTCGAGGCGCCGGCGTGAGTGTAGACGGCTGCCCAGTAGTCGCCGCGCCGCACCGCCTCGACTACATCAGACACTTCGGCGTAGCCGTCTTCGGTGCTCTTGAACTCGAGGCCGGGAAAAGAGGGCGCGGCGAGGTTCTCATAGGCGCCACGGAGGCTTTGGCCGATGATGCCGCCATCGTAGTCGACAGCGAGAACCTTGAGGTTGTGGATGCGGGTGCCTTGGCGGTAGATGGAGCCGAAGAGGTAGCAGAGGGTGGTGAGGAAGAGTAGCTGGATTAGGACGAAGGAGGCGCCAACGGCAATGCCGAACTGTTTCTTGCGGCCACGCCAGAACTCTTTCTGATCGACCATGGTTGGTGCGTTGGATGAGGTTGACGTCTTGCTGGATCGGACTTCGGAAGCCATGGTGAGGGAGATGTAGGAAATAAAGGTTTGGGATCAAAGGCCAGAGAGGTGTGGTGATGTCTCAAGCTGTTCGTTTCCGCTCGTGGCGTGCATCACTGCTGCCTTTTGTTTAAGTCTAGGTAGCTGCCTGGTTCGGAACCACTGGGCTGAGGGCACACCGAGCCCCAGGCCCCAGGACATTCATCCCTTGCTAAAAACGCCTTCTATCATCTTGCCAAGATAGACAACTCACATCATCATGCTCCGCATGTTTGCATGACAGCCTCGCCGCTTGCAGGAGCTATGATCTTATTTGGTCAGGAGGAGCGGGGTATCGCCGGATACTGCCGGTGGTGGGCAGGCGGTTGCTCCCGGAACAAAGGGAATTTAGCGGCTGTGTCGAATCCAGCCATCAATCAGTGTGAGGCTGAACCGGTCGGCCGAAGCTTGATGCAAATAGCCCTGTCGATCATGAGTTTTACTTTGTAGCTTTGTCTGGAATTTGATATCGGCGTGCGGCGCTGTGGTGATGCCGGCGGATGCTGGCTGCACACTCACCCGGCCAACGATGAAATGGACGTCTAGAGTCTGCCACTGGAAACTAAAAATGCCGTAATCCTAGATTCGGATTAGGAAGCTTAACATTAATGTAGGTCAAACCTCTAACGAGAGCCCCACCTCGCTTCAGCCATACCTGGAAGCCTAAACCCACCACCACCTACACACTCCTCACGCAGCCCTGCTCCCCCTCCGTCCCCTATCCAACGCCTGCCACTTCCCAATCACCTCCTCCGCAAACTCATGCACACTCCCGCCCATCTCCTCCCTCAGCCTCGACATCTCCCAGCACCCCTGCAGCACCCTCCTCTCCACAATCCACCTAACGCTCTCATGCCCCCCAGCCTTCCCACACGCGCTCCTGACCTTCCTCTTGACATCCTCGCTCCCAACATCCTCAGGCAACTGCAAAACCCGTCCCCCACTCGCCTTCTTCCTCTCCACCTCCCCCAGCCAGCCCGCGATCTGCCTCTCCACCCCCTTGGCCGCATACCCGACCGGCCCCACGACCGCCGCCCCAACCTTGAACGGCGCGCCCCCCAGCGCCTGCGCGAATCCCTTCGCCACACCAACGCACCTATCTCTCTTCCTCGCCTCGGCCTCCGGCCCATCCCCCCTCCCCCGGCCCCGACCACCACCAGCAGAAGCATCCCTCCACCCCCAAACCGGCAAAACGACGAACCCCGCCGCCGCGTCCGCGAGCCCGCACGCAAACTCGCGCCCCCCGACGCGCAGCCCGGACGCGACGCCGTCGATGCGCGGGCGCGGGCCCCGCACGCTCGGGTCGCGCAGCAGCACCGACGGCGCGTTGTGCATGCCGTTGGCGACGTTGTACAGCAGCGCAGCGGGCCCGCGCACGAGGGTGATTTGGGCGAGGCGGGAGGAGAGGGTGGCGAGGGCGGTGGGGAGGGGGTTGGAAGAGGGTTTCTTTTGTTGTTGGGTATGGGTGGGGGGTTTGAGGGGGTGGTGGTGGTGGTGGGTGTTTGTGGGGTTGTGGGAGAGGGAGGTGGAGAGCTGGAGGGCGGAGGGGGAGGGGTTGGTGGTGGAGGCGGTGGAGGCGGTGGTGGTGATGGTGGGGGCGGTTGATGCGGAGGGGGAGGGTGTGCCGTTGGAAGATGGGGGGCGGTGGTGGGTGGTTGGGTAGGGAGAGCGGGAGAGGTCGTGTTTGAAGTCGCTGAGGATGACTTGGTAGCCGCGGGCCCAGGTGACGAGCGTGCCGACGAGGGCGGCGAGGGGGTCGGGTGGGCCTTCTTCGACGTACCAGCGCTTGTGCTCGCAGCTAATGGGGTGAATGCTTGTTAGAAACGATACGTCGTTCCTGACATTGGTTGGGGGGGCTTACAGCTTCAGGTCGTGCGGGTCGATGAGGCCTTTGCCCACGAGAATGGTTGTGGCTGCGGCGCTCAGCTGGATTCCTGTCGACCGGACCTTCCATACCGCGACTCTGTCCGGACATATTGCGCAAGCCATGCCCCGCATCTGAGGCATGGAATGGAATGTCTCTGCTGCCTTCTCGGCGCCTCTCTCTCCGCGTATCTTGTCTGCTAATTCTTTTGCCCGGACCTGCATCTCGGGCTTCAACGCTTCGGTGATGTTATGCGCGAGCTTGTCAGCCGTGAGTTTCTTGAAATGAACTGCCTCGGGGCCTGCGCCCGCACGGTACACCATGCTCGCCCACCATGGCTGGTCGCCGAAGAAGGGGACGATGACGGTCGGCTTGCCGAGCGCGATCCCGATGGCCGTCGTGCCAGCACCACCGTGGTGGACAACGGCGGACACGCGCGGGAAGAGCCAGTCGTGAGGCACGTTCCCGAGAAGGAAAACGTTGTCGGGTACGTCGGAGCCGCCCATCTTGCCCCAGCCTCGGGAGACGAGCGCTCGCACTGCATTGCATGAGTTTCTGAGGGAATCAAAATTGGTGCGGCCAACTTACCACCTGACTTTTTCACCGCTTCGAGGACCATCTCTGTGAGTCGTTGCGGGTCGTCGACAACGATTGAACCAAAACCAATGTACACGGGCGGTGGACCCGCATCGAGGAATGCTTGAAGCTCGGGTGGTGGCGTGTAGGACGATGCCAGGGACAGGAAAAAGAAGCCACTGATGCTGATGTGTGGCCCCCAATCCGCTGGCTTCGGGATCAAGGCTTCACTCCAGCAATAGGTATGTGGTACTTCATGGCGGGTGAAAAGTTGATGGCCCCAGATGGGACTCAGAGGGTCAAGATCCAGGGTTCGTACGCGGAAGCGGTTGATGAGATCGCTAAGACCCTCCCAGGTCAGAAGATCCATTTCGTAGTAGGACGTCCAATTGGCCACCTTGTTGCTGGATTTGCTCGATTGGACGTTGGCTAGCGGGTGCGGGAAGGCTGTGGTTGGGGACCAGGGCATTGTAAACATTATATGGAGCGGGACCGAGAGTTTCTCGGCAATGTGAATATGGGCGTAGCTTGGAGGATTGGCGATGATGGCATCGGCGACAAATGGAATGTCGTCGTCGTTGGAATCCTCTATTCCGTCTCCGGCCTCGGTGCATCCTCGCCATGCCCCGTACAGCATCTCTGCAATCTCTCTTCTCCTCATTCGCACGTCTCCGGCTTTCACTGACGCCATTGACGGCAGGATGGATGGATTTCGGACCATGTAGGCCATCAGTTTCTCCGGGTCTCCACCCATGGAGTAGAACTCGACGCCATTCTCCTCGACGAATCCTTTGAAGTTTGGATGGGTAACAATTCGAACCCGGTGACAGTATGGCGGGCTTTGGAGGACCTTGGACAGAGCAAGAAAAGGCTGGACATCGCCGCGTGATCCGGTGATGAGGATGGCAATATTCATGCGCGGAACGTGGGCGAAGTCTTGCAATACTTTCTCGCCGTCACAGCGACCTTGGACCCTGTCCTTCTTCCGAGGCGCTTTCCATCTTTTTCTTAACGAGTGGTCGGATCTGAGGGAAAAGGGTAATTTGCCCAGCACTTTGATATTGACTCGGCCGTCATCCTGCAGAACAGTCACAGCGGAAGCGCGACGTGGGTGAACGCCGGGTCTCGACATGATGCAACAAAGGCACAACGGTCGATCGGGTGCGGCTCACCAGTGGTCCAAGTAGTGAAAGGCAGCTTGACGGCGGCGCTTTATCAGTCAGCAGCTGGGAAAGTGACGGGAGGGCTAGCGTGCGGTCTAGGAGAATCAGCAGCCGCAGCTGTCCGTCGCAACATTGACCAGGTTGGGTAAAGCTTGGCGAAACGAGCGTCCAACTTGTCCGATTGGCATGGACGTGCACAGATCCAGTGGAAGAGGTCATCGGATGCGAGCGGAGTCAAGATTGAAGAAATAGATCGCTGGCTATTGACTCGGGGGCCGCCCTCGCTGAAGCTGGATCGATGTCCACGCCCGTCGTCCTCTCATTTCTCAATCACTGCAAGAAACATGTCTTCGACCCCGCCAGGCAAAGATGCCCCCGAAAATGTCATCAACCAGCTGCCAACCGCAGACTACCGGCAAACCACGGACAATGCCCTCGGCAGGCTGCGGACCGGGTCCGTGTCGGTGGCCAAGGAACTGCTGCAGTACAACCCCCAGCTGGGAATGTGGGCAGCCACGGGGACTGCCATAGCCCACGCACCCAACATCACCGACCTGCAGCAGGACGACGTCGAGTTCGACGCCCACGGCCACAGCGCACGTGAAGCCGACACGGCTACTTTGCGAGCGTTTCCCACGACCATTTCAACCGAGGCACAACAAGCGACAGCCGAGCCGAAAGCACCATGGACAGTGGTCATCAAACGTGGACTCGTCGCAGCGGCCAAATTCATCCTCACTCCGACCGGCTTCCTCGTCACCATATACGGGCTGAACGTGGTGGCATGGGGCGCAATGCTGTTCTTTCTGATCTTGAAGGCGGCGCCTGCCATGAACCATCCCGACGACGGCGATGCAGACTCGTCTCCGCGCAAGATTTGGATTGAGATCGACTCACAGATCCTGAACGCCCTCTTCTGCCTCACCGCCTGGGGGCTTGCGCCGTGGAGGTTCCGGGACCTGTGCTTCATTGCAGCCTTCCGCTTCGGCGTCGGGCCAGAAGGCGGGCGAGCTGGGCTCCGCAGGCTGGCTCAACAGAACGCGAGCTGGTTCCGACTTCGTCAGGAGGACGAGGATGCAGCCAGTGCTGCGCGAGCCACTACCTCGGGCGCGCGTGCGCCGGCGACGAAGTATTGGAAATTGGATTTTGTCGTCTGCATGTACGTGCTCAACACGCTATTCCAGGTTGGCATGGCCTTCATGATGTGGAACTACAACCGCATCGACCGCCCGACCTGGGGCGCCGGCCTGTTCATCGGGTTGGGCTGTGGCGTCAGCTTGTTTGCCGGCCTCATGTGCTGGTGGGAAGGGCGCAAGGTCAAGCTGATCGAGGGGCCGAAGCTTGTCGCGAAGGAAGTGTCGTAGTCGGTAGACAGCCAGATAAATGCAGTGTTCGGAGCGAGAGAAGCGGGTGCTGGCCGGCCGCTCGCTCGGACTCCCTTTTCGGTCGGTCCGAGCGCGGGGGACCCTGGCGTAGCCTCCGACGCCAGAGCAGCTGGTGCCCCTCAACTGCTCCTCCACACCGCTCGCAGCTCTCTCACATTTCTCGCCAACGATCTTCCTCCCTCCAACATGGCCGATTCCCAAGTCTACAGAGCGAGCACCACCGCTCCGGTGAACATCGCCGTCATCAAGTCCGCCTCACGCCCCGCTGCTCTGCGCCATTGACTAAACCCCCGCCTGCAAACCATAGGTACTGGGGCAAGCGCGATCCCAAGCTCAACCTGCCCACGAACTCGTCGCTGTCCGTCACCCTCGCCCAATCCGACCTGCGCACCCACACCACCGCCTCCTGCTCTGCCTCCTACTCCACCGCCGACTCGCTCCTCCTCAATGGCCAGGACCAAGACGTGTCGGGCGCCCGCACCCAGGCCTGCTTCCGCGAGCTGAGGGCGCTGCGCGCCGCCGTCGAGGCCGCCGACCCCAGCCTGCCCAAGCTGTCGTCGTACCCGCTGCGCGTCGTCAGCGAGAACAACTTCCCCACCGCCGCCGGCCTGGCCAGCAGCGCCGCCGGCTTCGCCGCCCTGGTGCGCGCCATCGCCGACCTGTACCGGCTGCCCGCCACGCCGACGGAGCTGTCGCGCATCGCCCGCCAGGGCTCGGGCTCGGCGTGCCGCAGCCTGTTCGGCGGCTACGTCGCGTGGGAGCAGGGCGCCGCCGCCGACGGCAGCGACAGCCTCGCGTACGAGGTCGCCCCCGCCCGCCACTGGCCCGACATGCGCGCCGTCATCCTCGTCGTCAGCGCCGCCAAGAAGGGCGTCAGCAGCACCACCGGCATGCAGACGACCGTCGCCACGAGCAGCCTGTTCCCCGCCCGCGCCAACGAGACGGTCCCGCTGCGCATGAAGCAGATGGAGGAGGCGGTCCAGAAGCGCGACTTCGAGGCCTTCGCCAAGGTCACGATGAAGGACAGCAACAGCTTCCACGCTACCTGCCTCGATACCGAGCCCCCGATCTTCTACATGAACGATGTGTCTCGCGCGGCGATCAAGGCGGTGGAGTATATCAACGAGGCTGCGGGCAAGACGATTGCGGCGTACACGTTCGATGCCGGACCGAATGCGGTAATCTACTACTTGCAGGAGCACGAGAAGGAGGTTGCTGGTCTGTTCAAGGCTCTTCTCGGGGAGAAGGAGGGCTGGGAGGGCAAGAGGGGCACGGCCGTTCAGGCGAACGCCGAGGCGCAGTCCAAGGTCGACGAGAAGACCGCGGCTCAGCTCAAGGAGGGCGTCAGCAGAGTCATCCTGACTGGCGTTGGCGAGGGTCCGATCAGCGTGACGGAGCACCTTGTTGATGAGAAGGGCCAGGCTATCAAGGCATAAATGATGGACGAGATTCCCCTTTCTTCTATGAACAGTTTAATGCATATGTAAAGATCAAATGAAGCACGATCAGAAACTCAATCGGTAGATGCTAGAGCGTTGTAGTGACTTCTATTGTACGATATCTTACTTTAAGTGAGCAGAAACGATGCGGTGCTCACCACTGTGGCTGTGTGATTTGATATTCGGAAATCTCTTTTCATTCTTGCCCATTCTTTAAACCTATTAGCCGCTCCTTAGAAGACGCAAGACGTCTGACACCAAGTAAAGGCTACCAGCAACGACAAGAGGGGTCTCGTGACCTTCAGTGGATGCTATTTGGGTGGCTTTCTTCAAAGCAGCTAGGACATCTGGTCCACATTCGGCTGTTTCACCCAGCGTTGCGGTGCTTTTCGCGGCTGCGATTACTTCTCTTGCGGGTGTCGCCTTCACCCAGGGCATTCCATCAACCGGGCCGAACTCTGCCGCCACGACGGAATCGCCATTTCTTAGAAGCGGCTTAAGCATCTCAGTCATGGCCTTGCCGTGGCTAATTGATAACACCCAAACCACACTGCCCTTGGTCTTCTTGCGTAATGACTCTACAAAACGGCCAAGGGCTTCAGCCGAATCAGCATTGTGTGCACCATCCAACACGGCTGGGCTCTTGCGCCCCGTAACACGCCCGAGATCCAAAGTCTGCAGACGTCCGGGCAACTTGATGTCTGTCAGACCGTTGAAAAGGCTCAACTCATCGGCAGGCTTCCGGCCAAGGGCCTCCAGAGCCAACAAAGTGGCCTTATGAGCACACGCTGTGTTGAGGACCTCATGAGGCTGGAGGTCTTTGGTTTTTAGGAAGTTCTTGTACTCTGTATTTGATTCCGGCGCGTCCGGCAGGCCATCAACCATGAAAACCGGGCCTGCGGATATCTCTTTGGCGCGCTTTTGGATCACGTCGATGACCGATGGCCTGTTGGTAGCTTCAACAACACACGGGACGCCTGGCTTCAGGATACCGGCCTTCTCGAACGCGATCTTTTCGATGGTGTCGCCCAGAAATGCCTGATGATCGATGCCAATCTTGCAGATGACGGTCACCAAGGGGTGTTGCAGGATGTTGGTGGCATCCAGGCGACCACCCATGCCGGTCTCAATGACGCCAATCTCAATCTTCGCGCGGGTGAAGAGCTCGAAGGCGGTGGCAGTCAGCAGCTCAAACTCTGTGGCATTGATGCCCTCGCTCTCGTTGCGACCCGCGACCAGGTGCTCGGCCTCGCGGAAGACGGACTCGGCGACCGGCACCTCGTTGATGCTGATGCAATCCCAGCGGTCGATCAGGTGCGGCGAGGTGAAGCGGCCGTGCGAGATGCCAGCCCTGTGCAGCATGGCGGAGGCTGTCGCGCAGATGGAGCCTTTGCCGTTGGTGCCGGCAACGTGGATGGCGCGCCATGGTAGTGGCGTCTGCCGGAGCAGCTGACCGACACGGGCCAGGCCGAGCTCGATCATGGCGGCGACGGTGGTGACGTTGGAGATGACAGGCGTCAGCCAGGCAAACGTTGCGCGAGGCGGACCTGCAGCGACGTTGTACGCGAGACGCAGGGGCCGCTGATTGGCTGCGGCGGGGTTGCTGGGGGCAGGTCCGCCTCACCCGGCTAGGTAGCCAGCGGTTGGCGGCGCGACCCCAGATCTCTGCGGCTGCATGCTCTCTTCGCTGCCTCAGCCAACACTCCACATCCCATCCTCCACGCTCATCCGCGCACATCCAACCAGGCCCCTTCATCGCCCGTCGCTCATTACGTCCAGTCGCGCATCTTCTCCGAGCCATCTCCGCATCATGGGTCTCCCGTACGTCTCCTCACACCACCACTGTTTATGCGCGACGAACGCGCGCGTATCTTTCAGCCTCACAGGCGTGCCGCCTCCAGCATCGCTAACGCACCCTGCAGTATCTGGCGCGCGCCGTCCCCTGCCGACCACCGCGCCCAGGCAGTCAAGAACGACGCGTCTGCCGCGACACGCTCCCCAATACGCCGCTCCTCTCCAGCCTCGTCGCGTCCGGGGCGCATACCAGCGCGCAGCGATGCAAACGGCCCCTCTCGTCGTTACATTAGCGTGGCGGAGCTTATCACGCGTCGCGCAAATGGGCGCGAGGCCGAGCGACGCACCCAGGAGCGCCGCACCGCGGACCTGAGCAGCATGGCCGACGACTGGCTCTCCGACCTTGACCGGCTAGCATCCATCGCCTCCGAATCGCGCGAGCAGGCCAGCAGCCCTGAAGACCGCGTTCACTTGTATATCAGCACCGACGGTCCCAGTATCCGCGCCAGCCGCCACGGCCCCAGCCACCCCGAGAACGACCCCTTGTCACGCTCCCGTTCCGACGCCCACGAACGAGAGTCGAGTAGCGATCCGGATCGCCCTCTCCCCCGAGAGCTTTGGGAGCGTCCGCGCTCTGCGCCGCGCGGCACGGACGTGATCTCCAGGCTGTCAGGCAGGCGACGCCGCGTGTGGCCGCCCCGGGCTCAAGAGCCGCTTGGAGAACTGCCAAGACACACATATCGTCGCGCACCGAGCAACTGGCCTTTCGCGAGCGAGTCTGTGGACGGCAACGAGGAATCCGCGCCAACGGACGCCGGCCGCGACATGGCGGATGCCACGCGCGATTTGCCTCCGCTCAGACGCATGGGAAGGAGGCAAGTCACGAATGGCCTTCTGCCGGCCAGCTATCTGCGCCAGTCTTGGAGCCCGCCTGGTACCTTAGATGGACTCGGAGATCGTGAGCGCAGCCTGAGTCCTCCCGCTGATCCCTGGGAGACGATGCTTACTACCATCACGCCAGACGCACAGCTTCCTAGCAGAGACTCATCCTTCACCTCCGCAGCCGCTTCCGCTTCCTTCTCCGCCTCGAATAACTCCCAAGACGGATCTGAATCGGCGCGAGGAGCCTCGGTGGACTCTCCGAACACCCAACTTACCGTCCCATCTCGCCGGCCGAGCCAAGACGAGTCATCCGCTCTCCCGCAGCGTGGCTGCGAGACCGACGACGACATGTCTGGAAACGATACAGAGGGCGAGGAGAGACTGGGCCCCCGTGGCTCGGCGTCACGCTCTCGTCGAGACAGATCGTGGGGATTCTACGACCGCCCCCGTTCCCGCCAAGACGGCCCGCCAACGCGCAACCCGGCGGCCTACCCGCCTTCCGTTCGGTCGCGCTCCCACGACGCGACGACGCTGGTGCAGAACTACTTCACATTCGCCGAGCGTGCGTCGTCCTCTGGCAGCACCAGCCCTCCCGCTCCTTCCCGTTCGCCCCCGCCGCGTTCGTCCCAGTTCACGAGCTACATCCTCCCCCGCCTCCCGGGCCTGTACCGCGAGAACAGCAGCGGCGGCGTCGTCGAGAGAAGTTTCGAAAACAGGCGCGACAGCGGCGTCGGCAGCGACGCGGCGAACACGAGCACCAGCGGCGGCGGTAGCGGCGGCAGCGGCGGCAGCAGCAGCGACAACCGGATGAGCAGCAGCACCCCGGCCCTTCCGGACTTCGCGGACATCCTGGACAGAGTCGCGGAGAGGCACCCGCAGATGGACCCGGAGCTGGAGTCGATGCGCGACATCCTGGGACGGCTGGCGCGACGTGACGACGTGCCTGAGGAGTTCTGGACCGGTGCCGGACTGGTGCCTCCCATGCTCGAGGGCGCGCCCAGGAGGGACCAGCGTGAAGGCGCGTGGGATGAGGCCTAAGAAAGGGCGGATGTGGTGATGTTGCTTTCGGTGCGCAAACTTATTGCGCTTTCGTTGCGCGATACGGGGGTTGTATGTTTTTTTGTTCTTTCTTATCTTGCTCCTGCGAGCCGCGTTTACGATGGTGTTTTGCTAGCTCTTTGTTGTGCTGTATTAGGCATGGTTTTTTTTTTCAGAATCTTTTAGGAAAGGGTATACTCAGAAGGAGCGGAGCGGGTTCTGGCGTTTTATTGGGAGGTGGAGTGAAATTGGGAGGGAAGTTTTACGGCTTCGGGGTCTGGGCCATCAATGCGATTAAAGCAAGGGAAAGAGAAAGAACCACAAAAAGTCGAAAGGAATGTCTTGAGCAAGGGGCAAAACATTTATACCCGGCTTTTCTAGGGGAGAGAGAAGCAAAAGTCGAAATCGGGCAGCTAGCGAGCCTGTGGTCTGGTGATATTAAATTGATACAAGACTTTTTTTTTTTGGCTGCCGATGATTGATTGCTACAAGCAAACGAATTTTCGTGGAAACTGGGATGCGTCCCATATGATTTGACGTAAGGTACGGGATGAAAGTGGTAAGAGAGCGGTTATACCGATTCCCTCCAGTCGAGCTACGTTAGATTGCTTGACTGCCAACCGGGGACGCAGTGGACGAGAGGGGCGATGCGGCTGTGCAAGCGGGGCATCTCCACACACGTCATTTTCAGCTTGCTTGAACTACCTATGTGTCCTCAACAAAGTCTCAGAATTAACTAGCCTTTCAGCGGCGATTACGGGGGCTGGACAATTGAGTGAAGCGATGACCCACCTGACGTCTGAGCATGTGGGGCAGTGGCGGCGGCTCTGGTCTTTCTCGGGGCGGATCCCCCGCAAAAATAAAAAGCGAGCCGCAAAAAGTTGCATGCATGCCGAGCCAGGAACATACATCGTGGGGCGGTGTTGGCGTCGGGTCGGCAAGACGCGCGTGTGGCGTCATCAATGCAGGACTGGGGAGACGCATAACATCAATAATGACTTACTTTTCAGCTCACCGAGTCCCAGCTGTGCGGGAATGGTAGAGCAAACGCGTCGCAGCGGACCGAGAAGGACTAGAATGCGGCAGTGCGCGATGGGGATTGATGATTTGCACAAGTGATCGAAGCTGCGATCCCGGGCGTGGTGGGGGGCCCACATCCGAAAGGGCCAGAAGGTGGCAGAAGGAAATTCACGTCGGAGATGATGATGTCGCACAAGGGCCGCGGACCAGTGGCCGGGCAAATACGTGATCTCGATGTCAGATTCAGCATTTGCGCCAGCTTCCTCCATTGCCGATTGGACTGCGCGGGGAAGAGAGGAGGCCATAGCTCCTCGCAGCTGGCTTTCTGCGTCACCAGCCACAGGCCGTGCGCCAAGCCGTCATGACGTCGATCCGACATAATGCCCTATGGCGCAGCTTTTCTCTGCTTCCACGTCATGGCATTGGCGACGCTGGAGGGGCGAGGGACGGCGGACGGCGTAGGCAGCTGTGGGAGCCAAAGGCTGCAACTGCTGCAGGCCGAGGGTGGGCGTGGATGAGGACGGCAGACGGCAGCGGTGGTGCTTCTTTCTATTTACTGGGTGGACTGGCGTTCTGGCCCTTAGTGTGGCGCCTCTGGCCTGCCTTGTTCCTCCGGGAACCGCTCCGCTTCGCTCTTGCTCCTTGGAAAACCGAAGGGCGTCCCAAAGCGTGCAGGGTTTCGTCATCATCACAGCAGCCGCGCGCCTCTTCTTAAAGAGAGAGAGCCTCGTCTCTTGTCACACTTCCACCTACCACACAACCCCATCCCTTCCTCACGACTTACTCATCTCAACAACTCCCAATCGACACAACTCCTCGACACCGCAACAATGGCCACTCTTCACTGTACGTGTCCCTCGCCCGCAGTCGCCTCCCTCCCTTGTACCCCGTCACTGACCAAACCCTCCAGACCTCCCTCCCGTCAAGCCCTCGGCCATTGCCCTCGGCACGGCCTACACGCACGCCGTCTCGCTGGCCGTCCTGGGCCCCGTCTTCGGCGATACGTACAGGCAAGTGCAGGCCGCCAACTCCAAGGAGGAGTTCTTCAAGTCCAAGGAGGCGGCGACTGCGGCGGCCAGCTACGGCTCGAGCCTACTGGGCAGCGCCGTGCAGGCGTACGGCGTCGGCGCCCTGATCAACGCCACCGGCACCCTCAGCTACAAGGGCGCCGCCTACCTCGGCGGTCTCATCTTCTTCGCCAGCTCTGCGCCTTCGGTGAGTCTTGATCCAACGATGCATCCACCACGCTGGGGATGGTCGGCTTTTGTTTTCGGGTTGGAATCTGTGCTAATGCTGTGGAATGTAGCTCATCGCCCACGTCATCACCGAGAAGCGTCCTCTTGAGCAGGTTGCCGTCGGCGGCGTCGCTAGGCTTCTGGAGACTGTCGGCCTGGCCTTGACCCTCACTTGGTGGGGCACCCGCACCAACCCCTTCGACTAGAGGGTGAAAGGGGATTTAATGCGCGTTCTTATTTTGGGATGAGACTGCGGAAACGAAGTGATGAGCCTCTTGTTCTTCTTCCCTTTTGATCACGAAGGTCGGGTACGGATGGTGATTAAGATACGAAGCAGCGGATGGATGACACCCCGAGGTGACAATGGCACCCTGCGCTGTATAATCAATTGATGGAATAATCAGTCATGAACCTTGATACTGGTGTGTGATTTGATGTGTGATGTCCATGCTCGGGTTAAGGATGATGTTTTCCACTTTGCCGTTCAGTCGATTGATCTTTTTGCTATATGGTATGCCAATAATTGGAATCATTCTCCCTGTATGCTAACGCATTGGCGGAGACATCCAACCTCGGGGCACAGTGGGCTACGGAAGAAATCGACTTACAACGAACCTTTGTGTGGACAAGTGGTGCAAATGTGCCCACGTAAATATAAGCGGGTCGATTTCTTTTGCCATCCTTCATGGCTTCGATTCGATTCCCAGCCATGTGATGGCCAAATTGGTCCTCACGTTGTAATTCGTTTTTTGCTTCTCGCGCAGTTTTTCGAGCGATGAGCTGCGCAAGGGTTTAACTGGTGATCGTTACTATTCCCTGAGAGGAGGCAAGCACATCCGCTTGCCTGAACAGTTTTTTGCATTTCACAATCGTAAAGAAGAAGATGACTGCTACTCGGACGTTGCACTAGGGAATACTTTTAGAGGCCTTGTTGGGAGTCGTTTGAGAGGGTGTTATTTTCTACCCATAAGCCAACAACGAACCAGACGCTTACACACTCTTTCTTTTCATGGGAATGCTGAACAGCATCGATAATGGGTGATGGTAATGAGGTTCATGTGGAATCGGAGAACATGCAGCTCGAATTCTTATGCTGCGTGTCTTGAAGCTTCGTCGAGACCGATGGAGAGGGTGCTGCTGTTGTGGCTGTAACGTGCAACGGGCTGGCTTCCTGTCTCCACGAAGGAAAAGTATTATGAGACTTTGGTGGCTTTGCCCTTTGGTGAGCCGGCAAGCCTAACATATTCAAACGACGAGCGCGCCCTGTTGACTCCGTTGGCGACATGGTATCCTATTTTGGGTGCATCTGCTTGCAGGATGTCCCGTGCGATCGTGCTGCCGGCCTACGCAGTGGCAGGCGGCCGCCTGGGTTATAAAGGGGTTGTCTTACTTTATTTCCAACAACGCCTTCACACACCTTGCAGGAGCCACACTCTTGGTTCCGTTCAGCCGTGATTGTGAAGACGAAGTTGTGACTCTCGCTGCCGACATAACGAACAGGATCTACCCACAGTTGCCTCCTTCGTCCGGGTTTCTGGTCCAAATCATCAACATCTCCCGCTGAGGCATCATCAGCACCATCTCTAAATGCAGAAACTCAGCATGATTCCACAATGCGTTATGGATGGTCCTTTTACAACTCTAAAACCCCACAACATACGGCCGACCGAAATGGATTTGGGACATTCGTGTCTGAGGGAAGTAAGTGGACGATGGATTGGAACCGGGTCAACTTCCCACAATAAAACTTGTTTGTGGAGGCACAGAATGAATGCGGAGAGGAACGGAACAATTCATATACGGAATCCCTGGCCACCGCGCACGCGTCCGCGGCTGTCGAGAAAAAAAAAATCTCGGCGTGAGCGCCTCCGCTTGCGCGGCGCTGCGAGTTGCCGGTGCACGCGGCTGCCCTGTCCGTTTGCTGTTTGCGATTAAGCGCCGTGAGCGCCGTGTTTGATCAACGTGTAGTGTTCAATGCTGGACAGCTCTTCAGTACATCAACTTGTGTCTTGCCTTAGAACCAGGAATGGAAGGGGGCCTGGAAGTCTCGGGCTACCCAGCGGGGATTTTGGGATTTGTTTTGCGTCGCGCGCGGAAGATATCATCCGATTCGGCGTACGGGCGGACACATGATTACTATTTTGCCCTCTGAAAGATGTATCTGGCTCCTAAACACCGTACTCTTGTGTTGATGATGCCTGTTATGCTTAAAGAGAGAACTGTAGGTTTCAGTTGGTGCCGCCGTTAGACTTGGGCGTCAGTTTCCCGTGAGTACCCAAGGTACTTATATCTCTTCTATATCCCCTTGTGATATTGAGCTCGAGATTCGAACGATTCCAGAGGGCTGTATTAGTTGAACTCGGTGCGAGGCGCAATTGAGTCTGAGCGGATCTCTGCGAGCTCTCGGGACCGCTATTTGCAGGCAATCACACACATATTCGTTTGGGAATCGATTATCACCTTGAAGGATGAGAAGATGATGGCGACTCAGCAGCTACGACCAAGAATCACGGAGACTTCGGTGAGCTTCAGGTGCCCCGGTGCAAAATTTCGGTCTGCCAACCGCATCACGGTGGTGGGTGCGGAAAGAAATGGACCCCACCGACACCAATTTTGCATGGATAATGAGATCATATATCCGAATGTATTCGTGGAGTTTTGATACTTACATCTACGCCCGGATATCTGCTTCAACTGCCCAAGCAAAGGATTGTCGTAGGTCAATCGATTTTTCGGCACTCACCGTGGCATTACGGCGAGGTAATTCGTATGCGCTGAGTTGTGAACCCTGAGACTCAGCCTACTGCATCAACAGCTGTGGATTACTCTTCCATGGAATTCCGAGTATAGTAACATTGTCGCTGGACGAGAGAGTTAGAGCATAGAATTCCCAAAGTCGACAAAGTTCTGCTCTGAATTGCCAAATGCGCTCCATTGACTTCAGATATTCAAGGTGAAGACATTAGAGTAGAAGAAACCTCGTGATGCTCGAAATATAATTGATAGCGATGTACTAGCCTCTCATCCTGTCACACGTGCTACGTGTCCGTAAAATACCAGTCATAAGACTCCCTCGTCCATATTCCTAACGTCGCAGCAAAGTTCACTTCTGATCGACCGTATGACCATCCAGCCAGCCCTCTCATCTCAGCCATCCTCTACCCGCAACAGATATTTCGAGCCCCACCGAACTACAACTCCTCCATCCTCTTCACCGTCGCCAATATCATCTTCCTCTGCTCCCTCTTCACCTTCCTCTCCGCCTCCCTCACGCGCTCCGCCTCCCCCGCCGCCTCCCCCACCATCTCCTCCACAACCCTCCTCAACGCCTCCACCTCAACCTTCCCCAACCCCCTCCCAACCTCCTCCACCACCTCCCCGCCCGCCTTCCCCTTCTTCCCCTTCACCATATCCCTCACAGCCGCCTCACCGAATATGTCCTCCGCCAACAACCGTATCTCCGCCCTCGTCTGCACCCACCTGCCCCCAAGCTCGCGCAGCCTCTTCTCCTCGCGCGCCACCACCGCCGCGAAATCCGCCATCACCGCCGCCAGCGGCTGCTGTCCCTGTTGCCCCGCCGCCAGGACATCATCACCCACCTCCTCCATTTCCCCCTTCTGCTGCCCCCCACCACCACCACCACCATCATGCGCGGCGGCGGCGGCGGCGTCGTCGTCGACTCCTCTCCCTGCCTTGATACCGCCACGGCCACGCACGACCTTCGTCTCGCCAAACGGCGCAGTGACCTTGGCGACGAGGGCGTTGTGCGATTCCCGCAGCTCGGCGGCCGTGGGGAGGCGGTTGGGATCCGGCGGCGGGGAGAAGGCGGCGGCGGCGGCGAAGGGGTTGGGCGGAGTGGTGTTGCGGGCGGGTGGGTTGTGCTCCTCCTCCTCCTGCTGCTGCTGTTGCTGTTCGCCGGCGCCGTTGGTGCTGGTTAGGCGGTGTTCGAGGGCGTGGCGGGTGGCGAGGAGGGAGTCTTGGGCGTTGGTGATGATGGTGTTGCGGTAGGTGGTTGACGATTCTGTGAGGGGGAGGAGGGGGTGAGCGCTTTGATGGGGAGAGGGGAGGGTTGCAGTGGCTGGAGAGGCGGCTGGAGGGGTTGGTGGATGGGGAGGTAGGAGGTAGGGGTGGGGATGAGGTGGGTTAGTTACCGTCGAAGAGCATGAAGAGCGGATGGTCTGGTTTGCGAACTTGGCGGGTCGGGCCACGTCCCTGTGATTTGTATTTGGAGATGCCGTGAGGCTTGGATGTGAGCTCGTACTTGGTGAGCGGCGCTGCCTTGCTCCGTGCTGTGGTATTGTGCTGGGCATGGTTTTTGAACATCTTGGAGGTGTGAACGATGGCTTCTGGCTTTGCGGTGAAGTGAGCGCGGGGGCGGGAAGCCGCACTGTTTTGCAAAATACGCGGTGCCATGGTGGATTGGTTTGGTGAGCGGGTGAGCTGAGAGTGAAACCTAAGGATTGAGGAGGCCGAAGAAATGAGAGGAAAGCGCGAGCGAGACACAACCAGATCGGGCATGAGCGCGAGAGGAGGGGAGAACAGAACAAAAAACGTTGCAGCCGCATCACTCATGCGCGTGCTAAAGTTACAAGAAAAGAATATAGGCAAACAGCCCCCATTATACAGGCTCTATACTCGTCCGATTGCTTCATATCCAGTCATTAGACGCGTCTACTGCGAGCCTTCCTCCTCGGCGGGCACCAGCACGCCATTTTCCTCCAGAAGCTTGGCCAACGAGCCGTCCTGGTGCATCGACATCAGGATGTCACAGCCTCCCACAAACTCCTTGTTGAGGTAGAGCTGCGGGATGGTCGGCCACTCCGAGTACTCCTTGATACCTGCACGCCCGTTAGCAACGACGGCCCCACCCATACATTGTCCGTGAGATCGTGTCCACATACCTGCCCGCAGCTCATTGTCCTCCAGCACGTTGAACGCGGTGAACTTGCTGGGGTCAACACCCTGCATGCCGAGAATCTGAATGCTGGCCCGCGAGTATCCACACTGCGGCATCTCGGGGGTACCCTTCATGAAGAGAACGACGGGCGCGCTGGAAACGGCCTGGTCTATCGCGGTGCGGGTCTCCTGCGAGAGCAAGCGGATCTGGAGGGGTGCGAAGCGAGCGAAGGTGAGCGGGTTGCGCGATGGGCGCGCGGCGGCGCGGAAGGCCTGCAGGCGGTCGATTGTCAGCAACGAGCGGAGGAAATTGGTGCAACAATGCGAGTTCCTACGCTGGAGAGTGCGGTCCGCGAGAACATGGCTGGGTCAGGATACGCGAATCTGCGTTGTGTGGAGGGTTTCTGCGGAGAGCAACGTTGTTCGGCGGAGGCGTGGTGGCGGCGTCGGCGGCGGCGTGCGTTTGTCACACAGAAAGTTCGCCGCAGATCTCGTCATGACATCGCCGCCGCGGGCGCTGACATATCGCACGACCCCGACTCGTCCGAACACCACCTCACGCCCGTTGCCTCGACTCGCCATGCGCCCCACCGTTCGATGACCCCTACATTTCGCCAATCCGTGAACTGCGCTCCAACCCAACCCCCAGAAAAACACCCGTGACATCCATCGCGCAAAAACACCAAAAAATGCCCACCACACAACAACAACAACAACAACCCCTCCAACCCCCCCAACCGCGCCCGCGCCCCACGCCACCCCCCCTCACAGCCTCCGCCCACCAACACGACACCAAAAAGCACCTCCTCCTCGCGTCCTCCGGCTCCGTCGCCACCATCAAGCTCCCCAGCATCGTCACCGCCCTCGCCCCGCACCGCAACCTCTCCATCCGCATCGTCCTCACCGGCTCGGCCGCGGCCTTCCTGGCCGGCCAGTCCGCCGAGCAGCCCGACCTCGCGGCCGTCGCCGCGCTGCCCAACGTCGACGGCGTCTACCTCGACGCCGACGAGTGGCGCGAGCCGTGGGTGCGCGGCAACAGCATCCTGCACATCGAGCTGCGGCGGTGGGCGGATATCCTTGTGGTGGCGCCGCTGAGCGCCAACACGATGGCGAAGATGGTGGGGGGCGTGTGCGACGGGTTGCTGCTGTCGACGGTGAGGGCGTGGGATACGATGGGCGTGTTGGATCCGGTGAGGCTGCCGGATGTGGAGGGGGTGGAGGGCGCGGTGGGTGGTGGTGGGGAGGAGGGCGGGGCGGCGGTGGTGAGGACGAGGAAGAAGAGGATCGTGGTGGCGCCGGCGATGAATACGGCCATGTGGGAGCACCCGGTTACGGCGAAGCAGGTTAGGGTGTTGGAGGAGGAGTGGGGCGTTGCGAATGGCGGGTGGGTGGAGGTGTTGAGACCGATTGAGAAGACGATTGCGTGTGGGGATACTGGGAGCGGGGGCATGAAGGAGTGGAAGGAGATTGTGGGTGTGATTGAGGAGAGGATGGGGTTGACTCGTGCGTGAAGAATTGGTGTTGGTGATGAGGGTATCGAAGACCTTGAGTCTCTGAGGAGTCGGGACTGCTGCTCGAAACTCAACTCTGTGACACACATCGCACAGCATAAAGATCGGAGGACGCCAATGCGCGTTACTTTGCGCTGTTGCTGGTCTGCTCAGCTGAATGACTTCGTAGTCTGAATGACGGCTGTATGCTAACAAAAGGCAATCCCTGTCGTTAGACTACGGGAGAGCGTGATAGACAAGTGGTTACTATTCCACGCGGTGTGACAGCCATTAATGTAGTAAATGCTGATAGCGGAACTGAGTTGATCGTTCCAGCCTCTACCGCTGTCATCCCGATCCTTTTGCGGAATCTGCCGTAACCTTTATGTCCGTCATGTCATAGGGGACATCCATATAGATACCAACAAAGATCCTTGCTCTGCTTTGAACATCCTGTACAGCTACCTGATCAAAAGGTCGGTACGTATATTCTTCTCACTGTGTAGGCCTTTGCCGGTGTTTCGGGGGTTTGCTCGGAACCTTCCGACCTTCATAGACAGGTCGTATTCTGATGCACGCTGGCGTACCGAGGTGGGATGATACGTGTAAGATTGCGTTCGAGGGATGGAGTTATGATCTTCACTGAGCTCCTTAGCCTGGAGTGGGCATGCATTGCAAGATATCGAAACTCCATCCCGCTTGTTGGGGCCCTACGTTCAGCAGAAATGAGCTGTCACGAGCAATTGAAGAGATACTTCGCGAAGACTGGCCCGATAATTGAGCACGACGAACGACGTGCGCCGGGTGCTGCACTTTTCCACCAAGCAGTGCTACATGGATTTGAGTCACAGCACTGGACTCAATTGGAAAGGAAGCGTAGAGTCAGAAAGCTGAAAGAGTTAAGCGCAACAAGCAGGAAACATGAACCCGAGAGGAGATTTGGGCCAATTTGGAGCTTAGCAGCATAGTCTCGTATCCACCAGAGGAGGGACACAGCCACGAGGGATTTTGATGGCGCTAGGGCTGACTATGGGAAAGGAAGGTATGGAAACAAGCTAGCCGCGGGGAAACAATAGCCGGCCGTTGATTTGGAGAGGGTGTCCGTGTGTCAGCGAGGACCGTAGGGATCAGCAGATCGAGCATGGGCAGGGCACAGCCGCAAAGGCAGACGAAGGAGCTCGAGCCGCCGGCAGTAAGGCTCCATCAGGCAGGGAGATGTCAAAAGACAGTATGCTCCACGACCATTCGCTGCCATGCTGCAAGTAACCGAAAGCGGCAACAAGCGCGTGCTTTTTGGGGAAGGCAGAGTTGCGGGTCGAACGTCTACTCACGTCAGATTCGGCTGAGCAAGGCTCGGAGCCGCACGAGTTGCAGAGACAGGCGTTGATTTGCCGGGCACTGGGGAATGGAATGGGGGCGGTCAGCACGCGGGCTGCCCTGAGCGGGGCCTTGGCGCATGGTGTCGATGATGTTCACGATCTGTTACGAAACGCGGCTGCAGCTGGATCCCTTTGAGTTCCGAATTGCCGCAACTTCCAACGTCCTGGCGATTTGGCTTCGCACCGACGGTCGGAGACGAGAAGCTTGTGTGTCGGGCTGGGGTGGGGCCACGGGCACGTGGCGGGCGCCTGATGACGCCGGGTCTGGGGGGAGCGGCAGGACCTGAGCCGTCAGCATCGAGACCGGGCCGGCAGCTATCACAGCTGCCTAATTCGGCCGAGATTGTTTGGCGCCCTAGCCCGACACAGGAGCTAAACTGGTGTTGACACGGGCTGGTTCTGCTGGTGGCGGGCGGCGGGAGCTGCAGCCGCGCGCCGGTGCATTTCCGCCTGTGCGCGACGCGTCCGCTGCGCGCGCCGTAGTCTGCCGCCCGGCCTAGTACGGCGGGCGGCGGCGGCCTGAGGCGCACATCTGCTCCGTTTCCACCATCGCCGCCGAGTTCGGAACAGCCTTCTTCGCCCCTGCCGTCGCGCGTGCCTGCATGTCTCTGGCTCCATGTTGGTCCGCAAGTACTCGACCGGGGTCGCCATCACCAACCCTCTCGTGCTCTACCGTGCGTTGCTGGCCACGAACCGCATCCGCCCCGATCCTGCCCAGCATCGCCTCGGTACGTCATAGCTCACCTCACACGAAACCGCCGGCCCCCGGCTGACACCGCTGCAGCGCTCCATCTGCAGAAGCTCTACGAGCGCCTGAAGGACTATGAGCCCACCACCGAGTACAGCCACCGCTTGCACCAGCTCAGCCGTGTCGTCGGCACCAATGGCCGCGCCAAGACCTCGGCCGAGGAGAACCGCCATGTCCACCCACGCGGCTTCTGGTCCTCGCTGCTCGCGCAGAAGGAGAAGCGCGACAGCGTGGCCCTGACGCGTGTGCTGACCAGCCACGAGCAGGCCATGCAGCTCGACTCGCCGAAAGGCCTGATGCTTCACGGCGAGGTCGGCACGGGCAAGAGCATGCTGATCGACCTCTTCGCCGACTGCCTGCCCAATCGCAAGAAGCGCCGCTGGCACTTCAACACCTTCATGCTCGACACCCTGGCCAAACTTGAGACGCTGCGCCGTACAAGAAGCTCCACCTTCTTCGGCAATTCCGTCTTTGACGACGAGCATTCACTGCTGGTCCTCGCACGTGATATGATTGAGACATCGCCCATTCTCTTCCTTGACGAATTTCAACTCCCGGACCGTGCGGCGTCGAAGATCATGTCGAACCTCTTGACAAGCTTCTTCCATCTGGGTGGCGTGTTGATTGCAACGAGCAATCGGATGCCCGAGGAATTGGCGAAAGCCGCTGGTATGGAGTTCACCCCACCGCCAACACGGATGGACTCCTTGAGGTGGAGATTCGGTGTGAGAGCCCGGAGCGATCACAGGTTTGCTGGACGTGGTGACTTTGCTCCTTTTCTCGAAGTGCTCAAGACCAGATGTGAGGTATGGGAGATGGAGGGCGGCAAGGACTACAGGAGAAGCGAGTCTGAGGCCGCAGTCCACGAAGCCGAGAGAGGTTTGGAAACCGCCGTTGACGCGGCCATGGCAGGCGACGGTACCTCGGCTGCGAAACTACCATCCGACTCGCAGACCAAGGACTCGGTCCCGAAGATGGCGTCGATGCCAAAGAACTACTTTGTCAAGCCTTCCATTGAGGAATCAACATCGGAGCACAAAGAATGGCTCCTGAAGCTCAAGGCAGCGGAATCAACAGCATCAGGTGTCACTTCTCCCGAAATACCTTGGTCTCCCAGCACGATCCGTGTCTACGGCCGTCAAGTGACCGTCCCCCGCCAGTACAACGGCGTAACGTCCTGGACCTTCTCCGAACTCTGCGCCAGAGAGCTCGGTCCCGCCGACTACATTACGCTGGCCTCGACGTTCCACACGCTCATCCTCACCGACGTCCCCGTCCTCACCCTCCTCCAAAAGAACGAAGCGCGGCGCTTCATCACCCTCCTCGACGCCCTCTACGAAGCCCGCTGCAAGCTCCTCATCACCGCCGCCCGCGGGCCCGACGACATCTTTTTCCCGGAATCCCGACCAGCAGCCGTAGCAGCACGGGCGGCCTCCACCCCTTCGTCGTCGTCGTCATCATCATCACCCTCCCCACCACAACACCAACAGCAACAAGACAGCGACAACGACAACGACAGCGACGCCGTCTACTCCGAAACCTTCTCCGACATCTACCAAGACGCCACCGCCCCCTTCCGCCCCAACATCTCCTCCTACAACGTCGACGACGACCCCCCTTCCCGCGAGGAATCCACGCCCACGATGCTCGCCCCCGACGCCCTCGAAGACGACCCGCCCAACCGCGTCCGCCGCGGCACATACACCGGCTCCTTCGGCCTAGACCGCGACTACTCATACCACTCGCCCTCGTCCTCCTCCTCCACCACCACCACCACCACCACCAACAACAACAACGGCAGCAGCAGCAGCAGCAGCAGCAGCAGTGCCACGACTCTCCCACCACGCGCCGCCCCAAACTTCGGCCACGCGACCGCCTTCACCGGCGAAGACGAGCGCTTCGCCTACAAGCGCGCGCGCTCGCGCCTGTGGGAAATGTGCGGCGCGCGCTGGTGGGCCCGCGGTCACAGCGACGATGGCAACAATAACAATCGCGATAGCAATGTGGACAGCAACAACGCCTCGTGGTGGACCCCCGTCGCGCGCGAGGTGCGGGCGAGGTGGGAAGTCCCCGTCGCGGAGCGCGCGGCGTTGGAACAACAACGGCAACAGCAACAACAACAAAAACAACGGGAGGTAGTGAAAGCGGATGGCAGCGGCGTCGATGTGGCGGAAGGCATGGGCGCGGCGAGCGACGTGGACGAAGTGAGGGACGGTGGGCCGGCTACTGCTAGTCCGTTTAGGACGTTTCCGGGGCCGCCGCCGAAGATTGGGTGGACGCATGTGTGGGGGACGATGACGTGGGGGCGGAGGGCGGGGGCGTGGGGGAAGGGGGTGGAGGGGTTGGAGGAGAGGAGGAAGGAGAGGGAGAGGGAGAGGGAGGAGGAGGAAATGGAAAAGGAAAAGGCAAAGGAAAAGGAGGAGGGTCAAAAGTAGGTCGGGCTTTCAATTCGAGCTACATGTAGGTTTGTGTATATGTCTGAAGAAGCTATAGGACTATCTCCGTGATGTTTCATCTATAGGAGGTAGGTTTTCAGCGTCATAGAATAGAAGCTGCAGGCTTTCCTTGCGAATAGTATCCTTGGTACTTGGAGAAACACACACACAAAAAAAAGGAAGAAAGGGATGTGGGGAAACCAAACGACATGTGAAACTGTTGGCATAACTTCGTCTCAGGCTAGATCGGAGTATGAGTCAATTGATCAATCGATCAATCATCAACTTCGGCTCAGGGTCCAACGGTTTCGGTCCCCCCGTCAACCCCAATCACGTACCGCGTTGTTGCCTTCGCGCTGCCGACGGACAGTACCGCCTTCGACCGTTTCGATGGTAGCACCAAAACCAGTACTGGTAGGCTCGAAATCATAGACCACCGTCGTCACCGTGTGCGTGACCTTCCGAACCCGCGGCAGCAGTTCTCTATCCAACGACCACGTCATGAGCTTCTGTACGTCCAGCGAGTTTTGCGATGACGGGACGGCACCGCTGAGCGTCTGCAGCTGCGGCGGAGCGGTATGGTATGCGGGGGCCGGGGTAGTGCGTGATTCCTCTTCAGTGACGTGATGTCGGGCTGGTGCCGGGCGCTGTTGCTGCTCTTGGGTCAATTGCCGGGCCGGCGGCGTCTGGTCGACTCGCACTTGCGTCCGCCTTTGTTGCTCTTGGTTGCTCTTGGGATTACCGTGATCCTCGCGGCGCTGCTGCTGCTGCTGCTGTGGGGCAATTTGGGCGTCGCCTTGGTCATGACGTTCGTGCTGCTCATGATGGTGTCCTCGCTGGTCTTCATACTCCTTCCTCGGCACCGCCTGCCCGCCAATCCCGTTCGTTACCTTCGTCATCTCATTCTCCGGTAGCTCATCGAGCTCATCGCTCTGGGCTACCGACTTCTGCCCCGCAGTCTTTAGCCGCTTGTGAATCTGATCCCGAGATGGATCAGTATAGTGCCGAGGTTGCCAAGCGTACCAGTCTGCCGAGTCACCCTGTGATTCAGATGATAGGGGCGCCCATATCTCAGATGTAGACGCGTTGAGCGCGCAGGGCTGCTTCGATGATGGTGTTGACGCGGTGGTGGGAAGGGGGGTTGGACGGCGAGTGCTTGGCTTCTCAACATGCGAAGCCCGCTGCGCGATCTGGGAGCGTTGATCGAGCGGGCCGAGGTGGGTGTTGGGTTGAATTGATGCCGAGGCGGTAGCTTTGGCGGTTCCGTGCTTGGTAGCCGCAGCGGCTCGGAGCGCAGTGAGCTTGGCGGTTGAGGTGATGCGGGCTGATGGTGGTGGTGGGGATGCATCTAGTGAGCCGAGAATGGGGGATCCGGGACTATTGATGGGGCTGTGCATGGTATCATGTGGAAGTGTGCAGCTGGGTGGATTGTGTGTGGGTGTATGCTGGCGGCCAAAGCTGAGACTTCCTGAACGCGAAGAGGTCAGAGTGCACCGTGTCTTGAAGTGAAGATGCAATGGGATCTACCTAATGGGTCGCGGTGACAGTCAGAGCATAATTCGTCCTTGATGAGCAGCTGGTCGCTGGATTCGTTTTGAGCCTCACCATCTGCCATGGCGGCAGACTTGCGCTTTGGTGAGAATATGGAGTTGGCCATGATAGCGGATGACGATGAGCAAAAAAGAGGGCATCATCGACAGCGACGAGAGGTGGGGAAAGACGATTGACATTACGGAAGGCGCGTGGGCGGGCTCCTTCTGCGCCGGGAAGGGGCGCTCGCCGACCGACTCTCTGTTCTCCAGCGGTGCAAAAAAGCAAAAAGACTGAAGCTGAAGCTGCCAGGAATTGAACCCCGGACGGCAACACCACACGGCCGGACCAACTGCGCCACCCGGACGCGTTGGTGCAACACTACATGGGCAAGGACCTGCAGGCCTCCCTAAGCTGGCCGTGCGGCACCGGTAAGCCGGACCGCTGCAGGAAGGCGACACGGGGGACCACCGCCTTCTTTTGGTATCCATGACGCTTTAATCCCCAAGCGTTGCCTAGGAGTCGTGGGCAGGTAAACCAGTGAGCCACGTAACCTTTATCGGCTGGATGGTAGAAAAAGTCGCTGTTTTGCATTATATATGCCCCCCGGAATTTACGCCGCTGCACGTTTCCAACGGGGTCCAGAGATGGATCCACGGTACGCTGGTATATATGCTGTCCACGGACCACGGTAGCGCATCGCCGCTGGCTTGCCAGGGCGCCCGTTTCACGTCTACCCCGTGGGCCGTGACGTTTGAATTTTCAGGAACGCTTTCAGGAACAAGGGGTTTGGCTATCATTGCAGAATTGCAAGAGATGGAGCGCTGCCGACGGCTGCCGTTCGTAGAAGAGGAAGCCACGAGGGAGGAACTCCCCGCCGCGTGCCTCCAATCAAGTCGCTCGTCGCCCATGGCTCCTGCTTTGTGTCCAACTTCCCCACCCGCAGTTGCCAGCGCCGTCGATGGCTCCTGAATAGTATTCATCTTCTCCACCGGCAGCCGCCAGCGACACGCTGCAAGTTGCTTGTCCCAAATAGCTCCTGAATCGTGTCCTACTTCTCCACCGACCGCCTCCACCGACACACTGCAAGTCACTTGTCGCCAATGCCTCCTGAATCGTGTCTATCTTCCATACCAGCCGCCGCCAGCGACACATGCTCCATGCTGGCCAAACAGACTGGGACCCAGAGTGCTCACTGGACCCAGGTCACCCAGACACCGCAACTCGAATTCCACGTCCGTCGCTGCCCTTCGATTCCCATCCTCGATTCCCATCCCGCAAACCGTACTTCTTGCAGCAACGTGTCAGGAAGCTTCCGTTAGGACGCGCGTCTGCCTCTCCTCCCTTCCGTTCTTCCAAGGGTGGCTGCTCCACAATCCAGCCCTACGAAGCTGGGAGTCATGAGAACCCACACTGAGCGGGAAACTGAACGCGGTCATGCTTTTTGCATCTTTCAGGCGAAACTCCTCGCCTGAAGTACTGCACTGTTGGCAAATGTCTCCTGTTGCCGCTTTGGCTGTTCGAAGAGCTTTCGGGGCCCAACGACCTTGGTTGATTGATTGATTCATACTCCAATCTAGCCGGCCTTAGGGGCCCAACGACCTTGCAATGGGGTCTTCCAAGCTCCGTCCGATCCTAAGAGGGCTGGAAACCCAGGAACCAAGGCGTGCTCCTCAACCTGTGGCCCATTGGAACCATCATGAACGAGTTTTTCAGGCCAAGCCCTAGCGGGCATTGGCTCTAAACGGGAATGAGAATGAGGATACAAAACCTCGCTCTTCCCGCAGTTTTGGTTCCAAGGAACATCCGAGGAGTTCATCTTTGAAGCATAGACAACCACCACCGTCTATCTTCTCACTCACTCCATTTCTCCATCTTTCTCTCCATTCACAATGGAGAACTCAACAGCTGCGCCACCGGCGCCCATCTCTTATGCGGCCATGCTTAAGAGAACCTCTCCCGGCCCGGCAGCGCGCCCCTCTCTCCCCCCCTCTCCCCCCCTCTCTCCTCCTTCTTCCCCACCTTCTTCTCTCTCTCCTCTCGCCCGGGAATCCATCCCCTCATTTTCGTCTCCTCCCACCGCCTCTCCATCCCCCCCTCCATCCCCCCAACCTTCCCCTTCATCTCCTGGCAACGACAACACCGCTGCCAAAGAGCCTCACTGGGCATTTCCAGGAAGGCTCGCATGGCTGGACTTCGGCAAGATCGGGCCCAGCTCGATCATTCGCCAACGTCTCCGATGCCAGGAGCGCGTGGACGGTTTTGAGGGCCATCCGGTCCTCATCTGGGGTGGCCCCGACGAAGATGGGATCGTACGGATCATTCCCATCACCTCGTTCGGCGGACAGCGGGCCGAACAGAAGTGGGAGAAGATGAGGGAAGGCCTGGCGAAAAAGGAAAAGCTGCAGCAGCTGCTTTTGCTTGGGAACGGCGAGGAGGAGCCGCACTTGGGCACGGAGACGCTTCTCTTCGAGAGGCCTATCCAGCTCCGCAAGAGGTCGTACTTGCACATCCAGCAAGGCGCCTTCAAGCTCGAGGTTGACTGCCTCCAGCCGTACACCGTGGGCGGCGAGTCCGACATCATTCTCGCCGAGTCCGCGATGCGGTACATCTTTGAGCAGCTGACCCGTTGGGTCTGGTCTGCTCTCTGGAGGCGCTGAGCGTGCAAGTTCCAACGGCCTGCAGTGCAACATCATCAGGTGAGGATCCCGATCAGGTGGGGATTGACAAGCCCGGCAAGCGACTCCTCGTGAGCTCCAGCGCTGGCACCAGTCCGTTTTGGTACCATCCTTCCGGATTAGCAACACCTGCTTGCAGGCTTGCTAAGGACCAATTCGGCATTGTTCCTTTCCGACTCTGCCTTGAGCCCATCACTTGCTCTTGTGCTTTGAGTCCGGAACTTCACCACATATAATGTGGTGGAGCCTGCTTGTCGTCACTTATCGATGGGTTCGCCCAATACGATATTTGACGCAAGCTTGCTCTTGGATTCCCGCGATCGTTCTCGAAGGTGACCTCGGGTATTTTAAACCGATAAATCTTCATACGAGATTCGAACAGCGGCAGAACTCCTTGAGACCAACCATTTTGGGTTTTTATTGTTGCTGACAGAGCAAGGCGGAGGGACGCCAGCGATTGGGCTCGCACCTCTGCGTTGGTGCTGGCGATTAGTAACTCTCTGGTGCATGTCCATCAAGAGTGAAGCTAAGACGAGCCTTTTTCTTGTAAGTATTGAGCTGTGGTGGTTGAGTGCGGAGTTCGCTTCGGAGAAGTGCAAGAGTATTGGATTGATTTTTCGGGACATGCAAGCAATTGAGATGATTCTACTTTGAATGACATGTACCTTTCTGGATGAAACTTGATCACCGCCAATTCTCTCCGCTACCCATATGCGTCTCGTGCAGTTTGATGCCAGTGTCAGCTTTTCTACCATCGAAATGTACATGTCACACCACAGAGCAGAAGCCGTTTGGGATCACAAAGATCTGAATGAAAACGCTACATAGTGTGGTATTCGCGCTAAAGCACCATCGTGGGTCGTGATAATCGAAAGTGAGGGAAAGCAAACGTCGCAAGCAGCCAGGGAGACAACACCAAAGCCCACCAAGAAAAGCAGCTGAATTCCGTCACTCAAGAGAAGACTCCGCCGCATCATCATCCGTCTCCTCCTGGGTCACCGATTGCAGCGCGTTCGCCGCCTCCGCGACCTTCCGCCGCATCTCATCCTGCACCCTCTGCCTCTCAGCGGCCCTGTCCCTCTCCCTCTGCTGCCTCCTGACCTCCGCCTCCGCCCTCCTCATCAGCGGCAGCCGATGCTCCAAGTACGCGCGGCAAGCCTCCCAACTCGCCTCATCCAACACGTACTTGTTCTTGAGACTCCTCCCATCCGCATACTTGCAGATATCCGCAAGCTCGCAATGAAACCGGTAAACAAACCGGAAGTACGTCGTCTTCTTCAACACCCTCCCCCCCCTCAACCGCAGCACCGGCAACCCCAACCCCGCATACGCCTCCACATAGTCCTCCCCATCCCCACCATCCCCACCAACCCGCAGATACTCCCTCCCAATCCGCGCCCTCTCGTGCGCCTCCCTGATCCTCCCCATCTTCCCCACCATCCCTTGCCCCAGGAAACTCGTTCCGACGAGAATCTCGACGTACCCTGCGTCTTTCCACCCGCACACCAGCCCCGGATGCCGCCCTGTGCCCCACGTCGCGTTCGGCTTCAGGTGCACGATCATGCCGAGCTCGAGGTCGGACAGGCGCAGGTCGAACCGCGCGTGTGAGGACTTGCGCGTCGATGGCTGCCATGCGTCTTGGGGCGGAGGGAGGTTGGTGTGCGGCGAGTCTGCTGGCGGCGATGGGGAGGCGGCGGACGACGGGGTGCTGCGGGCGGGAGGGGGAGGGGGGTGGGCGGAGGCGCGGGGTGGGGCCGAGCTGGCGGTGGCTGGCTTGGTGAAAGAGACGTCGCGGAGGGCGGCGAGCGAGAGGGGGCCGGAGAGATCTTCTGTTGCCTCTTGGCCGTGGGGAGTGGGCGTGTTGTAGGTGGCGGAGGGCTGGCGGGCGGCGTGGTGTCGTGTGGACGTCGAGAGCTGGAAGCTCGACGGGCCGGTTGGTGTGGGCGTAGGGCGGATGGAGGGAGGGAAGAAAGGAGCGGGAGGAGGAGCAGGAGGGAACTGCTGGTTGAAGTGGTGAGGGGCAGGGCTGGGGTTAAGCCTCTGCTGCTGGTGTCCCATGGCAGATGTGCTCTGTCCATGGTAGCCGCCGAATGGAGACGGGGCCGCCGGGGTGTTGTATACAGGGTGGTGTTGGGTGAGGACGTGTCCAGGCATCTGCTGAAACGTAGGCGCGTTCCGATGGTTGACGGAGTGGTTTCTCGGACCACGCGGCGGCGGCATGTTCATGGGTGGTGTAGGACCACCGCGAGGCTGACCCATCTGCGGGTTGTAGGTTGGAGGAGGAGGGGCGGCAGATGGAGCGAAGCCAGCAGGCCCATATAGAGTGGGACGCTGCGTGGAGAATCCCGGGACGACGGTGACGCCGTTGCACCCCAACCCACAGTTGGGGTTGAGATGGTGCAGTTGACAGCACATGGGCCGAGGGCCCGTCGGAGCGTTCGGCGGCGGCACTTGGTGTTGAGAACGGCCACGGCCACGGCCACCTCGGGTGCCGCGTGCGGGATCTAGGGTTTTGCTGTCAGAGGAAGTGCGGATTAATGGAAAAGGGCTTCATACTGTAGCTGTTTTGGTTCATGTCTGTTTGCGGGAGGGTGTAGGCGTTTGGATCGTGGAGAGGTGGTCAAGAGACGCTGTCCGAAAGAAATCTTGCAGTGGGTTACAAGAGTGTCGCAGCTGAAGGTCGGAGGGTCGCAGTGGTGGGTTTTATGTGTGCTGCGACTGGAGCGGCGAAGTCAAGGCGGCACGGGGCCACAGCACACCCGCAGATTGCCTCTTTTGGCTAACTGGGGCTTTCCACCACCTTCCATTGGACAGGACCACGGCTGAGGCTTGGCGGACTGGCGCGGAGGGGAGAGGTCGGCTTCACTCTATCCACTCTTTGGCGTCTAAGGTATCGGGACGAGACGGGGAGCCACTGAACAATAAGTTCCGAAGCATGTAACATTTTCACTATAGATAAAGATCTTATTGTCTACAGCGAAAAGGCAAATGGGATTGTTATATACTGCAGCTGTGTAGCTTACGACGAATGCCATTGTGACAGCCAGACTCCAAACAATTTGCGAATGTTTGTTTTTAAATATCAGACCTTTTTCAAACACCACGCAGGTTGGATGTACCGTGATTTTCTCTTTTGTCTCCGTAGTCTAGTTATTTGTTACGTGCATATTCTCAAAGTTTCTAAGCATGTGCGGCTGGTGCTTTGTCATTCTCACCGTCACGTAGGAACCTGTGATCCGTATGATATTGGTCATTCAAGCTTTACAATACAATCTACTGCTAGGGCTTGCTTAACAAGCCGGCCTAAATAGACCACCTTTAAACAAGCAAGCAAGCAGTGTTCAATCTACAGGGCATGTTGCGAGCCCTTGGTTGCGGTCGTGCAGTCGGAAACGCGTTTCTCCGGGGACATTCGGCGTGCGGAAGTTTTGATTGGTTGCTCAATAATTTCCTCTTTGGGACTCGCAGCGTCTGAGTTGCCGACCGAAAGATAAGGCCTGTGAGGCACGAAAGAGAGAAAAAGAGCATGGCAGTTCCTCCACTGGGTTGCAAATTACGGCCAAAATCCGCTCTACTTCGGTTTCCCCAAATGTCCTTCAGGGTGGCCGCCGACGTGCGATGAAGCAAACGCTTTGCGACAGTCCGTTCCCGCCGGAGAATACGTCGGCAAAACACGGCAGCATTTCGTCCGGGTAGTCGCGGTCGCGCAATATTTATCCCGAAATTCCACGGATATCGCTTTGGACAAAGAAGCAAAGCTTCGATTGTTGTATCTAAACGATGCATTAATGGACAGGCAGTGGTGTGCGGGTTGTAGGACCGATGTCACTAAATGATGTAGAAGTAAGAGGTTTGGTTTAGTAGACAGTATCGCATCGCATAAATTTGAAGAAGTCTCCAGGGGAAATAAGATACTCGATTAGATGTTTTTTCTTCTAGCGTCCCATCCAAGGAACACACCACCATACCTACAACACATTCAGTTCAAGCAACGCGCTCAAGAGCATAGTTCTCCGGGACAAGAGAGATGGACACGGTCAGGGTTCCGGCGGCGCCATCATAGTGGTCACGGTAGACAAGGTGGCCGGTGATGTCCTCGGTGTCCTCGTCCTGGAAGGTGGCGACTTGGTTATGATCGCCCATGGACTGAATCTGCAGCAGCCTACCAGGCGGCGGAGCCAAGGCACGGGAGTGCGGACCCGTGTTGTTCAGGTCAGTGAAGCAAGTGGGGCAAGTGAAGAAGCTAAGCGTGGCGTGTTGGGTCTTGAAAGCGAGGGTGATGCAAGCCAAGTGGAAGTTGCACTCACACGGAAGGACGATGATGGGCTCGCTGGTGGCGTCGCCGCTGCCATGGAAGCAGGCATTGCATGCCGACTCCTCGTAGGAGGTCCGGGGGAAGGTCAGGGTACACGCGCGGGAAGCCATGGTGGTCGATGGTAGAGAAAGGCATCGATAGTGTTGCAAGTTGTTATAAACCAAGACTCTGCGATGGTTGTACATGCACAATGCTGCCTTGTTCTCAAGTGTGGTGAGGGCATTGTTCAAAGACATGGCCGACCCCTTTGACGATTTCCTGAACAACGCTGACCCAAAGCTCGGCCGCACTGGCCAAAATCAGCCTCTGGAGGAAAATAGGTGTGACTGGATTGTTCGATCCCACCGCTTATCTTATCTCACCGAGTGGTAGATCTTGTTGTGCTCGCCGCAAACGCGGGCAGCAGGCAGAGTGCAGTATCAATGTCCACAAAACGCGTCCTGGGTGTTTGTTGATTGTTGCAACTGTCGCCTGATTCGGCGAAGTTTCCGTGTGGCGATCGGCTGAATCAGAGTTGCGGTCGGTCCTGTGCAGCTTCTTTCGAACTGTTTTATTCCAAGATGGGTCGGGGTGTGTGCTTCGATAAGTTGCGAATGAGCGCGAATTCCCTTCTCAGCCGGCTTGCGAGTGAACGTGCGGGTTTCCAGCGAATAGCATGGAGCCGTCGGCGGGCAAACAGATGGACGGGCGTGAAAGTTTCCAAGGTTGGCGGTCGGGTGCATGCGTCCAGCAGCGCAGTTGCCATTTTCAAGTCCACCTGACCAGCGCTAAACATTTTGGGAATCTACTTAAGCTGCCACCCGCCCCGCTCCAAAACTCTACACACTCCTTCCTTCCAACTTCACCCGGCCCAAGAAGCTTTTTTCAACCTTGCCTGTCGCGCTTATCTGAATCTTCTTGACCAACCCCCGCTTCTTCTTTTAATCCTACCACCTGTAAGCTCTTCTATATTAACATCACCATGAGACCACTTATTACTTCACCACAGACCATTACCAGACAAGACGGACCCACCGAAGCCATGTCTGGACAGCAGAGCCGCAACCAAGACGCGCTTCAAGACGAGCGCCGGAGCATCTCTCAGTCTGGACAGCAGAGTAGGACAACGACCCATCGCATGCACGTGATATCTTTCACTGACACACTCCGCCAGATGTCTCCCAGCCTGCAGCTGCCTCCAATTTGTTCAACACCAACTACAGGGGTCCGCAGGATGCTGAGCAGCAAGGACAGTTGCGCAACACGAATGCATCGAGTGGTATATATGGAATTCCTGCTCTGGCGTACAATGCGCCTGTATACAACCAGTTCGGGCAAGCCCCCAGCCCGGCAGTGGGTCGTGGACGTGGGAATCCTCCAAGGCAGGGTGGGCACCGCAGTCGTGTTGCAGCTGCTGGTGGCCGACAGCCATCCTACTCGGGCCGTTCAAGCCCGTATCCTCCAGTTGGCCCTGCGTATTCTCCGCGTGGATACCAGCAGCAGCTTCCCTATCCGCCAGCTGCACACCGAGGTCGCGGTCACTCCGGTCCCGTCCGATTCCCGCCCTCAGCGCCTGCGGGCCGCGGTGTTGGTCCTCGTGGCCAGCGTGGCGAGAGTGGCCGCCGTCGCTCTCCTGCACCGACGCCAGCAAGTTCGCAGCACGTCTGCTCCGCCCAGTTCACTCGGCCTTCTCAGCCTGCTCCGTCCCGCGGCCGTCCCGCCTTTCCGCCCGTGCAGTTCGGCAAGGACGACTTCCCATCCCTCGGCAGCCAGTCGCGCCAGTCCACTCCCCGACAACAGCGAGAGAGTGGTACGGACCAGGGCAGGCCCGCTGCCGGCCGTGGCCGTGGTCGTGGAAGATACGTCCCCTTCACCGACTTCAGCCTCGGCGGCAGCACCGGTCCCACTCCCACAGGCGTCGACAACATCCGCGAACCGGCTTCCACCCTCCTGCCTCGTCCCCGCTTCCACCGGAACGCCGACTTCCGCCTCACCCTGAGCCAGTGCTACCGGGGCAAGATCGTCTTCATCGACGAGCTCTCGGGCCTGGACTACTCGGGCCACCCCGCCGTCATCCGCTCCGTCAACCGCGCCACGCGCCAGATCCGCTTCTTCAAGAAGTCGTCGTTCAAGGGGATCGGCGGATTCCTCAACAAGTACGGCGAATACGTCAATCAGGCGCAGAAGCGCTGGCACGAGAAGCAGTGGCTGCTGGTCGATGACGGCACAACGCGGCCGCACCACGGCACGCCGCTGCTCAGGCTCGCCGACGGCGAGATGATGCCGGAGAAGGGGTCGTACGTGGATATCCATGGGGATGCTGAGCTGCATGTCGATTACTTTTCCAAGTACTCGCGTTTTGGCAGCTTTCCGGACCTGTATCTGCCGGAGGAGGAGATGGCGGTGTTGGAGAGGTACTCGGAGTGGTACCTCAAGAAGGATGCGGAGTACCGACAGGCCGAGGAGAGGAGGAAGAGGGAGAAATGGCAGGTGGACGAGTCGACGGGGGCGGACGTCGGGAATGTTTACGAGGATTCGGAGAACGAGAATGAGGCCGGGTAGGCTGGGGCAGCCTGAGTAGATAGCTATGGATGAGACAATCACTTCTTCTTTTGCACGAGAGACCTCTATCTGGAGAGCGCCGTGATTACGGAGAGTTGAGGTTTCGTGCAGTTTTCGTGCAGAGTTTCCAGCAGCAACCCTCCAGCCAGTCAGGCATTTGACCGGCAGGGACAGCCAGCCGCAAGCAGCGGCAGCTCCTCTATATATTCTTCCGCAAGTCTCCAGCAAGCGAAGGATGATATCAAAACACAGCAGGGCAAGAAGAAAGTTAAAACGTGACACCAATCATCAAGCGGACCGAGCCTTGTACACGCTGCGCTAGAGAGATGTCGCGTTCGACCGCATGGTGAATTCTAGTCGAGGGCCCGGACACGTTCGTGGCAGACACGGTGGTGGATGGGAGGCGGTGAGGTGGATATCAGTGGAGAGGTTTTAATGCGAGTATTCGAGGTATTGTAGCATGAGGACGGTCTTCTTAGTCATTTTCACTTTTCGTCTGTTTGGAATGCGAGCTTATGATACACTGCACAATGGTACGAAAAAGGTCTGGGTTTTACTCGGTGTGGAAGCTGGCAGCGGTGAGTTCAGCCAGCAAGTCTCTCTTAAGTGAATAGATGCTTCCACAAGCAAAACGCAGTTGTAAAATGCCGTGCTTCTCTTCATAGTGTATGCTATGCAGAAGCTAAGCACAGATTTTTCTAAATCTTGCAGTGTCTTGAGCGTGCGATGTCGTCCCCAGAGTTTTCGGCTTTGCTCTTTGAGTTGGTCGTGATCCCGCGAATCTGAAGTCAGGCGAATACATTCAGTATGTGTTCTCAGAAGTCACAGTAGTAGCACAACTCCAGATGAGTTGAGCGACCTGGCTCTGCCGGCTCTGCCCAAGATCTATCTCTTGCGTGCCCCGCCACCACTTCTTCTTCTTTTTCTTCCCTCCTCCACCACTCCCGCCGAACTCCTCTCACCGCAGAAAGTCTTTCGCTCGCCCGCCTTTGCTCCTCCGCCTACAGACGGCGTCATTTGCCCGCCCGTCCGCAAGCCGGCCGCCGCTCCTGTCGCACAAACGCCCTCCACCACGTTCCGCCTTCATCACCTTCGATAGCGCGTCACCGCTCCATACGCACACCCTGGCCGACAGTCCGCCGGACAAGCTGCGCTCTGGTCCATCTTGTCTCGCCTCTTCTACCACCCCAGTACATCTTCCCGACTCGCCGAATATGTTGTTTGCTCGCGCTTCCCCTTGTGCTAACTTCTTCTACGTCGTCAAACAGGACAGAGCCTTTGGAAACGGCCCAAACAGCAACCATGTATTCCGACGAGGCTTCCTCTGGCCTCACACGCAAGCTTAAGACCGAGAGCGGCGCAGCGCCTCACTCCGCGCCGTCCTCATCGTCCCAAAACAAGCACGACGTTGCTGGCCCGCCGCCCAAGTCCCGTCCTCTGATCGATTCATACCGGCCACAGCGCGAAAACTACCGTTCTTCTTCGTCTCTTGGCCCCAGGCCTTTCAGAAACTCTGGTCAGCGTCCTCTTATTGACTCGTACAGACCGCAAGCGCAGCCAGCGAGTGGTTACAGCCATGCTCCGCCCAAGCGCAAGGCGTCAGACTCGTCCGACTACAGCGTTCCCGCGCACCATGACAGCGAGCCGAGCCGGAAGAGGCAGGGCACGGGCAGAAAGCCGAATCCGCTCTCGGCAGCTTGCGCTTTGGAAAGCCCAAGGACTCCCGCTTTGTCCAGCTCCCCCGCCAGTACAACCAGCGCCAGACCCGCACACGCCACAAGCTACCACAACGAAGCATACGCCAGAGCCGCGCGCGGCAGAGTTACGGACCGGTATGTAGACGTCTACCGCTCGCAGGAGCGCCAACGCCTTCGCCCTGATCGATCCGGCCCGCCGCCGCCGCGCGACTACGACTACGACTACGACCCCTACCCTCCTCACCCGCGCCGCAACGCCAGTCTTCCGTCTCTCCACCGCCACCAGGCCCGCTCGCCCTCCCCTCCGGACCACCACCACCGGCACCAGCACCAGCACCACGAGCAAGCCCTGGTCCCCTATCCCACCATCAACCCCGCCGCCGCCGCTGCCACCGGCCACCTCCCCTCCCCCAAATACCTCCCCCCGCTCTCCTGCACCCCCGGCCGCATCATCTGGGTCAAGCGCCTGATCCCCACAAACACCAACACCAGCACCAGCACCATCAACTCCACTACTCCTCAAAGCCAAAACCAAAGCCAAAACCAAGGCTGGCGCTCCCACCCTGGCGTCATCCTCGACGCCGAGGACCCCACCGACGCCCGCGCCGACGCCTTCGCCTACGTCGCCACCACCACGTCCTGGAGCGTCTACCGCGGGCTCGACGCCAAGTTCGCCGCTGCCGCCGCCGCCACCCGCGACGAGCTGGCGGCGTCGTTTTGTCGCGTCGTGCTGGTGTCGCCGACAGGCGCTGCCAGCTCTTCTTCGGCTTCGGGTTCGTCTTCGGCTTTGTCTTCGGCGTCGTCTTCGTTCCGTGGTGTGGGTGCGGGTGTGGATGTTGGGACTGGGACCGCGACGGGAAAGCTGATGGGCGAGGTGCCCGAGGTCCGGATCGAGGGCGCGGACGTGTTCGAGCAGGAGACGTACGTGGACGGGCGGGCGGTGCGGCGCGTGCGCAAGCGGGAGCTGGGCCGCTACGTGAAGAAGGGGACGTGCGACGAGGCGTTTGTGACGGCGGGCTCGCTGAGGGAGCTGAAGGCGCATCTCAGGGCGCTGGCGAGCCGCGGCAACGGCGTGTGGGACCGCGCGGACCTGAGGGACTTAAGGGCGTGGGCGAGGTGGGATGAGGGGAAGGAGGAGGAGCTAGAGGAGGAGGAGGGGAGGAGGAGGAAGAAGAAAAGAGAGGAGGATGGGAAGGAGGAGGGGGAGATTTCGGAGGGGGGGTAGAGCTGCTAGAGCGGTTGTCTGCAGAGGTGCGTGGTCTGGTTGGGGGCGGCTTGGGTCTGTGTTTGTTTGGGAATTGGGCTTGAGTGTCTCCGTGATTGGCCTACAAAGTCGCTTGATAGTAAATGGAATGATTGCAAGAGGCTTGTGAAGTCGTTTGTTGATTCACCGCCTGTGACTCTGCGACCGTTTCCCCACAAATTCGCTTCCCCCCATAACTTTTTATGATTGAAAACATAGTGGCACATGCTCGGGGTGATCAAACAACCCGTCTCGTAAGGCTATATAAACCCATTACTCTGTTAACAGGCTTTGCTCTGACTACCATCATTCATATCAAAATCATTTGATTGCATATATTATATATTGGCATTTACCGGAGATCACCCATTACGAAGCGCAGCGTTTTGTTCTATATGTATGTACTTACGGATGAACGACTCTTCCGTGCCCTCATCGAACAACCAACCAAATCTGTCTCGAGGGCTCATCTCAAGGCGACAATGTGGGGGCCATAAAACTGGGCTTGAACAAGGTCCGGCTTTGGTGTCCGAACAGCGTCAGCACCGTTTACATCTTGTCGGACTCTGTCCGCATGCTGAAGATGATAAAACGATGGAGAGAAGGAACCGAAGCCGACGACCGTGTATCCTCGTCTAGATGGAGTATAGGCAGTTGCTCCCCGTCAGCAACTGTCACGCAAAATGTAAGCAACAAACCCGCTCTTCTGCATCCTTCAAATCGCTGACCCAAAGTGTAGAAGAGTCCTGGCACAGACTTTGTTTCGCCTCATCAAGCAACCAGGGCGGGGTCTGGTATAAAAGTGGTTTCTTAGACAGCTAGCTAGAAAGAACAACAACGCTTCTTCCTCTTCTCTCTCACCTCTGTGTTGTCACCTTACCACATCGTGTGATCGCTGCGACCGATTTGGGACATCCAGGCCTTTTCTCAATGGGAGTTTCCAAACGCCCAACAGCCTGTATATCACCGATTCATTCATTCTGTATCGGCATGAATAAAAGCTGTGGTGTCGTGGCTAGCGTTGTCGCGATTGATTTCATGTCTGCACCGAGGTGAGCAATTTCCCCGATTTGGCTAGTCCGTCTCGGTTAGGTTCCGTCCAAATCGACATCCATGACCAGAACCACGACACCTCCGTACGAACCTTGTAACACAATTTCCAGCGAGGCGCTGAACGGGCCTGAACTCGAGGTCGTGATGAATACCGGGGCGGAGAGGGCAGAGAACCACAGAAAGCTCCAGGAAGTGCAATTCCCCAGAGGGTGAAAGTCCGCGAAATCATGGAGGGCGGAGCGAACATGGATCGGAGGAGTGCAATCTCGCAGCCACTAAAGGAGCCAAGGGCATGGCTACCCGCCGTTCAGGGAGATCGAGACGTTAAACTGTACCAACAAGGGATCGCGTTCCGTGAATACACGGTCCCGGATACTCGTTTTTTTTAACGACCCAAAAGTCCGAGCCAGCTCCCGCTAGTCCCTCCTCCTCCCCTTCCTCCTCCTACCCTTCCTCCTCCTCCCCTTCCTCCTCCTCCCCTTCCTCCTCCTCCTCCTCTGCCTTCTTCTCCTCCTCTTCCACCGCCACCACCACAAAGCCCCGCCAAACCCCAGCCAAACCTTCCAGCAATAGCAACAAGACGCTCCGCGCCAGCGACCAGCTCGTCCCGCGCCGCATCATCTACGTCGTGTAGAACCCGACGGGCCGGAAGCGGTCGCCACCGCCGAAAGGACCAAGGCGTTGACCGAAATGCCGTTCCCCAGGACTCTGAAGCTGATCTAGAGCACTGGATTGGAGCCAGTCATCGGGCTTTTGGATCAGCTGCCCATCCTGATATCAGTGCAGGATGGTGTTGACCTCCTGCGGCCATTGACCTTGGGCGCTCATGCGCTCCGGATCCACTGAGAACCGCCCGGGTTGGAACTACTAGTCCGGGTGGAGCTCCTCGAGCAGGCCCAGCTGGCCCTCGGACCTGGCCGATCTGGGCGGAACCATTTCTTCAATCCCAAGGCGTTGGCCGGCGAACCCGCGTCCTTGACCAGCTGTTGGAAACCGTAGTCCCCGGCGTAGATGTACCCGTTATAGGTTCCGAAAGCGATGGTCCCGTCCTCTTTCTCGAGGAGGGCCGGCCGGCTCATGCTTGACGTGCAGATCGACTCATGCGGCCGGTGCGCGTAGAAGTGGGCCGGTGACGCCAAGTATTTACCGCCGGTGTTTCATGCCCGTGGATGCCAGCGCCGGCGGCAGCTCGACGTCGACGCGACGACGACGCCCGCCCATGACGGTGTGCCCGTCGTAACTCGTAAGGCTGTGCCGCGGCAGGATGATGCCGAAGCTGTGTTTATGTGGCCCCTCAAGCGCACGCATTGGCTGGATGTCGGGGAGGTGGAGAAGTATAGGGGCGTTGGGGGGGATACGGAGTTTTGGGCGACGAGGCAGATGGAGAAGCCGTGGGTGGATGATGGGGTGGTGGTGGAGGTGCCGGAGTGGGAGCCGCTGGAGGTTGGGGCACTGGATGGGGCGTGGTGAAGGGGCTATGTGTTGCTGGGGAACGACGATGAGCTGCGCCTTCTTGAATGGCGGCTGAGAAGTAGCCTGGCATCGCCTCCAAGCACGGTTCGAGCTTTCTGGATTTGGCTGAAGCATACATTTGCCCGCACTGGAACCTAAAGCGCTTCTTTGGCTGAGAATGGCCTGTCACAATAGCGTCTTCGCCATCATCTGTTCATGTGTTTGAGATTCATATCAGGATCCCGATTAGGATAAAGGTGCGGGACGAACGACGTGGAATCCAGCAAAAGACTGCACCCTAACCCTATGGAGCAGGTCAGCTTGCCGGTTTTATCAGTGTGCGTGCGGGCCTGCGCTACTAGTGGAAGTATGGACAACTTTTGTGAGAGGATATTAAATGGCTGTGATGGGCATTTTCACTTGCGAGAGATTTGCAGGTCATCACTCCTCATGGAATCTTGCGATATCTTTGAGAATTGGCAAGGCCCTCAATTCCCTTGCCACCCAGCAAATGTTGGAATTGCCGTGAAATCCTCGCCGCTGTTGCACCCCAACCACACAGGCATACCTTTGCGGCCACGACATCCCCCGCCGCGTCTTCGCGCCTGGTCCCTGCCGCCCGCCCAAGCGCATCCCTCCAACGTCACCGCGCCCAAGGGAAACCGAACACGTCCTCCACCATCACCGCACCTCCGACGCACAAGCAAAGCTCCGCGCATCCCCCACAACAACAACCTCCGACAATCGCCCCTCGCCGCCCACTCGAACCTTCACGCCCCCACCTTTCCCTCGTCCTCTCACACAACCACCACAAAAAATGGTACGCCCTACACCTCCCGCAAACGAATTGCAACAGCAGCAATCCCCTCCTCCTCCTCCTCCTCCTCCTCCCGCTCCAATCCAGGGCTGCAACCTTTCGCTCACTGACACCCGCGGCGCGCGCGCGCGCGCGTCGAAAATAATGCAGACCGCCCTCTTCAACTTCCAATCCCTCCTGCTCGTCATCCTCCTCCTCATCTGCACGAGCACCTACGTGCACGCCGTCGCGCCCAGCATCATGGACCGCAACAAGGACGGGTAAGGATTACCTACACATGACCCTACCGACCCTCCGCATCTCATCTCTCTCCCTCCCTCCCTATCGATCCGATTTCGCTTCTCCGCTACCTGCATGCCTGCTTGCCTGCCTGCCGCTTCCGCCCGCGCGCGCGCTACGCCCTCCGCCGTTCGTTGCTATACATACATACACGGAGGAGGAGAGCGGAAGGAACCCTCAACAACCGCCACACCAGCAGGGGCAGCGGCGGCGGCGGTGGCGGCGGCGAAAGAGAAGGAGAAGAATCAACACATGGCCCCCCCTTCCACAGAGCGAAAGTTGCAAGGAAGAAGGAACAAACAGAAAAAAAAAACACCAGGACGCATTTGGGCTAACTACCACGCGCCACAGCGTCTTCGGCATATTTTGGAAATTCGCTCGGGTGGGTGAGCGGTTGAGCCCATATGTCAGCTTATGCTGCATCGCCATGGCCGTGAGTCCCCCTCCCTCCCGTCTTCTTCTTCTTCTTCCTCCAGCAGCGATAAATGCTCGAGGAGTACTAGAGCCCCCCTGGTTAACTGACCGTGTCAGACTTCCCTCTTCATCGGCCAGTAAAGGAAAGAAAAAAAACTTGTGCCACGAGAAGGCTTTGCTTAATAAATACTGGGCTGTGTATGAAATCCAATGTTCAGGCTTGGGGAGCGATGGCGTTTTTCCCGTTTTCGGAGGGCCGTTTTTGATTCGTGGTCGAGTCATGTCCGAGAGTACTTAATCAATCGAGTTGCTCCTTGCATATAACCTGGAGCTTGCCCTTATCGTGACTTGGAGCATCTGGTGCACCTTTTGGCCCCGAAAGATACACAAGGTACCAGCAACTCGCTTTGGGCAAGCTGATGATCAGGATGTATGAAGACGTTTTGGCATGGGAGAAGTATAGACTTGAAAGTTCTGTTTACTACAAGCAAGAGCTACTAGGCACTAAACATGGTTTGGAGCTATAGTCGATGCAGTATATCGGAAGTACTGGAAAGAAGCAAATGAGCCACACTTCCAGTCCAGGCACACGTAAGCCTTCATCCGCATTGCATCACTCCTCTCGCACGGATCTTCTCTCAAATAGTGAGGGAACCGCTGGTCTCACCGATGTCAGAACCGTTATGTTCATGGTCCAGTTCAGCCTCCATCTTGACGGGTCCCGTGTCATCTTCTTCCATCCGCGACAATTCCCGACCGGGCACCTCGTCGGCGTAAACACCAGTGTCATCGATGAAGTCCGACTCGTATTCGTCCAGCATTGAGTCGTCGTCATCGTCGTCCGTGTAGTCGGTACAGTATCCCGATCCGCCGTTGATGTTCTGCCAGTAGCAGCTGCGCTGTTCTTCATCGGTGTGATTGTGGTACTGGCAGAGATCCTCGTCCCACGGAGGGTAGTCATCAATCTCTCCGTGTTCATCTCGCAGTAGGAGGACGGAGAGCCAGAAATCAGCCGGAACCTGCTTGCGTAAGATGAGTTCCTCTCGACATCCGGCATCAATCCCGTACGTCCAGTTGCGGGCAAAGACATCGACGAGGTACTTGCGCAGCAGTGGAGCAGGAGTAGACGCCTGCCAGACTTTGAGTATGATGCTGTAGCTAGGGACGAGATTGCCGTCTGGGTTCATCTCCAAGATGCTGTCGAAGAGATCATTCTGGAACTGCCGGATCTCGAAGTCAATGGCAAACATGTAGCACTCAAGGGCTTCACTCTCAGGCTGTGAGTGGTAGTAGTTGACCCTATCTTTGATAACTTCATTTTCGCCGACTTTGATGGGTTCGCCGTATGTCTGGCGAGGTTCGTGAACACTCCACTTCGGTAATTGGTCGCCATCGGAACGCATCCAATCAAGGAACACTCGGAAAACCGCAGGGCTGACGGTTGGCAGGTCCAGGGTTTCGGAATTGGAGACATCAAATTCACCATCGAGGTAGTTCGACCAGTAGCGGAGGAGGTCGGTGTAGATAAGGTACAGCTCACGGTCAGGTCCCACATAGACCTTCGTGATGCTGTTACTCAGGGTTTTGTCTCTGGTACTGGTTAGTAGGTGTTTGAGGCAGGGCGGAATCGACCGAGGCAGCGTGGGATTATGGCAACGTACGTGAAGGACGGCGGCCTGTCCGGCCTGACATCCCTGTTGCTTCCCTTGTTCCTGGCCATCTTCACTCTCGATATTTGTCGTGCTGCGAGAGTGGCCTCTGAATCTGAGGTGAGGTGCAGTGAGTTGGAAGGTAGAAGGGAATGTCTTGCTCCTCGGAGCGAAAGCAGACGGAAAAATTTCAGGGTCCAGCCTCCGGTTGAGGCAGGCGTGACCAAGAGCACTTTCCCGAAACAACCCAGAGGCAGTCAAGCCAATGACGTTCTTTACTACGTGAGAGCTCCCATATTTCAAGGTCAGCTCGGGTTTCACGGTGCCAGTCCGTACACAGTCTGACAAGATGGCCAAGGACGAAAAACGGGAAAACGTCAACTTAAGAGAATCGAAACATCGGGGGCACTTCCACAAGGTGTATTGGGAAGGAGAGAAATTCAATGATGTAGCTAAAAATAGCCACTTGAAGGCAAAAAGTTGCATGTTTGGTGCACGACTCACGCAAAACGAATGGTAAAGCGCAACAGGAATGGAGTGAAATTTCCAGCTCGTCAGTGTGGCGTCCATCACGGAGCGACCATACCCTACTTCCTCGTTCATTTGTCAAACAGAAAGAAAATCAGCAAATCTGAAATGGTAGACTCAAAGGAGAAAAATCCATGTTCCTATCAGAACCCAAAGAACAACGATAAAACTAGCTCTGCGAACCAATGGCTGGGTATAATAAAGGGTATATTCCGGTTTGATGCCCCAGCCTTCATGTGCTCTCACAAGTTTCGACGAACACACGACAAAAAAGCAGTTACAGAAATCGCTCATGCACTGAGCCTCCCAAGGCTGGTATCGAAAGTGTCAATCCCATCCCATCAAGCCCACGTTATCAAATCCATCCTCTGGTGAATGAGCCTCAGTCATGCGTCGGACCGCTGCTCAAGGGAAAAGGAGTAGTAGAAAAGCAACACAACGCCTCACCAAGCGCAGAAAAATGCATCTGCTATAAAACGCCCACCCTTCCAATAATTAGCCCAGCTTCCCCAAAGTCAAACATCAATGTCAGTAGCGCAAAAGGAAATACTGCTCCCAATTTAGTTGCCGTTCGTAGTGACGTCTTGTTCTTTGACGGAAAAGCCGTTTGTAGGCGCCTTGACGCTCTCGCCGCTGAGAGAGGCATCGGCATCGCCCTCGTCGTGATCGTAATCGTCGTACTTCTGGAACTCTTCGTGTTCCTCGATGTCTTCGATGTCATCGTCCTCCCTGCGGTTGCTGCTCCGCCGGCTGCCCATGCGGCCGGGCCCAGAGGAAGCGGGATGCACCGGGCTAGTCAACGGGCTGACGGGCGGGCCGCCTACGCCCGTGTTGACGCTACCGGCCAGGCTCTCTGCGCGGCCGTGGTGGCCGTGCAGGCCGCTCCGCACGCTGCCCGTCTCCACGCCCCCTTGCTTGCCGGTCGCGTAGTAGCTGTTCCGCTCCGAACTCAGCGCCGGCGGCGCCGCGCCCGACGAGGAGTACACGCTGGCGCGCTCTGCGCTGGCCACGCCGCCGAGCCCCGGCCGGTTCTGGCTCTGGTAGATGCCGCCGGTGGTGCTTGTGGCGTCGACGTTGCCGCTGAGCACCGAGAGCGGTAGCGACTCACGGCTTCCACCCCAGACCGACGAGGGCGCTAGGGCGCGGACCGAAGCGTTCGTGTCCAGGGAGTTTCGGCGCCGGCGTTTCGATGAGGAGGCTAGGGTCATGATCGAGGCGTTATCCGATAAGGTGTTTCCGGCGGTCGCCGCCTGGTAGGTGTGCGGGTTGGGTTGCAGATGCGCGGGCACGGCGGATGCAGGCGAAACCGGGTACTGGTGGGAGAAATGCACGCTCTGGGGGTGCAGGGTGGTCTGCGGTGCAGCGCCTGCGGATGCGCCATTGAGCAGGGCCGAGGGCGCCGTCGACTGTATTGTGGTGAGGGTGGTGGTTAGGGAGCGCTCCGAGTGGTTGGGAGAGGAGAAGGTGCTGTTCGCCCCGCCATCGTGCGAGCTCAGCGCACCGCCGCGGGTGTTGCTGGTCTCAGCCTTGGACTGCCCTGCGTCTGAGTATATTGTCTCGGGATTTGTCGCTAGGGTCGGGGCTGCGGACTTCACGGGCTGGCCGCCTTGGTCGAGGTCGTCGTCGGAGGCGTCTGAGCCATAGCTTTGGCGGCGCGAGACGGGCTCGGAGAAGGAGAGGTGGCCGTTTGCGCTCGCGGCGGGCGCAGGGCGATGCAGGTGGCCCGACTCGGGGTACGGGTTGTTCTTCGCGGGCGACTTGTTCTTGGCCTTGGAGGCTTGCGGCGCGCTGTTGGACGAGCCCTTGAGGTTTGCGACGCGCTTGATCCAGGCGGCGAACGGCCGGCGGCGGGAGTGACGGTCTTTCATGGCTTGGTGAGCAGGGTGGGCGGAGGAGTAATAATGGGCCGGAGGTGTTTGGGCGCCGGATATGGATGCGTCGGCCGGGCGTGGGCGGGTTTAGGCTTACCTTGCGGCGTGGGAGCTGGTTCGGCGGTAGCCATCTTGGCACCCCAGGGAGTGACAGGCGCCGTTTGGGGGAGTTCACTGCGTGCGTGGAGCGTCTGGAGGCGGCGGTTCGCCTCAGGTAGCAATGGGGAGGCAGGCGAGTTCAGCTGCTGCGCAGCAAGTCCGTGACTGTGGCGCCCAGCGCGGATCGACCGCATGCGGCCGCGAGCGGCCTCCACGGCCTGAGGTGATCGCCAAGCCGCCCCGAGACGCCTTCTACCACGCACTCGCCCAGCACTATTCGCGCTGCGCTGCCGGCCGAGAGCTGCTCGGCCGCGCGCCAGGTGGCAGCCCAGGAGCCCTCCGCGTTGCGCTGCGCCGCACCGAGAGCGTGCAGAAAGCGTGCACGCGCTGCACCTGCCAGCCACCTAAAGCGTGCGCGATTACGTCTGCGCCTGGCTCCTCGACCATTCGGCCTCTCTTCGCCTCGGGCCTGATCGCGCTGTGCGCCGCTCATTCGTCACCCAGCCGCGCACGACTCGTTCCGCCATCTGTTCCCGCTGCGTCTCCGCTGCTCCGCCCTCCGTCTCTGTGTGGAACCCGCATGCGGGAGCTTTCTGGATCCTCCGAGCCGAAGCAAACGAGTCCTGCTGCGCCCTGGCCTCTATGAATCTGGAGCCTCAGCACGATGTGACCCACCGCCAGCGCGCCCAGCGGCCCATCGCGCCCCTGCCCCCGGACGTGGTTGCCCAGGTAAAATCTTCAACCGTGATCACCAGCCTCGCCATCGTCGTCCTGGGCCTTGTCGAGAACTCGCTTGATTCCGGTGCCACCAGCATCGAGATCACCGTGGATGCTCGGCGGGGCGGCTGCACCGTCGAGGACGACGGCCTTGGAATCCTACCTTCAGAGTTCAGGGAGGGCGGCGGCCTCGGGCAACCATACTGTAGGCTTCCCACAGAGTTGCAAAAAAAGAAAAAAAAGTATAAAAATTACGGCGCTGACATCCGCCAGGTACGTCCAAGCACGACAGCTCTGATCCGGTCTATGGCCGTTATGGCACCTTCCTCGCGTCTGTGGCTGCGTTGTCCCTCCTGACAGTGACGTCGCATCACTGCCTTCACCGGTCACACAACACCGTTACTCTTCACCGGTCTCAGATCATCTCGCGTCAGATTCCTGCTCCTCGTCAGCAGGAACTTGGTTTCCCTGACCATGGCACTCGCGTCATGGTAAGGGACCTTTTCGGCAGCATGCCGGTGCGTGTGAAGCAGCGGGCCACCATGATCGACGACCGGGGCGAGCAAGAGCGCCAGTGGGAATCTCTCAAGAAGTCTATCACGGCGTTGCTGCTGGCTTGGCACCATCCAGTATCTCTTCGTCTTCGAGACGCCGAAAATGGCAGAAACCTAGTTCTTAATGCCAATCGTAAGCAACCTATTTCGCTCGCAGAGAAGCTTCCAGCCGACGAGAGAAAAATAAACGGTGCACTTCGTCCGCTCATCGCTATGCTATCGCAAGCATCCTACATCACGCCAGACGAGTGGAGCTCATGGGTACCTGTGTCAGCCTCCACGCATTCTGTATCAATCAAGGGCGCCATTTCTGTGAAGCCTGCTCCAAGCAGATGTGCACAGTTTCTTTCCGTTGGCATTAAGCCGATATTCTCAGGCGAAGGAAATAATGAGCTTTTTGACGAGATTAACCGTTTATTCAATCACTCCAGCTTTGGTATTGTTGAAGACGAGCATGAGCTCGACGAGAGAGAGAAAGAGCGCCGTTCACATGATAAGAGGTACAAGACAGATGGACCGACAAATCGACAGCTCCGAGGTGGGCGCAAAGGTATCGACAGATGGCCTAAATTCTGTTTGCATATTGGGCTCGCGGATGCTAGCGGGAACGAAGACGACGTGCTCAGCTCAGAATCTCGGCTTCATCCCATCCTAGAAGTGCTCCGAGCCGTGATCACTCAATGGCTTCAAGTCAATCACTTCCGGCCTCGTCAGCGTCCGTCCAGAAAGGGGGCGAGCCGGCCAGAGTCCGTTTCAAGCCGTGCTTCGACTCCTACATCGCAGGGACATGATGAGCTGCAGTCACAATCTCGGCACGGCGGATCCGCCAGCGAACTGGCAGAGACAAGACTGTCCAAGGGCCAAAAGCGGAAGAAGTCAAGCGATACTTCCAGCGGAGCTACTACTTTACTCGAGCCGGACGATGTAGACGTATCAAGTGATTGGAGCAAAATTAAGAGCGCAAAGCCATCATTCTATAAAAACATTTGGGGCTCAAAGAGGTCACGTTCCTCGGCATCTACCACCCAAACTACTCCAGCTACTGTTATAGAGCCCGGATCGGCCCGAGCCTCAACAGGCGGAACTGGAACTTCCTCCACGTTCTTTCAGGCAGACCCTATCATGCCGGGCGATCTTGGGTCACTTCCCCCTTCCATCGCAAGCACACCGCAAGAGATGGACATTCCTGATAATGAACAGACATCAGAGACAAATCATAGCCAATCCACAGGGTCAGGACTAGATTCCTCGATTAAATGGACCGACCCTCACAGCAAAGAAACTTACACGATCGACTCTCGTACAGGAACTGTCATCAATCAAGAAGAGCGCCGAACTAAAACAGCGCCATCCGAACCTTCTAGAGCTCCGGCAAGTATCTCAGCGGCATTCAACAAGTCTCTGAGCTTGTCGCGAAGAGTTGCGAGCGCACCGGGTGAACCTGATAGAAGGACATGGCTAGGGGATTTCCTGGCTGGGTGGGACAATCCCGTGTTCCGCACACAAGCTCCAGCCATACCTCAAGTCAGCCTGCCTGAGTTTAGCGAAGAAGTAAACGGCCTTCTTCACGGCCGTAGTAGACACTTTTCCCACGCAGACATCAATAAGGCATTTTCCGAGGCTTCCGCACTTGGGGCGTACAAGCTTTCGAAGCAAGCACTGAGGATGGCCAAAGTGGTGGCCCAGGTTGACAAGAAGTTTATCCTGGTGGTCATGCAAGCGACAAGTGCATCGGCCAGGACAATACACGAACGGGCGACGGCCCAGCCCAAGCAGTTGCTCGTCCTCATCGACCAGCATGCGGCAGACGAGCGTTGCCGGGTCGAGGAGCTGTTTGCTGAGTTGTGTTTACCCAACCCGTCTGCCGAGGCAAAGGAATGCCGTTCTAGCCACGGTCACATGTCACGCATCAAGACGAGCGCCGTGGCAAACACGCTCTATTTTGAGCTCTCGGCCCAAGAAGCGCGCCTGCTGGAAATGTATGCGAGTCACTTCTCCGATTGGGGTGTCGTATACGACCTCAACAGGTCAGGCACCAGGCACATTCTCGTCGTAAAGGCCCTCCCGCCAGGAGTGGCCGAACGGTGCGAAGCTGATCCCAAGCTGCTGCTCTCGCTCCTTCGCTCCGAGGCGTGGAAGCTAGCGGAGGAACGGACGCGAGCACCGCCCGGCGCCGCCGCCTCAGCAGCAACAGCCAAAGGGAGCACAAGCAAACCCGCAGGAACGGGCCACGGATCGATGGGCGCCACGGCGACGGCGGAGGAGCCGCATTCCTCATCGCCGTCTTGGCCCGCGCAGATCGGCTCGTGCCCGCAGGGCATTCTGGCGCTGCTCAACTCGCGGGCATGCAGAAGCGCCGTCATGTTCAACGACGAGCTGCCGCGGGCGGGGTGCGAGGAGCTGGTCGCGCGGCTCGCCGGGTGCGCGTTCCCGTTCCAGTGCGCGCACGGCAGGCCGAGCATGGTGCCGCTGGTCGAGCTGGGGGCCAGCAGCGGCGGCGTCGTTGCGGCGGCGGCGTCGACGACGGCGGCGGCGACGGCGGCGGCGCAGCGTCACCTCGCACGCGGGAAAGACCAGACCGCCATGGACCCTGGGGATGATGTGGCCGCCGGGGGCCTGGGGGTCTTTGCTGCTGGCCGCGGGCGAGGGTCTGCTGGTGCGGCAGACGGACAGCCGCCTGACGAGCAGAAAAGCGGGTTTGTGGAGGCATTTAGACACTGGCGTCAGTGACGACCTGCGGCGGACGGATTTTGCTGTAGGGCAGCTGTAGGGGCCAATTGCAACCAATTCACATCTGACCACTGCCCGCCGTCGCGGAGCGGACCCCGTTCTGCAGCATTGAGCTAATTGGTGAATTGCGGGGGTCGTAGGTTCTTCACGGCGCAGCCGCAGACGTGGGTGGTGCATGGAGAGGGATGCGAAACAGACGGGGGGGACGTGGGTGCAGCGATACCCAGCACGGGGAACGCAGGAAAGCAAGACACCAACAAGCAAGCGTAGCTTAGCGGGCTTGCCGGCGTCGACGGGACGATCGTTAGCTGCTAGCGCGCCCAGGGCCGGGCGCGGGCGTGCGGCCAGGGTGCGATTGGACGGGGGAGCGTGCCATCAGGGTGGGAAGATCCGCACCACGACTGCAGGCCTTCCGCACGTCGGCGCCTTTTTGCAGGCCTAATTAGGCCGGGGGCGGCGGGCGTGTGGAGTTAGAATGGTGGAGAGTTTGGGCTGGCTGGCCGCGTGCGAACTGCGGGATATACAGATGCGGATGGGGCGGCAAAACACAGGGAAGGAAGGGAGAGCAGGTTGGCGGAGCAGCAGGCCCGAAGCACGCAGTAGAAGAGCGGTGGACGGGGCGAAACGCTGCGTTGTGAGCGATGGAAGCGGGCATGAGTGGAGAGCGCGTCAAGCTGGCATCAGCGAGCGCCCTTCCGGCGGGACGTGGACGGGCAGAAGCGCGGGCGCTGCTGCTTCCCTAGCACGGGCTGGGAGACAAGCTTTGGTGAGATTGGGAGTCGAGACGGAAGCAGTCTGAGATGGGGGCGGATGCCTGCGCGGTGCGGCTGGCGGCATAATAACCAAGCGTCGCAGCGAGACGCCGCGGGGCATGTTGGCGGCACGGAATTCAGTTTCATGGTGTCGCAAACGCGCGTTTTGAGGGCCTGAGGCGATGACAGCTATCGCGACCCACTTATGATGACATGGCCGCCGAGCTGCGGCTGCGCTGGGCGCAGCGGCGCGGACGTGTGGTGGGAGCCCCGTCCGATCGCGAAGAATGCGGGCGGGCGGCGCGGCCATGACAAACCAAACGCCGGCCACGGGCGCTGCGGCGGCGTGCCTGCGCTGCGGCGTTGTGCCTGCGCCGCGCGCAGAGCTGGCCGGCGCAGCGAGAATGGATGAATGCGTGGTGGGGGGACCCTTTCAGATTCCACGCCGTGTTCTCGAAGGCGCGACGGCATCATCATCATCATCGCCCAGAGCGATTGGGCCCCAGCACCCCTGAGCCAATGGCGTGCCCTATCGCCGCGCACTACCGCCCGCATCCCTGTCCGCCCGCCCAGCATCGGCCGCCCGAGGAGGCGCTGCTGGCTCTCAATCTCCAGCCTGCTCTCCCATCCCTCCTCTCCCAAACCCTCCTGCACAGCTGCAGTCCCCCCAGCCCAACGACATCTGTCCGCTCAAACACCAGCACTCCACCCTCGCGCCAGCCTGCTCGCCCTTTTTCCTTCTGCAGCACGCCGGACTGCTGTGCCTGTTCCGCTGCCTTTGCGCGCTTCCGCCCTAATCCCCGAGCTTTTCCGTGTTCTCCCGCTATCTGAGCTCGCACCGCGCCCTGCTTGCTGAGGGAGCTCTGTCCTCCGCGCCGCTGCAGCACGTCCGCACGACCGCAGCTTGTCTGCCTGCCTACCGTGTTGGCCACGCCGCCCACCACCCACGCACTGCACCAGCAACCGGCCCTTTTTCTTCTCTCCACTCTTTGGCGATCTGCGCCCGGCAACTTTAATATCTGAGCTCCCACTTTCCCCCTCCCCTAACGTGCGCGCTGCCGAGACATCGTCACCGCTTTGCGACACCCCACGTCGCGTCGCGCAATCACCACACCCGCGCCTTCCATCGCAACCTCTACACCCTCCACCGCCACTTACGCCTTCAGATGACCGTTGCATCACGGTCGCAACCCCCTCCTCCGCCATGCAGTCGATGTTCCGCCTACCATGGAGCACCGAGAACCCCGCTATGGACAAGGCCCAGCTTGCCCAGCTCCAGAAGCAGCGCCCTGTTGTCGACATCCCGCTGCTGAGCAAGCTGAAGCGGAAGCGGACTGACAGCCCAGAGCCCTGCCCGCCCTCTTACCCCCCGCAGCACGTCACCAAGAAGTGGAAGTACGCAAACAGCGGCGACGTGTGTCCTGTGGTTGAGATAGGGAAGCCTGATCGACCTGTGCTGGACGCACCCAGTCCCGCGCCTGCGCCTACGCCCGCGCCTGCGCCCGCAGCCTTGCCACGTGTGAAGAGCTCGGAGAAGGCCGGCGACGCGTCGGCACCCCGGGTGGAGACGCGGCCGCTGACCGTCAAGATGGAGGACGCGGACCCGGTGGCTGCGCTCGACGCGTCTCCGAGCTCGCAGCCAAGGGCCACGATTCAGGAGGAGCTCCCGGCAGCATCGGCGACTTCGGTCGAGGTTGATCCGACCGCATATACGCCGCTGCAGCAGGCGATCGAGACGCACTTCAACCAGGAAATCCTGCTCAAGCACAACGAGCTTCGTTTGATCGAGCAGGAGCTGGCAAAGTGCCAGATTGCACTGGAGCAGGTTCGTCGCTGTCAGCTGATTCCGTATCCTGGAACGGATGCGGCGTCAACGGACGTCAGTTGCGGCGTGGGTCCTGCGCTGCAGCCTCGGCACGGCTTCACGACGCCCGAGCAGCCTGCGCCCTGGGGCGTGACGGAAGGCCCGTACGGTCGCCACTACGCAAAGTGGCTCATTCCGGATCCCAAATTCGACTCGGTGCCGGTTGCGAGCCTGCAAGCCGGTGGTCGCGCACACGCTGGTCTATCCGAAGGACGCGCGACCCGGGGAAGTCTAGCCGAGCTCCCGATGGCTGGAAAATCGCGTTCGTCACGTGCGTCGGCCGGATCCAAGCTCCAGGCGCTTGGCGACCCTTCAGCTCCTAAGATCGATCCCTTGCTGCACAAGCGTTCGACCGACGGCAAGTGGGTGCGTCTGTTCTGCCACCATCCCGACTGCCGGCATAGCAACTTCTCCAACACCCAAGGCTTCCTCAACCACTGCCGGATCAAGCACAACCAGAAGTTCGAGAGCCACGACCAGGCTGCCGTCGAATGCGGCATCCCGGTTGACGTCAACGAGCTGGGTGTTGTGTTGCCGAACAGCGAGACTACTCCTTCGACCCCTGCCACTGGTGCTGCTCCGAACCTCAATGGACCCTTCGTTCACCCTCTGATCAAGTCCAACCCTCCTACCAAGTCAAAGCCTCTTCCTCCGCGCGCATTACCGAAGAAGGAGACGCCTGCCGCACCCGGAAATGTGCAGACGCCGGATGCAAAGCCCAAGGCGCCCAAGACGTCTTTCGTCCCCTCGCCGCAAACGCCAGCTTTGAACGCTCTGCTGCAGAAGCAAGGCTTCGATGGCGACTTGAACAAGCTCGTCGACTTTGCACGGACGAAGGTCGATCTGCCCGACATGGATACCGAGAGCGACGAAGATGCCGAGCAAAGCCCGGTCACGGCACCGAAGTCGACTGCCGCGGTCAAGAAGTCTGCCTCGGACGCAACCCCTCGCGGTCCGCCGTTGAGCCGTCTACCCGCTCGGGGTGGCATGGCGCCGGCCTCGATCGCGACCACGGGGCTGCACCCCGCTTCCGGTGCCCCGCCTCGATTACAGCACAGCAACAGTTCTGCGAGCAGTGCTGCCGGTGGCAATCCCGAGTCTCCGACCATGGAGCTGAGCCCGCATACGCTGGACTCGGCACCGGGACTTGTAACGGATCACGAGGACGATGACGACGACGAGGAGGACGGGCGTAGCGTGGCCATGCGGGACGAGGATTACGGAGACGACAACGTCGTGGTTGAAGACGGCAGTGATGTTGAGAGGGAGGCCAGGAGAGCGAAAAGTGTGGAGGGTTTTGTGCCCAAAGCCGGCGGCTCGTCGAGGAAGTGAGGCATTTTTAAAGGAAAGCAAAAGCCAAGAAAAACACCAGAAAGAAAGAGAGTTGGCTTATTCTTTGCCGAACGAAACTTCACAAAAAGAACAAAGGCTTGCGCAAAGCCCCACCTTTTCTCTACGTGTCTGAATAATTTCTCGCCAGGACGAGTTGGAGATGCGTCATGGCGAGGTTGCGCACGGTCCATCTCTCTCATTTTAATACTTCTCTCCTCCTCACTTCACCGCTCTTCCGCTTTGGGAAGAGCCATCTCCTGAGCTTTTTTGGTTCGCTGCTCTCCTGTTCGAGTGTCGTACGGATACCTTGTTTTTTTATTTCTTTATGTTCCCCTCGGGGAACGGGAAAAAGCAAACTGGGAACGAGGGCTGTTTCTTGCAGATTCTCGCGCGGTGCGAAAGATTGGGAAAAGCCGGTTGTTCTCCTAAGCGTTGATTTTGTTGTACAGAAGAAGGTAGGGTTGGTGGCCTTTGTCATGCGTACTTGTCACGAGTCTCCGTTTTCTCTTCGTTATTCCTTTTTTTATTTGCGTTCGAAACATATCACCCCCTGTCGCGTTGTATGGTTATGATGTCTTTTTGTTTTGTTGTTTTTCATTGCGCTTTACGAACCTGAAAAGACTAAACCTCTCTACTCTCTTGCGTTCTTGTTTTTGTTATTTTTTTGCTGCCTGCATGCAACTCCACACACACGTCTTTACCTACGCTCTCCCTGCCCTTCTCCCAGCTTTCTGCCTTCCTCTCTCCTCGGTGTTCTTGCTGCCTTGATGCCCTGGAAATGGGTGGGGGTCTGAAGAAAACTTGATGAGAGGAGCAGTGGGTTAGGCAAAACGGGTATGTCCTTTCCTCGACCTTCTTCCTCAGCCGCATCCTCGCTTTTCCCGTGTATCCATACGTGTGGTGTGTTTCTTGTTCTGTCAAGCGTTGGCGTCGGGGGGAAAAGTGATGGTTGTGCACTGTGATTGATGGACAAGAAAAATGACTGGGTTGTCAGCGCGCGGGAAGGGAAGACGCTGCTGTGTACAGAGTGCGTGGGGGGATTGAAGATGTGATGATTATGGTACGGATGGGTGGGCTGGGCTGGTCGGTTGGTTGGGGGAATGGAACGGGATCAGATGGGATGATGGAACGCATCTCTTTGTTATATTCCTTACTCTTCATTTCTGCCTCTCTTCTCTTGTGGAGACCCAAATATACAGCTATCTCTCTTATTCCCCCCGTCCTCTCAAGGCTGCACGAGCTGGGAACTTAATATGGGTTACGTTGAGTGAGCTGCTCGAGATATAGACTGCCGATGCTGGATGGAGGCTCATGGAAGGCGGCTGGGCTGCTTCCCGGCTTCTACTGGCTCGTTTTGCTTTTCAATTTGCATGGAAAAGGTAGTATAGACTTCAGACATAACAAGATTGAATCTTTTCTCGGCGCGTTACCGATGCTTTTTTTGGCGGGGGGCAAAGACGGTTCCTTCTTTTCGCCTGGTGAATGCGGCTCTGTCTAGACCGTTCTCGGCCGTCCTCAGCGACAACCTAGTCGATCTTGCTGCAAGCCTCGATATGTCAAGACAGCACTTGCGGCGCCACTGTCTCATCCTCTCCGCTCCGGACTCTAGGTATCTACGGAGCATCAGAGGAGACACGGCATCCTCGCCACAAAAGCCAGCCGCACGCCATGTCTTGACTGAGACAAAGACGGAAAAGCCAGTCTGCAAGTGTTGCACTACTCAGTCGTCGACTCACGGGGCACCTTTGCACTGCATGCGATAGTTTTTGGGCGGCAGTAGTGGCCACGACTTTTGCATAGAAGCTGGGGGGTGGGGGGCGCCAGCGCCGCCTCGTTTGTCATTGGCCAGCCTCGACCGCCCGTGTCACGTCAGGTTCCTTGTCACCGCGTATCTCGGGAGTCAGGATGATTTCCTGGCCCGGAAATTGCGTATGCCTGCCAATATTCTGGGCGCTGGGTCGATGGCGCTCGAGGCTAGGCCTGAAGGGGAATGGTCTGGCTTCCTCGACGGAACGACTCTTGACTCTCTTTGAATCTCGTGAGACGCGACATCATCATCATCATCATCATCTCACTTGTGTTCTCCCGACGCCCGGCATGGTCGAGAAGTAGAACGCGCTCTCGCCGTTAGAGGATCGATGGGCTCGAGTGTCTTGCAAGGGAAGGGGTATTCTGCCTCTCGGCTGGAGGCTTGCCTGCACTGCTCGACTGCCATGAGGCAAGATGTGATCGCAGACAGGGGTGCTGCTCCAGATGTGCCCTACGAAACCTATCTTACACTTGTCCCCAGGCTTTGCCGTCTGGGAGCTCCGTACACAGGGCAAGTGTTGGCGGTAGAGTAGGGGTTAGCAGCCCCTGGTCCGCATCCAGCATTCGTCCCGCATATGGCTGCGGGGAGATGGAGGGGTTGAGGTTTGATGTGTGTGGGCGCGATGCAAAATGTCGTGATTGTAGACCTGGTGCTATGGCGGGGGGAAGAACAGCTAACGGTGCCGGTATTCGGAGCTGATAGTGTGTGCCTTGCTATCTTGCTCAGAACAGTTGCCAGTGCCGGCGCACCACCTTGTCTTCTAAGGCTGACGCTTCCTTTACTGACCGTAGGTTGAGAGAATGTTTACTTCTCAGGGGAGCTAACTGGGGAGGAACTGGGACTTTGACAAGCTCGATGAATGAGACGCATTTCAGTCCAGGTTCTGCTAGTTGTTACTGCAAGATCATATGGAGAAAACTTTCTACAGGTGTGTGTAGGAAGAGGTACCGCTCGTTCACGGTTCGGGTCTTCCGAGATCCACCAACAGCGCCACTGTGCTTTATGACCATTCTTTCTGACTACAGGGAATCATGGATACTCCCAATCTCTGCAGGCATCTGTATCATATTGATGAATAGCATTGACTTTAGCCAACTGTGAGCCGTAAGCGCACTGAGATTTGTCGATTGAGCGTGTCTCAAATTCAGAAATCCATGCATTCCTGTGATCGAGAAAGTTGCCAACTGAGCAGTTCCCTATTGAGCGATTGAGAGACATCTTTCCCCTTATTGGCTCGGTTGTTCATTTTCATAACGTGCGGAAGGGTTCCATCAATCAATTAACGCTCCGGTATAATGATGCGCGCTTACATTCTACTCGTATAAGGCACCGCATTATCTGCCAAAGAAGACGGTATGAGGTATCATACGGTCGGGTTGGCTGGACAAACGTAGCTAACAAGTGAATGCAGACCAGTCCTTGGAGTTTTTCAATTCGACTCTTACCTACTGTAAATGCCTCCTGCAGTGGTGTTGACTGGTCCTGAGAACAGAAATGTGTACCGATATATCAGAGTGCACGCGAGAATTGCTGGAAGTGTTCGTGACACGCAATCACATGATGCTGAGATACCTGGCGTTTTAAGCCAGTGACAAGTATCATACGGTGACTTGGTACTTTATGAGGACGACAGTAAGCTGGACGAGGCAACCATCTTACACATGATTTTGCCAGACCATAAGTTTAGCTCTCATAACTATATAACTAAGCGATTGGTAATGTTTGGCCAAGATGCGACCGATACTCATGAATAATTTACCTAACGGCATGGTATAGAACAAGGTCCCAACTCCCAACAGCCACTGTTAACTGATCTATCTTTGTCTTCTCGTAGTTTCCCTCGCCGTCGGCGGTTACGGTGCAGCGGCTTTCTGGAATTGCGTTGGGACATTAATGACTTTTAGCAGCAATACCGACAGATGATTTATGGTACTACCCTACCTTGTTCAAACAAAGCATCATAACATTATACGTTCATTTTTTTGTATGGATCAGCACTAGAAGCCGATAATTCGTAAGTGAGTATCTTTGATTCATATATTCAGTGCAATCTGGCAATCTCTCTGATTTTTTGCTTTGAGCCTTACTTGCAGAAGATATTCGAGGAAAATTAAAGTTTTCCTAATGAGCCTTTGGATGAGGTGGAAACTCGCGCCGATAACATCATTGAGAACTACGAGGGACCAATTTTTGAAGCCGAGAAGCCGCCTACGAAGTTTTTAATGTCTGGCTCAACAAACTATTCAGAACACTAGGCTCAGTCGTGATCATCCGCGGCCATCGAAGCAACAAGGGATGTTACCCAACATTTACTTCAGTGGCTTGGTCCCTCGTGGCTGACTGAAGCAGCGGCTTCTCTATCCCACTTCACTGTGCTGAGCCAAGACGATATAATTTGATTCAAGCAATATTGGTGACTGTCTTAATATCTTCAAATGATGGGATATATTGGTAAGAACCACTGGAAGTGTTTGTCCGAAAAGAAACTTTTAGAATCAACGCAGCACGGTGCACTGTAAGGCAAAGAATAGGATTTCGGTCGATCAAATGATGCGAGCGAGGTAAGGGCTGGAGATTGCTTGGTGAAACGTGGCGCACAACAGGCGCACAGTATTCGCGGGCTACATGCATGTGATATGACCAGCTCAGACAGGTTGAAATTAGAGAAGTACGGACATTTAGCTCGTGGTCTGTGGTGCAGCCAATGAAATTTGGCATTAAATCGTGACACTGACAAAATCTCACTTCCCGACACTCAAGCGGAGTCAGCAGGGTAGGAACGAGACCTGAGCGGTTCAGCGGAGCGAATTTTACGAGGTCCCTTCAACGCATATGCATGTCGGATGTATTGACTGTCGCATTCCGTGCGATGTAATAGCATTGCCACTGCTTGAAAGTAAAAGCATTGCTTATAGTCAGTTTGATCATCCTTGTGATCAGTGCAACACTCGAAGCATGTGTATATCTTCTTCTAGAGTAAAGATCTTCTACACTGACTTCATAGGCCTTGCTACTCCAGTGACGTTCCCAAAAGTGGGTTCGATGACAATGGTGATCTACGATGGTTAGTGCTCGCCAGCATCATGAAACGACGATCGCACATGATCATCATAGTAGAATACGTGAAACTGCGCATCACCATGGTTTGAAACCCGTGGATCGGTCCTCAATATACACATACATGCAGAATCGGCAGAGGGAGGTATCCCTTCCAACTTGAAGACAGATGTGGTCATTTCGACTATGCGATGTTTGCGCTTGGTCCCCAACACCGAAGCATCCTCGGTCCCAGAAGTTCTTCCTTGATGAGGGCAAACGCAGCTAACAGGAGTAGACTTCTTCGCCGGATCTCTCACATTCTCCGCTAAGGCAACCCCGGCATCAGCATGTTCATCAAGGGAATAGAAAAACCTTAACGACTCACCATTAACCAATGACGCTGCGTAGCTTCATCGTTCTCTCCCGCTCATCTGTAGCACCGCGGCATGTGGCGTATCCGTGTGGATCGTACGAGGCCTACGAAAATCCAGCCGAGGCCGAGAGTATGCTGATTTCCAATGGAGAACGCGAGGAAAAGGAACACGCAAGTACAATGCAAATCATGACATTGGTAATCCGGTGTTGGCATGTTCTTAGAGAATGAAGCTGAAATGAGGGATTTGGAAATTTTATAGCAGAATATGAGCCCTGGGAGTTGTAAAGGGGCGTGATGTCTGGTCTTGATACGGTGGAGCGTGTGGTGTGCTGGGTGATGTTGAGGTCAGGTGGTGGTGTATCGGATAAGCTTTGGGATGAGCGGGGTGACTCATTTTGTGTTGACCATTCTGAATGGGTGGAGAAGCTTGAGATGGGTGGGTTGGGCATAGCGTTGGGGATGTTGATGAGTAGGTCGGTTGCTTTGTTACTACAAGATATCTGAGCCCCTTAAGCCCCCGCCGACGCTATATTACTCTTGTGGTAGGAGTTGAGTCCATTAGCCAGACGAACCTACCCGAGTTCCTGACTTACATCTGATGCCAGATATCAGATCCAGCATCTCCGCAAGACCGATGCGGATGGGTCTAACCCTCTTAAAGCCCACCGTGCTACTATGCTCTTATGTGAGAAAGTACGGGAGCAGGAGGAGGCATATGATCAGATCACACGCCCTACATTCTCGAAGTTCGACCCAAAAGTGAAGTAAAATATCTGCCACATATCCATCCGCCGTAGTGAACCGTTGCCACCCGCGAGCCTGTTGGTTATTATCAGAAATCACTATGGAGAGCCCCTACTGTTTAAGATCGCAGGTATTGTTAGCGGGGAAAAAGATGTTCCATGTAGCCGTCGTTCGTCCCTCACTCCACGCCCCACCTCACCTCAGCCCCTCGTCGTGGCACTCCTCGCCAAAGCAGCCAACGCTAGGGCGATATCGGCATGATTGGCGGGTCGCGGTATCACATCGATATCTCACGATACTATCGGGGCCGTTGTCCATTTACTTCAAACAGATTGTCAAGCCACCGGAAGATACACGAAAGAGCTGTCGAAAGCAAGGTACGCCGGGTCAACGAAAGATACGACATTGGGGCCAAAATGCTCTCTTGCCATGGGGAAAACGTGGTCAGAAGTGATCCCTGTCATGTTGAATTTCCTTCGAATTGCAAATTGAAAGACGCGTATCTCCAGACTGGCGCGGGCCGCGATCCGGCGATACACGTATCTGGCGCTTGGATGATTGGGTGGAGAAGGGCTTTTATACGTCGGCGTCCAAAGGAAGAGGGGGTGGATGCGGTCCAACGTGAAGCCAGGTCCTCCCCCTGGGGAACAAACCGTCGACGAAGGAAGGCGAAGCAAATAGTGTGAGTGCGGCTGCTGCCGCGCCTCACCTCCCAGAACAAATTCCGCCCGAGCGACACCGCTTCATCCCACAGAAACCCCACCCAAGGTACACGCAGGCGGACGCAAGCAATAACAAGCGCGCGTATGAGCTCATGATCTTCTCCCAGCACATCAATCGATGGTCATGACCATAGCCGATGGGCGACTGGCATTCTAGAACCACGACCTGCGGCACGGATCGTTCATCATCGCCGTGCGTCCTCCCCGGTCACCTTCTGCAAACGGTGAGTGTGGAACCCCTGTGGCTAATCCCGGGCAGACGCATCCGCCAAGGAAGCAGACAAGACGCGGTGTTCAATACTGCCCCTCCTTCCTTCACGGAGTGTCAAGCCACACGGCAAAGGCGGAAATTTGGCCATTGCCGGGTTAGCGATGACGAAATGACTGTGGCTTTCGAACGGGTGGCCGTCCGATACGAAGGGTGCAGGATGGAAGCGATAACGAGGCAGGGCGGGGGTATGCGAGAGTACGAGTACAATTAGTGCGCAGCGAATAGGACGAAGGGAGTATATTACGCCGAAATGTGCCTGGGCCGCTTTTTTCTGCTCGGTGTTCGCAGGCACTTGCCGGCCCTTTGCTCCACAGGCTACACGAGTTGTATAGATCCGGAGCTGGGATATTAGGGGCCCCGCTAAAAGAAGGCTGAGGTGGATTTTTTTTTTTCGCGCGCGCGGATTAGGAGACGAAAACGGTCGGAGTCATCGTCGCGGCGGAGCGGTCTGAAAAGGAGGCACGCAGGGCTGGCAGTTCTGGCGTCTTCCAGAAGACGAAGGAGTACTACTGTGTAATCCGTAGTGCGCGGGTGAGACAAGGTGCGACGACACCAATCAGCCCAAGATTGAGGAGCGAAGCGCTGCCACGCTGCCACGCTGCCACGCCGCCAGCGCGTCTTGGATTTGGCTCTGAAATAAGGTTCGGACATTGGCTGATGGTCCGGCGCTCGGCAGGCGTCGGGGCGCAGGAGGGAGAGGAGCCGGCTATTTTGCCGCACATGGCACCGGTCACGGCGAAGAAGTCTTCGGAACCCAGGCGTCCGCCGACAGTCTGGGCCGTCGGCGGCCTGGGCGAGCGGGTGAGTGGACGTTGTCGACGGGGGTCGGTCGGCACGAGCGTGCTGTTGGGAGACACGGCGGCGAGTCTCGACTGAGGCGGCCACTGCGCAGCCGGAAAACGAGGCTGGCCAGTGCGGCGGGAGGTGCCACAGCGTTGGCGGCTCAGGAAGGCAGGAAGGCGACCCAGGCACCCGCGCTGTCTGCACACGTCGCCGGCTGCTCGCCCATCACCCCATCGCCGATGATCCGCGCCGGCTCCGGGAGGTCCAGTGAACAACGGTGCCCTCCATGGACGCAGCGTCATCGTGGGCGTCGGAGATTTGTGGTGCGAAGGCGAGCATGCCCGCGCTCGGCTGTCTTTCAAGCATGGTGAAACACCACCCTGCTCCAGCCATCTCCAAACCACCTCGCCGGCCCGCTGACCGCCACCGCGCACAGAGCCGGCGGCCAATGTGCCACGGCAGCGTCGCATTACCGCCTGCGCCATCGTACAGCGCCCGACGCAGGTACGAGAATCGCCGTCCACGCTCCCACGCTGCGTCGCGCGCGCTGAAGATTTGCCGCCAGATTGACGGATCGCCCGGGCGCGTCATCGCATCGCCTCGCATCGCCTCGCACAGCCAGCCAAGAGCCGCCCGGCAAACGAGATTGACCTGCTGAGATAAGGAAACAGGACGGCCGGGATGCCGCGGCGCCGTGTGCGGGGGCCGCGATCACCGGCGCAGCATGGCCAAGGTCGTCCGATGCGACTCAGGAGACGGCGCAACCACCACCCGGGCGCCCACGCGCCGACGGGCAAGACGACGGCGTGCGGAAACAGGCGAGCTGCCGACCGCACCAGTCAGCCGCGCCGGCTGTGCCAGTCGTGCCAGCGGTGCCAGTCGTGCCAGTCGTGGCGGGCGGCGTGCGCGCTGCGGCTGCCTGCACGACACCAACGCCGCCAACACCGTCCGGCTCTTGGGCGGCCGCCCAATGCGCACGCGGCCTTGCAGACGGTGGTGAGCTGCAAGCGCCGCGCTCGCCGACAACATTGGCGCCGCTGCAGGTACGGGCTGCGGTAGGCTGGCGTGCTGGGGGGCGCCGGCTAGGGCCAGGTGGGTGGCGCTGTGATTGGGCCGTGCCTGGCTGCGGGCGTGGGTGGAGCGTGGTGGCCCCTGTCGATAGGCCTGTTCCTGGAGATCCATCTGAAATTGCACCAGGAGGGTCCACGGCCGCAGCCTGCCGCCCAAGCCATCCGCGAAGCCTTCAAAACTGTCGCTTTCTCCCCGCCTCTCCACCCTTTGCTTTGCCTTCCACCGAGCCTCTCGCTTTCGACACTCGTTCACCGTCTCTCCGAGACACTTACTTTCCTTACTTCCCATCGCTCTTTTTGGGAACATCGGCTTCTGCGGAATTGACTTCTGCACCTAAATCGACCAATCCTCCTCCAGAACGCTCAGTCCCCAGTCGCCTCTTCTAGCGCAGCTTCGACCATGCAGCTCACCAGTGCTCTTCTGCTGGCTTCGGCCGCCGTCGCCTCCGCCTCGGTCCACGCTCCCCACCACTTCGAGCGCAGGCAGTACGCCAACGGCACCGCTTCCGTTGATGCCGCCGCCGTGACCCCCGCCGACTTCACCACGTCGACCGTGTATGCTACCCAGCTGCACACCATCACCTCGTGCGCCCCCGAGGTCACCAACTGCCCCGCGCGCTCCGGCACCCCCGCCGTCGTCACCAGCATCGTGGCCATCAGCACCACCGTGTGCCCCGTCACCGCCACCCAGACCCCGGCTGGCGACGCTCCTGCCACCACTCCCAGCCCCGTTGTCTCCTCGGCCGTCGAGGGCAACGCTGATGCCCCCGCTGGCACTCCTACCCCGGTTGGCGAGACCCCGGCTGGCGAGGTTCCCGCTGGTACCCCCACCCCCGCCGTCTCCTCCGGCGTCGAGGGCGCCACTCAGGCTCCCTACCCCACTCCCGAGTCCCCCGTCTCGGCTGCCTCTGTGCCCTCTGTTCCCCTCGGCACTGGCTCCCCCAGCTCTGCCAGCGATGTCCAGGCTGAGTCCGCGCCCTCTGGCCAGTCGCCCACCGTTGTCACCAAGACCAGCGACTCCACCCTGACCTACACTCTGGGCACCGGTGCTTCGACCACTGTCGTTACCACCACCGTCAAGAAGACCAGCTACGAGACTCTGTACTCGGTAAGTCTATTATGCTTCAAGCCCGAGGCTTGCACACCTGCTAACTCGATTCCAGACTGTCTACGCCACCAAGTCGACCCCGGCTGCTGTTGACGCTATCGCTGCCTCTTCTTCTTCGGCCGGTCTCAGCACCATCTCCTCCACCTCCACCACCACCAAGTACAAGACCGTCTACCCCGTCACCCCCACTGGCTCTGGCGAGGTTTCTGCCGAGACTGCCGGTTCCGAGGCCTCTGGCACCTGCGCCCCCAAGACCGTCACCGTCACCGAGCCTGCCAAGACCGTCACCGTGGTACGTAGTCACAAGCACTTATTTCCATCTACCATTTTAACTGACTTTGCCTAGACCGTCGGTTCGACCGCTGATGTCAAGGAGGCCGCTGCCACTTCGTCGGCGCCCCTGACCACCAGCACCGTCTACACCACGATGCTGCACACCACCACCAGCAGCGACGGCAAGGAGCACGTTGTCACCAAGACGGTCGCTCTGTACACCACCGTCTGCCCCGTCTCGGCCACTGCCACCCCCACCGCCCACTCTGTCGCTCCCCTCCAGTCCAGCCACAGCGCCTACTACCCCACGCCGGCGTCCCAGGACGTTGATGCCGCCGCTGCCACCACTTCTTGTGCCAGCACCGGCTTCGTCACGGTCAAGGGCGCTGCCGCCCCCAGCGGCTTCCGCCTTCCGGCCAAGAAGTACTAAGTGCTAGAGTAGTACTTCTGACGGCTGCCAAACCCTCACTGTGCAAAGTATGAAGAGAGCGTACATACATACCACAAAAAGGCGCTGGACCGTTTTTTGGACATGAGCGAGGAGAGAGCTTGGGTTGGAGCTTGGGAGTCAAGAATCACTTTACTTTGGTTTTGTTTCCTTTACGTTTAATCGCTGGTCGGTGTTGCAACCGGACCGCGGCTCGGTGAGCCCGACCGATTTGAACTATTCACTTCTTCAACGAACCATCTGCTGTCAAGCTACTCGTAACTCGATAGAATCTCAGGGTTCCCCCCAATCTTCTTTACTGCCTTTTTTCTTTTCTTTTCTCGACCATCAAGCTCCTCCCTTTCTTTCCTCCTTGTTCTCAAAAAAGAGACTGGTGGAAAGTTTGCATTGTGTTTATTGTCTTGTTTTTACGCATTGTAGATCTATACCCTTCTTTGGTGCGCTCTTCAGAGCCACTCGCCGTTTTGTGCCTTTCCTTATATTTGTTTTTTGCTATTGATGAAGTTACGGAGACTGGAGCTCTTTCAAACCGAGCGACTGAGCATTTTCCTTTTTCGTGTCATTACAAACAACAGCATCACCAAGGTCGGCGTCTTTTCGTTCTTATTCTTTCCTTTGTTCGCGGCGGTTTCTGCAACCCACACAATACCCTCTTCTTCCCTGCACCTGTACCACAACAACGCACGTTTTTTTCCTTCTCTTGTTTCCTTGTCTTTTTGGACACTACCTGGGACCGGTTTCCTCGAAAGCGAAGAAAAGAGTCGGAAGGAAGGAAGGAAGGAAGGAGGCGCAGGAAGGATTCCTTTGAAGATATCAGGGGGCTGCTGCCGCCAGCTAGCTAGGATGAAGAGAATAAGAAAGAAAGACCCGTCTTCTGACGGAAGACTTCTTCCCCACAGCCAGATTCTTCAGCCTGATTTTGTGACATTATCTTCTCGGTTTTGCGATAAGTCGTGATGTGATCACAACCGATGGTGTTTTCGTTACTTGGGAAGCTCGCCGATCTGCCGTCGCGCGGACAAATCTTCTATGAATAGAACCAACTAAAATAAGGCAGCGACGGCGCCAGGGGCGGACATGCGGAATCTAACCATCGGGCGCCGGACGGAGAAACACCGGCGACGGCGCTTTGCGATGGGGAGGGCGTTGGTGTTTTTGGAGCGAAGGATCATTTGAGGCGCGTTTGCCATGTACTAGTGCTCTGTGATGGTCTGTTGTTGTGCCAGCGTTCGGGCCGGACTTTTGCTTCGTAGCGTCCGCCACCAAGGTTGAGCCATCACGAACGACATTGTGTTCCTGTTTCATTCTTCCTACCTCTTGTATATACTGTCCCATCTTTCTCTTCTCGCTTCATCTCCATCCAGCCATCCGTCTATCAACCGATCCTTGCACCTACTGCATCTTCGTCGCCTGCCAAGCTTCAGGCGGACGGTCTAGACCTCCCCCTCCCTCTCTTCCTTCCCTTCCCCGGTCTTTTATTTTTCCCTTCTTATCGCAATGATCTCATGTCATGGAGAAGCGGCAGGGGAAGAAGCCCAGAGAGGATATCGATTCTGCATGCGGGTAGACACACACACCATCTATCTGGCTCCGCGTCTCCCTACATACACACACACACACCTCCGTGTTTTGGTTCGAGCACGGCGCCCGATGTGGAGAGACGATACGGGGGGAGCGGGGGAAGAGAGGGGGAAGGCGGAAAATAGAAAACAGAACCAGTGTCGCAGATGTATTGCGTTGAAACGAGCACCTTCCTTGCTGTCTTCCTTCCCCCCCGGTAGTGCACTAGTCCGTGCGCGCGCGCACCCATCCACTCACCCCCACCGGGGGATTGACTGTAGGTGAGATTGGGGCTAGAAGTTGTTTGGGGTGATTAGCGCATTTGGCGCGGGGGGTGTTCCTGGCCGATGGGGTGGGAAGAGGATTCTGGGCTTGAGGATGGGGTGGTGGCCTGAGGGTCTGTTCGGCGCAGGGTTGGTGGTGGTGGTGGTGTGGCGTTGTTTGGTGGATGGTGTGGCGCGTTGGGTGGAGATGGTTGGTGCGGGCGGGGCTTTTTGGGTCGGGGGTTGCTTGGGGAGGAGTTGGTCAGTGTTGGTTCAGGTGGCTGGTATCTTTTGATTCTCTTTGTTGTGAGATCCGTGATGGAGTGTCTGAGGATGCGTGAGTGTCGACTGGGCGATGCGTTCACTTAGTGATTGGGTGGTGAGGGATGTTGATGGCTGATGATTGGCTGCGGGTTTGGGCATGCTGTTTACCTGTGCACATTACCCGTGATTAGAACTGAGATACAGTACTTAGCTTAGTACTCGATCGACTGTATTTATCCTTGACAAAGAGTAGTCTGCCTCAGTCAGTGTGCAATGAAACTGGAACACATCCAGCCCTTGCACTTCCCTCGGGACTGGCGCGGCCTTTGCTTGAAGACTGCGTCTCGGCTCCGATAAACCCATGATCACCATTCTGTAGTCATGAGAAAGGTTATCATTGTGCCACTCTGATGAAGGTAATCATGTTCCCGCGGAAACGGGAAAGGCACACCGAAGCCGCAACCTATGTTTTTTGTTCTCACTCTTGAACTCCCCGCATACTAAAGAAAGTCACGGCACCACCTCTCATTCAGCCTTTCCGTGTACTAAGTATCACCTACACAATGCATGGATACATCCGCAATGACTCCAAAACATCTACATTGGGAAATATTGACATTGGACACGAATTCCCATTGATGATGAAACTTCCGCCTCTCTCGGAGATCATCTACAAGCCATGTGTGAATGGATCGGCTGGAGGACTTACCCGCAGTACTTAGAGGTTGATTCTGCTAGTGGTTCTAGTCCTTTTAAATGGGGAAGGGAAGATGTAGGGGGGAGATTCGGTATTCGAATGAGACTGGGAATATATATACCAACCAAATGGAGTGTTTCTCAAGCAAGGGTTCAGTCAAAATGATCGCATTCCTATACCAGCGGCGAATAACCCACGGCTGCGAGCGGAGTCCATGCCACCGCATATGACGCAATACAAATGTGCAGGTCATACATAGCTTTCTTTGGTGTCTACAAAAACAGAGCGGCATCAGCCAATCCAGGCAGACACAATCGATGAGCCAATTCTAAAGGCCCATAGACAGAAACACCGCTCGAATACTCCGCTGGCTGCCGCAAGGTTGGACATGATGGCAACTTTCCTCCCCAGTGATGTCTTCACGGACCAGGATCGGGCTGCAACAGCTTGTTCGAGAACTATCTCACTCGCACCTGAGCAACACCATGATGAAGAAACCCAGCCGAGCAGCAAATGACTCTAATGTTGAAGGCTACGATTCCGGGAATGGATTCAAGAGACGGCTACGGTCGCAATTCGTCGGCCCAGAGTTATGATATAGTCTGCTCGATCTGAAATCTTTTGAGCCTTGTCTCAAATCTATGCCGCGTTTGAGCTTGCAACGTTGGATCGCAGGCCCGCAAGAACCCCCAAGAAAAATTGCAAGACCGTTCCAAGCGCACGTGGTTTAGAGCATAAGCCAATCCACTCCATACAGGGCGCTTGTCGCGTGCATAGATCTGAATGACAGTATAGAAAAACGGGCATGCGTCGCCCGCTCCGTCCTACTCTTTGCGAGTCGCACATTCATTGATGCAAACCGAGTTCAGCGTAATCGCGACTTCGGGGTACACTTTTCTAGAACAACGAACAACCCGCTCCCAGACTATCGTGCTTTTCTCATGCCCGGAACGTCTTGCTCCACTCAAGGTTCCACTCTCATATCAACATGATGAATGGCTTCATCACCGCGCGATCCAGCACAGCACCCTTATTCTTCCTTGATGAGCACCTGATTCGTCCTACATGAAATACCTCAGAGAATAGAAGAGAAGGATAGAAAACTCCACGAAGCCAGTTTGTTCATTAGGTTCTTCACCACCCGACGCCTGCGAAACAATCGAGCGGTTTCCAGGTTCCGAGATGAGAACTACAAGGTCTCGTCCCTTGGGCGTAATAAATACATTTTGCCGGAGAAGTGTCGGACCACGGTAGTCAAGAGCGTGTGGTCCCAAGCCGGTGACGTCCGGATTGCACGAGGTCAATATCATGAAGTTTTTTTTCTTCCTTTTTTGCAGATCAAGATCTCTGCCCCCTTCGCGGATTTACAAGACCGAGAGATTCGGGAGATCCTGGAGTATTCAAGTCTGCGAAGTGAAGTCCACGGAGTTATGTGAAATACCATCTGCTGGTCAGTCTGACTGGTATGGCCGTGTCGGTGCTCCACGAAGACATGATTGTGTCATTCTTGTCTAACCCGCTCTGTGGCAAAGGTGACTATGCCGGGTGTTTCAGTTACCATAACCACCGTCAATCAATACCCCCGGCCATGACAGTTACATGACGCTGAGCAGCACTTGCTCATGATGCTGAGAAATTCTAATTCTTACCAACATCACTAGTGTCGAATGTCGATGGGCTCTTGAAAGATTTGTGGCAAGCAACAGTGGACAGAAAGTATCGCAACAGGCACCCCAAAGCAGTCGTCATATACCATATTCAGTCCCACAGAACATTCCCACGCTGCCGTAAAAACGTCTGGCGGCAAGAATTCAGGAACAGGCATAGCCTCCCTTGGTAAAGCACGGCATTCGGCCCGGACCGCGGCTTAGCGCGTGCCATGACGTCTTTGACGCTTTCTCGCTCGTGGACGCCGAGTACATTTCTGATCAATAGGAAGAAAAAGAGGGGTAAGTTTCATTTCATCAACTGGCCGACACGGTGACTAGGCTTTTTGCGGTATTTTTAAACGAATCGTGAGAGACCATGGACATCCAACAAGCAAAAACCAAAAGGGAATCATCAACCAAACAAGCATGACAAAAAAAAACATGGCGGATCCAAAGCGAACCGGGTCAAGCGTTGTCGGCCCAGAAAGAGAGATATCGAAGAGCTTCAACACGGACGGAGAGAGGGCATCTGCACGTCGTCGTCGTCGTCGTCGTCGTCGTCGTCGTCGTCGTCGTCTTTGTCGTCATGTATGCCCTCTCCCTCTCTCCTCACACACGCAAACACTTACTTGACTGCAACCCCCTCCCCCTCCCCCTCCCCCTCCCCCTCCCCGCTCGACCATCCCACACAGCGATCCAAAAACTGCCCACGTATCAGCCAGCCAGCCAGCCAGCCAACCAGCCAACCAGCCAACCAGCCAACCAACCTACTTCCCCTCACCATCGACGCCCGCCTCCTCAGCCGCATCCGCCACCTCCCCCGCCGTCTCCGCCTGCTTTTTATCCTCCTCCTTCTTGCCGGCGGCGGCATCCCCGCCCTTGCCCTTGCCCTTCTCCTTGACGACCCTCCTCACCGCGTCGACCGTCGCGTCGGGCGCGCCCGACTCCGCCGCGAGCACCTCGCCGCCCTTGCCGACGACGAAGACGCCGCGGACGGTGCCTTTCGCGTTGCCGGGCTTGGCGAGGCCGATGGCGCGGATGAGCGAGGCGGAAGGGTCGCAGAGCAGCGTGTACGGCAGGTTCTGCTTGGTCTTGAACGTCGTGTTGGCTTTGGGCGAGTCGGCCGAGAGGCCGTAGATGCTGAGGCCGGTGGCGGTGAGGGGGGCGAAGGAGTCGCGGAAGAGGCAGGCTTGCTTTGTGCCTGGATGGGGGGTTGCTGGTTAGCTGGGGAGGGAGGGGAAATGCGGTGGTGGTGGTGGTGGTGGGTGGTGGATGGGGGGTTTGTCGGTGGGAGAAGGGGGATCCGTGCGCGAAGCGGGGTTGGGGTGGTTTTGTGGGGTGGGAATGAAGATGTGGTGTCGGAAGGTGAGGGGGGGAGAAGGGGTGGGTTGTGGATTGCGGGGCGAAGCTTACAGCCGGGCGTCGAGGCCTTGGGGTAGGTGAAGAGGACGACGCCTTGCTTGCTCTCGTCAACGAGCTTCTTCAGTGTCGTCTTGGTGCCATCGTTGGTCTCGATCTCGCCGCCGAAGCCGTCGAGCTCAATCGTGGAGCCGACCTCGGGCTTGCCGGCGGCGGCGGTCGACGGCTTGGTGGTGGACGAGGCGCCATTGGTCGCGGTTTCCTCGACTTTGTTCACCGTCTCCTCGACCTTGGCGGCGGCGGTCTCCACGGCGTCGGCGGCGGCTGCTTTGGCCTTGGTCGTCTTCGATTTGGGGCCGGGCTTTCTCTTGGCGGCCTTCTCGGGGGCGGCGGGCGGCGTCTTGCGCTTGCGCAGTTCGACCATGGTGGGCGTCGAGATGGACTGGCACGGGCAAGCTTGATGGCAGCGGTGCGCGCGCGGGCGGGATGCTCAGGTGGCAGATGGGAGCAGCAGTGGGCGGGCTCCAGGTGCAGTGAGCTGGTGGATGGGGGCGCGGGTGCAACGGTAACGTCGACTAGAGGTGGATGGGGTGGCACGAAGCAGCGATGTCTCTGTCGATGGTTCTGTCGTCGGTGAGCTGTGGGAGCTGTGGGAGCTGTGGAGCTATGGCGAGGAGCTGGTCCTTCCTGCTTCCGATCGAGCCCTTCTCCACCCGCCGCCGGCTTGCATCATCTCGGCCTGGCCCCGCGACGCTGCGCCCGCCGTTGGCCCGCTGATTGGCCGCCGGCTGCGACCTCCATGGACCCGGTGCTGGTTGCGGGAGCAGAAGTCGCGTCGCCTGCATGCGGTGAAGCTCTGCGTCAGCCGGCCATGACTTGCCGCATCATGTCAATGGCTGTGTGGCTGCGCCCTTCGCCGACGCGGCCGGCATATATCACTCGTACGAGGCGCAACGGAACGCAGCCGCCTGGGAAGCCGCCGACTCTCTGCTTCCGACCTACCTACACTCCGACAGCGGCACCGAAGAGCCGCTCGCCTGGCGCCGGTACCGCTGCGAAAAAAGCCGCCCGGACGCCACTCCGCCCGCTGGGCTCCGACGCCTGAGGAATCATCAGAAGACTATCAATCCACCAGCCGACGTCACCTCCCACGCGTTTTCGCCTCCAGTACCCTCCGATCCCGCGTCCGACCGCCGCACGCTTGACGTGCCTGCGCTGGCCATCATGGGCGTGCTTGGTCACGGCAGCGAGGGCGCCAGAGGTCACGGGTCCGCCCTGGTGGGCGGCGCTCAAGGGCCGTTCCGTACCGTCATCAGTTGATGAGCCCTCCGCCCGCCCAATCACCTCGGCCGTGTATCGCCGTCTGTCATCGCCCCTCTTTCCGCCGTGCTCGGGTCCAAGGACAGTGGCCCTGCACCGAGTCTGATACACCTCGCTCCATGACAGGCGTCAATCACACATGGGGATCCCCGACCACAACGCCCAAGCCGGCTGTCGCCCCGGCGGCGCGCAGGTCGGTGGTCCGTCTTCATCAATTCCTTCCAGACGTCTGCCGCACACGGCAGTTGGCCTGGGGTATGCTGGGCCCTCTGCGGCGAGATCACGTAACAGGAAACCACCCCCTGGTCTTAGCTCTCGCCTAGTTTTTACTACGTCCCGAAACTGCACCACCGCACCTGCAACCGCCGCCGTAGTCGCCAGATCTCTCGTCGTCTGTCGCCGCTCTCCCCTTGAGTCACTTGGCTGATGGCGCGCCGCGGCAGGTCTGGGTGCAACTCGGCCGTTGACGGACCCGCCTTCTGACCTGGAATCCACTTTGCCTCCCCCGGACCGGCTACTTCTACGGCCTTGCACGTTCTCTTTTCTTCCCGCCCCTCCCACGATCTGAACCTGCATCTCGCCATCCTCCACTCTGCCCGCGAAAGCCGACGCAACCCGCCGCTACCCTCCTCCACCCTCCCTAATCTCGCCCACCATGGGTGTCCAGGACCATTCCCCCGCCAATGCCCGCCCTAATGAGCAAGATCTGGCCATTAGTGCCGCTGCCCCGGTCGTGCGAGACGAAAGCAAGCCCACCGAGGCGGCCGTTGCTCTCGAGACCCGCTCCAGCACCTCGGACAGCCAGGACATGGGCGATGCCGAGAAGCTGCAAGATCGGCAAAAGGGCATTGACAATCTGGAGAAGGGTGTCCCGCCGCCCTACACGACTTCTGACACTGCCGTAATTGCCCCCGCTCTCATTGGCTCTTCATAGTCTTACTGATTTGGGAGTCTGCACAGGCTGGCGAGGTGAATCCCTTTGGCCATGAGGATGAGCATGCCGAGATCAAGTACCAGACCATGGAGTGGTGGCATGCGGGCTTGCGTGAGTCTGTCCTTTTGTCGCAGTCTTTCAGCTGTGCATTCTAACTCGGCCTAGTCATGGTCGCTGAGAACATCTCCTTGGGCGTCCTCTCGCTGCCTCAGGCCGTTGCCACTTTGGGCCTGTTCCCTGGCATCTTCATGATTGTCATGTTTGGTCTTATATCCAGCTACAGCGCCTTCGTCATCGGCCAATTCTACCTGAAATACCCGGGCTGCCACACCTTCGCCGATGCCGCCTTCATGATCGCCGGCCCCATTGCCCGCGAGATCATGGGTGTTGCCCAAGTGCTCATCCTCATCTTCATCCAGGCCGCACATCTTCTCACCTTCACCGTCGCGCTCAACGTCCTGTCGAACCACGGCACGTGCACCATCGCCTTCGGCATCGTCGGCTTCGGCATCTGCTTCATCCTCTCGCTCAAGCGCCAGCTCGAGAAGGTGTCGTACCTCTCGGTGCTCTCGTGCATCTCCATCTTGATCTGCGTGACGCTGGCCATGATCGGCATCGGCATCACTAAGCCCGAGGTCGGCGCCGTCGTGGCCATCAACCGGGCGACGGACGTCAAGTCCGGCATCCTCGCCTTCCTCAACATCATCCTCGCGTACGCGGGCCACGTCGCCTTCTTCACCTTCTGCAGCGAGCTCAAGAACCCGCGCGACTTCCCCAAGTCGGTGGCCTTCATGCACATCACGGCCACGTCCTTCTACGTCGTCGTCGGCATCGTCATCTACTACTACGCCGGCGTGGACGTCAAGTCGCCCGCCCTCGGCTCCGCGTCGCCCGTCGTCGCAAAGGTCGCGTACGGCCTCGCGCTGCCGACCATCATCATCGCGGGCGTCGTGTGCGGGCACGTCGCGTGCAAGTACGTGTGGGTGCGCTGCTGGCGCAAGCAGCCGCACCGCCTGCACCACAAGCGCGGGTGGCCGCTCGTCACGTGGATCGCCATCGTCGGCGTCTCGTGGTTCGTCGCGTGGATCATCGCCGAGGCCATCCCGTCCTTCTCGCTGCTGCTCGGCCTGATCTCGGCCCTCTTCTGCTCGTGGTTCAGCTTCGGCTTCAGCGGCGGCCTGTGGCTGTGGATGAACAGGGGCCGCTACACGGAGAACTGGAAGAAGTGCGTCCTCACCGTGGTCAATGTGTACATGCTGTGCCAGGGCGCCGTGATTTGCGGCTTGGGGCTGTGGGCGAGCGGTTCGGCCTTGTCCGAGGGGCAGGGCGGTGCGGCGTTCAGCTGTGCGGATAACTCGTAGCGGGGGTCATCTCTCTTGCGAGTTCGTTTCCCCCCCTTTTTCTGTTTTCTTTTTACTACAATGAGCGGGGTTGTTGATACCCAGTTGTTGCATTGCAAGGAGTTTGCATTTTTGTCGTCGGTTCACCGTTCATGTTGATGGGCTGACGATGAGGTGCCGGATGCTTTTCTTCTACTTCTACTCTTAAGCGCTTGTGGTTTTTCCCCATCACCTCTTTATATTTGTTACGATCTTTAAATCATGTCGCGTGGGAAGAGGGTGGCTTCTGCCAGTACCGTTTGGAACAAGTCCAGAGAGAAGATGAGAGAGATGAGAAAAAGCTGGCGCGCTAAAATATGTTTTTTTTTTTGATTTATCGCTACGGGGCGGCAAGAAACAAAAGCATCGCTGGTTTATGGACATTCTTCATTGCGGGAAAGACAAAAAGCAGGTCATTGGGGGTCTCATGGCGCAACAAGGGATGATGTCTAGACCCGTTGGTGGTCTGACTACATTAGCAGCATAATCTCATGATTGAAAAAGTCAACTTTTTTTCCCCCATCCTATGGGTCTCCTGGTTTTGTGACGAAAACTACTTGTGGCTCATCTTGGAGCATTGGCGGATGCTTCTCCGCAAGCGGTGGTGATGGGAGGAGCACGTCGGTCGCTACCACCGTCGCGGCAAAGGGAGTAGGATGCTTGAACGCCATGTGCCGGTACCTGAGAGGAGGGTGACGTCCCCGGGTAGTGCGACTGCGCACGCGGATTGCAACTGTCCCGCCATGTGCAACTAGCCTCTTTGGGCCATCCATAGCGAAGTCATTTCCAGAAGCAAACATACAACTGGTTGAGGGGTACAAAACGGGTTGCAACAGAATGAATCCGAGGTTCTGATTGGAATGAATGCAGCTCTGCTCTCTTCTCCCAGACACCCAACACCGCCGCAGCCACTCGTCCCACGCGGTTGAATTGTTTTCATGTCGGGGGACTCTCCATTTCAAACGGGAGAGCTTCCGCCTCGGTGGCTCTTCCGGCGATCCATAACGGCGCCCACGATCAGTCCCGAAAATATGCTCCACGTCAGGGTGTTCCTCAACACGTGTTCCAGGTCTGCATCCAGCGCCAATGACAGTCCAAGGCCGACGAGGAGCGCGAGAGCAATGGCTTCTTTCTGATGAGGCCAGTGGCTATGCCGATTGTACCACCAACAAGCGGCTAGGGAGTATATGATGCAGGCGGCGAGCACTATGAATATGTTCGGTCTCCAGAAACATTCATCGGTGCCGCCGACGAGCATCCAGTATCGCGAGCAGAAGGGCAGCGGGGTTTCCTTCCAGAATGTGCTGATCATGGACGATGTGACCATCATGGCGGACGCGGCGATGAAGTGTTCGTATGCAGATAGCCGTGTTGGTGATGATGTCGCTCGACGAGCGGTATGCCATCTTGCATATCTCGATTGGCCAGTCTCACAGGCATCTTCGGGCTCTCTGCTGGAGTGAGTAAAGGGGGAGAGGGAGCCGACGATGGATGTTGTGACTTACTGTTCCATCTCCATTGGCTGTAGATTCTCGTGGTGCATGGTGTTTAGTGTAAGACTGGGGAACTTGTGGCAGGTTTAGAGTTTGGACTTTCTGATTTGACGCTAAAGAGACCTTTCCACCAAGTGCTACCTATATACTGAGATGAGAGACACGAACGCGGGGCTGATGCGGCTCAGCATATCATACTGTGCCGCAGCGTGCTAAACATAAGGTAGTGATGGACGAAGATGTTATTGGCCCCATACTGATCATTCACATTTTCGGCTACCCTTGGGTGAAGCTAGACTTATTCAGTTGGCGCGCGGGTCGCCCGAGCGCTAAGTAGACCAATCATCACAACGCCTTCTGCTTGCTAAAGAAGGTATCCGATCTCTTCCGCCGGACAACGGGTGTTGCAGTCACCCGAGAATTCTAGATACTCTCACTCTGACAATGGGATGCGACATGAAGGGTTTATGCTGACAACACTTTTACCAAATGATGCAATGAATGTCTTGAGTGAAAAGCTGGGGCGTAAGTGGGCTGATGTAAGGCGCGTTGGAGCCACATCACCCCCATGCACATGTGAGATTCATCGACAAGATAGCTCATTCACGAGCTGGAGGATCTCGCCTATCTACGCGTTTAAATGGTTTGAGGTGGGCGGCGTAAGGAATTCCAAGGCCCTCGCTTCAGCACGCGTAGTTGAGGTGTGGCACCCCCTCAGCTGTGCCGCAAAATATGTAGCCAGATATCGATACACAGCCGAGCCATGAGACCCAATAGGAAACAGCCCCGATAAAAATAACGGGTCGAGTTAGGGAGGCCGGTTAAGCACTCATCTAGGTTCCGCGAATTGGGATCAGCGAAGAGTTGCATGGCGATGAATGTGGTGACCACATTCTGCAGGGGCTCTCCTGTAATCACTAAATCGTTTGCCTTTGAAACGTCTACGTGCTGCCTACTATTCGGAATGGCTGTACAACCTCAGTTTAACTCTGCTGAATTCGTCGCGATATGCCGCGATGAAGTCTCTCATTATGTTGCAGTGTGAAAAGTCGTTTTATTCAAACCTCCACGCGCAGCTACAACTTGCATTACTTTCAACGTGTTTCTTCCGGTCAGCCGGGGCATCAGCTGCCACATAGACCTACGCCGCACTTGATTCATACCATGAAGAGCGTTTGCTGATCCCTGATCAGTAAGAGAAAGTTGGCAAGAATTAGCGGGTCGGTTGTAATCCGATTCGCCCATGAGACTGCAATGCGACGTGATATGTGGGTCATTCAGCCACACGTCGAGAAATAGGACGGCTGCAGCGACTAATGAAGTCTAACTTGACGAGTGCTCTTCTTTTCAGATCCGAAGTCCGGCTTGGCGTGATGCTATGCATATTTGCGAGAAGATATCTAATATTCCGATGTTAGCCACGTCCAGCTCAGCCATTACGGTTGGAAGCGGAGTCAAAACAAAGGTAGCAGTTCAATTTTCATATTTTAGAACACCAATTATTCTAGTAGCAGGTTAATCTTCTGTGTATTTCAAGCTGTATCGAACCAAGACTAATGGAGATCCTTAATGTGGGTAGTTGAAATTGCTGCGGAGTCTCATCATATTTCCATTGCGCATCAGTGCTCATGTCATGCTCCAAGGTCGCTCCAAAGGTTTTCCGCTTACTAAGAAAGCCAACACGAGATTTAAGAGTGAAGTGTATCTATGCTTAAACACCGTCTGCCGAATGCAGACTGTTAAACAAAGCCAATGACATGAAGCAAGTCATTTTACGTGTCCCCTTCAACCCGCATCGCTTAAAATGGAGGCGTACCACTCCCGCGGACATGATATCGCATGGTATTTTCTATTAAAGCAGATTTTCGAGGAGCTGCACCATGAGCGACCATCTCCTTTTAGCATGGCGTTTTCAACAGTCTACGTCATGCTCTTTAACCAAAGACAAGGTACATGTAGCTGTTTAGCATATAGATACTACATCCATAAGCTAAACTTGGGAAACCTGGCTTGCAATAGAGGAGAGGTTATTGTCTGCTGATACGTCCGTTGACCAAAAGCCGCTCTCGTGCGGAGCTGACCAGTGTATTGGCAATTCTTCATCAAGCAATGTTACTGACGGGCGACTTTGGTGCCCAAAGCTGGCCTTCATTGTTTTGGAACAGTTTCCAAGTTGAGAGCTAAGATATGGCCAGTGCAAATAAGACAGCGGGAGAAGGAGTAAGGGGGAGCGTTTGTCGAGCCACCTGAAGCCACAGCGGCTGCCCTTGGGCAAACAAAGCTAGGATGGCGAGTTGGCAGTGAGCACTGGAGATATCTCTCGATTGAAGGATGGCATGTCCTAGTGCCTCTTTGGGTTGTGCACAAGCCACGTGCTTTCTTTAATTCAAAATTCACACGTGCACCTGCCTACGTCAATGGGTGTAATATACACTCTCCTGGCAGCCTCAAAAAGGACCAGATCCAGGTTTTCGAAGCACTGAATCCTACACCAAGACTTATGTGGCTGGTTTTTGTGACCTTTCTAATGTTCCGTATACTGCTGGTGCGTTTCTCCTGCTTGTCAGTCGACTTGAGGCAAAGGCACCAAACGCCTGGCCACATCTTCTTCGAGTTTCGGCAACAAACGCTGCTCAAGACAATCAAGTCAAGCAAGTATTGCACAGGACTGCTTCAAAACGACAATGATCATCATCATGAAGTGCCGCAGAAAACCATGCCTTCCCAGGCATGGAGACCACACCGAAGCTCCGATCGACAACGGAAGAGAAAGAGAAAAGGAGAGCCGACAGTCAGAAAGTTGACTGTGCTAGCTAGCGTCAAGCGGAGATACAAGTACTATGGCAAAGACTAGAAGCTATGTGCAACTAGCGGAAGCTGACGAGGATTCGAAACCTGCCCTCAACACAGGCGCCCTTTTTAACCCCCACCACTTTGCCGACCCCCCACCAAGTACATGACTCTGCCCCTCATCAACAAGCAAAACCACTGCGCAGCATCATTCCTCTCTCAGAAGGCTACTTCTCTCCATGAACTCCATGTGTCACGTCAAGGCACAAACGACGACAACGAAGGCCAAGGTGTCGGTGGGTTCGTTTCGCGTCGAACAGTTACGCAATCCAATCCAGGTTCTGCTCCAAGAGTTCGGCGCGAGTCTGTAGAGATTTGAAGTCGAAGGACATGGTAAAGAGGATATTTTATACATGTTTCCTCACCAAATCAGCCACCAGCTCTCAAATGATCACCTGCACGGTGTACCACAGTGGCGGTCTGGCAAGTGATAGCTGTCGAATTTCTCCCAACGGAAGAAAAAACCTCTTTAAATGGCCGGCCCAAGAATGAAATGTCAAAGGTAAACGGGAAAAGGCAACCCGGGTAGTGAAAATATATCGCGAACAAAAGAATTGAGGAAAGAAGCAAAAAAGCAAAAGAATACTACAAGAGAAAAACCGTGTCCAGCATAACACATGACAAGCGTAAAGAAGAATGAAGCTAAGAAAGAGGCATAAGGAGTTCAAGAACGAATCTCCCTTCCAGAGAACCCATCCTGCCACCCTAAAAGGCCACAACAACAACACAACCAAATAATAATCACACACGCACGCATGTCCCCCGTCCGTACGACCCTATCAACCACCCCTACTCAGCCTCCCCTCCTTCTCATTCCCAACCTTCACCAGCTTCTCCGCCGCACCCGCCTTATTCTCAAAAATCCGCCTCAAATCCTCCACGCTCTTCTTCTTGAGATCTAGCTTCCGCGGATTGTCACGCGGGATCGGCGGCGGCTCGAGGCTCGGCATGCGCTTGAGCAGGCCGGACGACAAGGCCCGCGGCTTCTTCGGCGGCTCCATCGCCATCGTCGCCGCGCGCTGCAGGTGGCTGTTGCCGGGCGGGGGCTGCGCCGCTGCGGCCGGGAACATCGGACGGGCGAGAGTGTTGATGGTCGGGCCCCGCGAGCGGGAACGCTGCCCGTTGTTGGCGTCGTATTCGGAGCCGACGTTTTCGGTGGAGAGCGAGGAGGAAGACAGCCGACGGGACAGGTCGTTGTTGGGAGAGAAGGGAGGAGAAAGTTCAGCTCTGCGGAACTCGGCGTCTTGGGGAGAAAGGGATGGTCGGCGACCGTAAGTGCCGTGAGCTGGAGGGCTTGCGAGGTTGGGCGATTGAATAGCGGAAAAGTTGCTTGAACCGCTCGACCCCGGCCTGGAGTTGATAGGCTTGCGATGGACGGTACCGGCCGCCGCGGCCGCACCTATCATCTCGGCCAGACCGGGGGGTGCGCGACTTTGCTTTGATGAAGGCTGGGGATTGTGGGGTTGTTGTGGGAATTGGGTGGCAGAAACGGTACGCTCTGGAGAAGAGACAGCACTCTCTGCGCTAGCAATCTGCTCGGCAGTCAGGGTTTTACGCTTTGGAGCTACGATGTGAGGAACGCTAGGACCAGGAAGTCGCCTACTAGACTTATCCTCTTTCTTCTCGTCCACGCTACGCCCCGAACTGCGAGAAGGGCCAAAACCATCCGTCGTTGCGGCGTACGTCAGTGGCGACTGGTTGTTGCCCGATCTTCCCCCCATTTCATCAGCAAGAATGGTGGAATACCGCGGGGGCACCTGAACAGATGGTGCTGGTTTGCGTCTTACAGGTGAATCGTCACTACCAGTGGGGCTCAAAGGTGTGTCTCTGGAACTTGATACCGACGGGCGCGGTGGCAATCTTGGGGCCGCAACATCTTCTGTGTTGTCCTGCAGGACAATACCCGAGAACTGCTTCTCGGAATCGGCGAACCCAGCATCTTCTTCGGACGGCGATTCAATACCAAAGTCTTCGGATCTTGGGCGAGGCCTGCGAGCCGACTCGAGGGGATCGTCATACTCCTTCGGGTCCTGCGGCGGTTGGAGATCACGCTCGAAAGTAGCGCTGTCAACGCCGCAGTCCTCCCGAAGGCCCTCGTCCCATGTATCAATGGCCTCGGTCATGATACGGCGAACCACGCTCGACATTTTGGCGTCTTCGATCTGGTCGGGCCCACATACAAGCGTCGGTGCAAAGCAGACCGCCAGATTCTCGGCCGACATCTTGTTGGCGTCCTGATGTGCCGCCACGATGCTCAGAAGGGGAAGCAGATGCCGGACCAAGATCTCGCGCGAGATGGCTGGGATCGCCGACCATTCCGACTTCGGCGAGATCAGCTCGACTAAAGCTTTACGCGATGGCGACTCGTCCGGATCTCCGAAGAGGCTCCGCAGCTCCCTGTATGCGGACTGGGGGAAGATGGGTTGACGTAGTTCGGCGTACCAGGTCTTGGTCAGCCCAGCCGCGAGAAATACTCCGTAGCAATCTCTGGCATCAACCTCCTCGACAATGGCCTTTGTGACATTTGAGTCGTCGAAAGGTGGAAGAGGCAGCATGACACCATTCTCTTTCCACAAGATGTACTTCTGGCCCCGATCGTATGCTTCCTTCAGGATCTCCTTGAGCCGAGAATGAGGCGGAATTCTGAAAATGCCTTCGGTCTCAATGTTAGGCTCCATCAGCAGGAATGTGCTGGTCTCTCGCAAGATGCGCGGTAGTCTTGTGCCGCCGCCGGCATTCTGAGGCAAAGGATTCCGGACCGAGAAAGCCCGGCGACCGCTAGCAAAAGGTGCGTGGATGTCCTGCGCCAGCCGACGGTCGTGAAGGTATGCAGACGGCGGTATCAACAATGTCTCAAGCGGGAGCTCTAGTGCGAGCTGGGTCAGGGTGGAAACTGCACATCTCATGTCAGCACGCCTCGCCGTAAGCCACACCGCCACCATATGCGCGGGTGAGCCCGAGCGCGGGTAAGCCAGGAACCGCTGAGCTCAGCGACCTGCACGTATATTCTAGTCCACTTCACTCCGCTCGTACGAGTACGGGGCTGCGGCTCATTTCGCCCAGACTTCTGCGCCAAGCATTCTGGGATATGGGGGTGCACTCACCATGTACGATCTTCCTCCTGAACTTGGGACTGACGATGGTCGAAAACATTTCCACCAAGATCCTGACCCAGCTTCTCTCGTGTACAATGTACAGCTTCTGCAGGCGCTTGCGCATGGCGCGGCTCAGGACGTGGTATGCCTGGATGAACCAGCCCCAGCCAGGGCGGTTCTTCCGGGCTCCAGCCGCACGCTCAGCATCGCCGCCTGCGAAGAAGATGACCTCGTATTCGGTGCCACTGAGCAGCTCCTCCTCGCCGGGCAGACGGGCCAGCACGTAGGGGAGCAGGCTGTCGAAGTCGTGATCGTCAACATCGGGCAGTGCGGCGGCGTTGAGGATGTAGATGGGGAGGCCGGAGTCGGAGGGGACGGGGGTGCGGTAGAGGATGCTGGCGGCGACTCTTGCCAGATCGTGGTCGTAGTCGGCGGAGGTGCGGGGCGGAGGGACGGCGCTGAGGGAGGTGCTGCGGAGGCGGCCCGCGCGTTGAGCGATTTGAGCGCGCATTGTCTTCCCGGACCAGGTTAGTCGGCGACGCATGTCCATAGCAGACGGGTGGTGGTGGTGAAGGGTATCGCAGGCGTGCGGGCGCGGCGACTGCATGCTCCACTTCTTTTTTGCCTGTACGACGAGCCGGGTGCGTCACAAGGAACGGACGGACTTGAAAGAAGGAGCAAATCCTGGCGGGGCCTTGGGGCTATTTGGGGAATTGGCCACACTTACATACTGCGGAAGTGGCTCCTCTGTAGGACGATAAGAGGGTTGGCCCTGCCGTATCCCTGTTGGCGCACGAAGAATGTGCCGTCTGGGAGGACTCGTAATGGCGGCAGCCCTAGGGACTGGGCTTGCGTAAGGCAGAGGAAGGGTGTTGCCTCACAGGGCTGAGCCAGAGGGTTTTGGCAGGATGACGGGGGTGGGTCTGCGTGCACGAGATCAGTCGGGCGATTTAATGCTGTCGAGCCCCGCAGGTGGTCGACGTCAGGCAGTGGGAACGTAGAAGTGTTGCGGCCGGGATGCGGTGGTTAGCGGCGGCCAGCACGGCAAGGTAGGTCTCCTGGCCGACGCGTACCCGCGCAGCTCAGGGTCTGACCTGGCCGCCCAATCCAGCGCCGCCTACGTGTCCGCCGCGTCAAAGCGTGCAAGCTGTCTATTTTCTGTCTGCCTATTTCTTGCTTTTAGCCTCCGCGATCTCCAGCCTCGCCTAGCTGAGCACCTGCCACTGCTGATGATGCGTGCCGGCAAGCTCATGCGCTCCTGTACACAGTGCCTGATCGACCGCCGTGCAGACACTATCTACGCCGCAGGATCCGCACCCCTGGCATCCTCGCCGTCTCCGCCGCCCTCCGCCCGCTCTGTCGAGGGGGTTTGCGCTGCCCGACCTTGCTCCGCTTCCGGGAGTTCCTCCAACTCGCCCATCATTGCCATTTGGTTCTGCAGCTGCTCCAACCGCTGCGTCCGCTCCCAGATCTCCTGGAAAGGGATGCCTCGCTCGACCATCCGCCTGACCACCTCGTCATCGCGCACGTCCGAATCCAGCGGTGGTGCCTCATCCAGTTGCTCTGTTGCTCTCTGCTCTCCCCCATCGCCCTCGGGCGCCTGGGACCACGGCATGAGACTTTCGAAGAATGCCCTCAGGTTGCTGTACTCCTCCCGCATCTCATCCGCCGTTTGACCCTCGCGCTGTCGGCTCGTCCTGCTCGGACTGGGGTCATACGAAGCCAAGTTGTCGTTCGGAGGCAGCGGGTCTGACGTCGACTGGACCTGCGAAGACAGCGATCGCGGAACTGCTCCAATGAGTGCCGGATTGTCGCTAAGTATGGTGTGACGAGCTATGTCTCGTGTGATGGTCATGTCTACAGCGTCTTTCATTCCAGAAGCCTGCACCGCCGAAGCCACCTCGACCAGCAGGTTTTTGGCTTCTGGCGTGTTCCAGATGTCCTTGGCGCGAATGACGTACAGCTCAGTCAGTAGGTGTTCGTAGGGCGTGCGAGGCTGCTTGCCCCAGATCCCTGGGGGGATGTCGTTGACCTCCAGTTCCTGGAACAGACGAGCAGCAACCCAAGGGTATTTGCCGATGGCCGTGTACAGTGTCTGTTGCCCTTTGCTGCGTTCCTTCGCCTGCACATGCGCGAGGCCTAACGTCAGCTGGATGCTTGGGAGGTCTGCCCATCTTTCCTTGAAGAACTCGCTCTGAGCTAGGTTGATAAAGTCTTGCTGCTGTCGACCGCGGATGGCAAACTGGTCGATGACGAGTCGAACGCAGTACGGATCGTTCTCAGGGTCGAGACTGAGAAGCAGCTTGGCCCATTCATATACCGTCCTCCAAGTTGCACGCATGCCGAGGTTGGCAATGTAGCGCCACGCCGCCAGCCAGAATTCTCTGTTCTCCGGTCTGCGGAAATCTAGCCTGGCCTTTCCTTGCGAGATATTGTTGGAGAAAGTTGAGTGGATGGAACGGCCGAACGAGAACAGAGCACGCTCGAGGAGATCGCCAGATGTTGCGTGGTCTCGCTCTTGCTTTGCGATTTCCGATACTTGAAGGAGGGTCGAGATGTGGTATGGGTTGAACTGGAGCAACTGTACCAGCCGATTAGGGTCCATGGAAGCTACGCAGCTTTCGAACTGCCTTTGTACGTCCTGGTATGATGTACTGTGTATGAATCTGTACTCCACAGTTCCGTCGGCGCGCTTTTCTACAACCTCCATACCGAGGCCACCGCTCGTTGCTCTCGGCCACTCTTCCTTTCCTTGAATGAATATATTCCGGCGCAGACCTAACGAAGCAAACCCCTGGCCGCCGGGCATGTTTCGCGCAGCAACAGCCTGCGCCAAACCAAGCTGCTGCGCGCCTCGGCCGCGCCTCCCTCTACCAGCAGGCTCATCGTCCGCCCTGTTCTCCAACGCAGCCCTTCCGAAAAGCTTCCGCATCTCATTCTGCGCGTGTAGCCCTTGGGTGTCAACGGCCAGCAGCTTGCACAGTTCCTGTGCCGCGGCGTCAGCTGCACTTTCCTCAGCCGATTTGCCGTGGCCCGCGGATTTGGAAACTTTGAGAGATTGGAGCGCAAGATCAATTTCGTCAAGCTCGGAGGGCGCAGACTGTTCTGTGGTCGGGGTGTCGGTAGCTTGTTTCGCCTTGGCCTTCTTCTTCTTCTTTTTATTTCTCTTTGCGCTGGATGCCTTCGGTTTCGGTGTCTCCTCCTCGCTCTCCTCCGGCGCGTCCGGAATCTCTTGCGGCCCCTGCTTCTCATCCTCGTCCTCATCCTCATCTTCTTCGGCACCTAGCATGGCGAACATGCTGGCCTTCGCGGGGCGAGCGGTTGGCCGTTCCTCTTCCGATTCGTCGTCTTCGTCATTTTCGGCGGCCAATTGCTCAAGCTGCTTCTTCTCTTCGAGCTCGCGCTGGAGCTTACGCAATGCGCGCGCAGACATGGTGGTGAGGGATTCGACGGTGCAGATGCAGCGCAGATATGAATGTAGGCAAAAGAACGGCCAAGGCTACCGACGACGGGAGCGTGCAGGTGTTTGTGCATGAGCGAAGATGATGACGTGGGGCAGCTTTGCGAACAAACCCAGCGGGGCGTCCGTCCGCGGCACCCACCGAAACGGGCCGAGCGACCGGCAGCTCAAGCGATCGGCGGGCATGTGGGAGCCTCAACACCAGATCAGCCCTCCCTCGTTTACCTCCGACACGCCGCCCTTCTCTCCTAGGACACCGCTCTTTATCACCTGCTTTCCGCTCCACTGCCGACTCAGGCTCTCGGGCGCGGTCTTCCAGATGCGTCGTGCCGCCCTCCAGACGTGCCGCGCCGTGCGCCGCCCGGGCCTTCGCAGAGCCGCCCGCACGCCCGGAACTCTCGTCAGCTCGCGAGCTTTCAGCAGCCGACAGCGATCAAGCCACCAAATCCTTCAATCCTCGATGCAATTCCGCGGCCTCTCCTACGCTCTCGTGTCGACCGCTGTCGCTACCGGCGCCTGGTTCGCCTATCGCGGTGACAGCGGTCCCTCACACACTAGCTCCCCCGCCGCCTCGGTGTCGGTTTCCGGACAGCAGACCAGAGGCTTGTCTGCATCAAGCGTCTATACCAACGCCGCAGACACCGGCGGACCTACCTCTGATAAGGCTCCCGACGGAGGCAACAAAGTGCTGGTCATACACGACGGACAGGTCTGGACCGGCACCTTGCCGGCCGACGCGCCTTTGTCCAAGGAGACGGACGACTACGGACGCAAGGTTGTCGAGATGCTGACGCCGGAACAAGCCACCCAGAAACTGAGGAGGAACGAGGAGTCCTGGCTTGTTGGCCGGGGCAAGGGCGTGGTTCGCTACGACGTCGTGCAGATCCCCAGCAACGATCCCATCGAGGACGATCACGCCGAGAAGATCATTGAGGTGCCCCAGAGCGTTGCGTCGACCGACGACGGCTCTTCCAACAGTGATTGGATGTTCTGGGGTGTTTTCGATGGCCACAGGTATGGGCAAGGGTGTGGCATGACCAGGGATGACATTGGTTAACTTTACCTTCTAGCGGCTGGATTACCTCGGCGAAGTTGCGCAACTCTCTCATCTCCTTCGTTGCCCGTGAGCTCAACGCCACGTACAAGTCGGCCCTGACAGACCCGTCTGTCAAGCTCCCCACTGCGGATTCTATCGATAAGGCGATCAAGACTGGCTTCCTGCGTCTGGATAACGAGATTTGCCATGAGTCAGTGCAAAAAGTCATGAAGGCGCAGTCAAAGCGCGTGGCTGCTGAACTGCTCGCTCCTGCGTTGGCCGGTTCGTGCGGTCTGTTGTCTTTCTACGACAGCAACTCAAAGCTCCTAAGGGTAGCCTGTACCGGAGATTCCCGCGCCGTTCTTGGCCGGAGAGGCTCGAACGGCAAGTGGACGGCCACTGCTCTGTCCCAGGATCAGACTGGCGGCACCCCCGAAGAGGCAGCTCGTCTGCGAAAGGAGCACCCCGGTGAACCCGATGTGACCAGAAACGGTCGCATCTTGGGTGGCCTTGAGCCTTCGAGAGCATTCGGTGACGCCGTCTACAAGTGGAGCATTGAGACCCAAAGGATCCTCAAGGAATACTACTTCGGTCGCAATTCCCCTGCGCTGCTCAAGACGCCGCCGTACGTCACGGCCGAGCCCATCATCACCACAACCAAGGTCCAGCCTGAAAAGGGAGACTTTGTTGTGATGGCCACGGATGGTCTCTGGGAGATGCTGACCAACGAGGAAGTTGTTGGCCTTGTCGGCCAGTGGCTCGAATCACAGGCCGAGGGTAAGAACAGCCAGAGCAACACGAACGCTTGGCTCAAGAGTTGGTTCAGCCAGCAGAAAGGCCTACCGATCGAGAAGGACGGCGCTCAGCAGGACATGAGCGGCCAGCGGGCTCCTATTAGACAGCGACAGTGGGGCGTGACGGGCTCTGAGACCGAAAGGTTCACCGTGCAAGATAAGAACGCCGCAACGCATCTTGTGCGCAACGCTCTTGGTGGAAAGAACCAGGACCAACTTTGCGCGTTGCTAACGCTGCCGAGTCCTTTCTCCCGCCGCTACAGGTAAGCTTTTTTTTTTTTTCTTCAAGAGAGTTTCAGTACTGACATTTGTAGGGACGATCTCACGGTCGAAGTCATTTTCTTCGGCGAAGGCGAGAACACAGGAAATGTGGCGCTGAACAAGGAGGCCAGCGCATCGACAGATGTGAAGCCGAAGCTGTGATTCGAAAGACTTCCAAATGGGCAACACTACCATAGCTGAAGATACCCAGTGTTGCTCTGTACGGCACTTGACTTGTGGCTCGGTTCAGATGATTTGCTTCTTAGCAGAAAGCCTGGTGTAAGGTCCGGCGCAATTCTTGATTGGAATGGGTTGGAATCAGCTGCGATGGGCGTGAATATTCTTCGGGACAATGGGCTTGTAACGGAACGAACTGGTATACTGGTGTACAGTTTCTACACTTTGACATGAAGACCTTGGCCATAGACCACAGAGCAAATGACATGAATGCTTGGAATCATTACGTCTAATTCGATTGCGCCAGCCGCGTCTAGTTCTGCGGCCTGCGTTAATGCGCTGGGAGCTCTCTAATCCTAAAATGCCCTTTCACGATTGGTCGATCACATGCTTCCGATACCGGGCGTCCACGTCTCCCCTATTCTCTTCACCTCGTTGGTGAAGCGCCGACTCGTGATCTGAGTAGAGCCGACAGACTGCTCGGCGTTGGCAGTCAGAGGAGAGTGTTGGTCTGGATCGTAAAAGGGGTTCCTCAGCAGCCCAATGTACGCAGACTGCAGCGCCTTGAAAGCCTGCACGAACAAAGTCAACACCATGATAAGAGCTGGGGTTTGGAAACAAGGAGCCGCTTACGGGCTTCATGTCGGCGTCTCTCAGGCCGATGGCGGACGTGGCCTTCGCGTCATTTGCGGTGGCGGGGCGGCCCTCCATGTCGACGACGACGACGAACTTGACGCCGGTGTTGGTCATCCAGCCGTACATGGCGAGGCGCTCGTCGACGGCCTGCAGCAGGCCGAAGTCCTGGTCGGCCGTCTTGTGCGGCATGCGGGCCTCGAAGATGTCGAGCGAGGACGAGAGCAGAAAGGAGAATTCCAAGGGAGCGCGGGCATCTGGCGGGAAGAGCGAGACATGGAGAGGGTTGTTCTGATGCTTGCATGAGCTCTGGGCGGGGAGATGATTTCTTTGAGATTTTGGCTACGCACATGCTTTCCTATGATGCCGATGCACGCTATAGAGGGCACGCGAGTGGCTGCCATGATTGCAACGGCAGGCGAGACTCGCGGATTCACATGCGCTCAGACGGGTTTAGGTTTAGCGGTGAGGCCTGGGGCAGCGCGCGTTCGCATCTGAGCTGGAGGTGGGCTGGGGTTGCCTCACGGGGCGGCGGTGGTGTAGTCAGCGGGGACGTCGTTGGGCGAGCCGGGGGCCGGCAATATCGCGGGGAAAGGGGCCGGCCAAATCAGAGCGCAGGCTATGGCTCTTCCGTAAGACTGAGCGCGCCAAGCACAAGCGAGAGGGCGTGAACGTCGACGACATCGACTTGCTACAAGCGCGCCCCCATCCGCCACCCGCTCCCACCGCACCCACACCTCTCCACTCCTCCCTTCCCTCGAGTCGTCCCGGATACCCACCGTCGCCATGCTGTCGACGACCAGATCCGCCGCCTCAATGGCGCTGCGCGGTACGCCAATCTTCCATCCGCGCCCGCTTGCCCACCTTCCACCACTTCAATCCCACCCCGGCTCTCCCGCATCTCCGCCCCGCCGCCCTCGATCAATCAGTTTCCAGAACTCGAATGCTAACGCCTGCGCCGCTTGAACAGCCAAGCCCTCCACCGCCATCACCCCCTTCCGCGCCGTCTCTGCCGCATGGATTTCGAACTCGTCCAAGAGCAACGCCGCTCCGATGCAGAAGCCCGCCCTCGTCGCCGACGGTCCTGGCGCCCCGCCGCCCATGAAGAAGGGCATGCCGACTAACGTGCCGCTGGCAAGCCAGGAGGGAAAGAAGGGTGTTGTCCAATACGCGCTGTACGTCTCGCTCTGCAAGTAACGGGTCACGGAGGAAAGGAACACAGGAAGGTGGAGGGGGGATGCAACACCGGCAGCGGAGGATGGGCACGCGCAACACGATTGGAACCTCCACGGCTGACTCGGTTTCCACAGCACCACGCTCGACCAGATCGCCAACTGGGCGCGCCAGGGCTCGCTATGGCCCATGACCTTCGGTCTCGCCTGCTGCGCCGTCGAGATGATGCACCTGTCGACGCCGCGTTACGATCAGGATCGCCTCGGCATCATTTTCCGCGCCTCGCCCCGCCAGTCGGACGTCATGATCGTCGCCGGAACCCTCACCAACAAGATGGCGCCCGCCCTGCGCCAGGTCTACGACCAGATGCCCGACCCCCGCTGGGTCATCTCCATGGGCAGCTGCGCCAACGGCGGCGGCTACTACCACTACAGCTACAGCGTCACCCGCGGCTGCGACCGCATCGTGCCCGTCGACATCTACGTGCCCGGCTGCCCCCCCACGTCCGAGGCGCTGATGTACGGCATCTTCCAGCTGCAGAAGAAGATGAGGCACACCAAGGTACGTCGATTTTTTTTTATCCATTAATTATCAAAGATTCTGGCTTTGTGCTAACACATGTGCTAGATTACCCGCATGTGGTACAGGAAGTAGATGTGCGGCAACGGTTAGTAGGCTGATGGGTAAGGCAAGCGGTGTGGCATGGATACACAACATCAAAGGTTTTTGAAAGGCGTAGTAGATCTTGACTATTTTTTTTTCCTCGCGCAAGTGGCCACATACTTGGTCCCACGAATGCATGTATAAATTGGGATTGTGTATGATACACCACCAAAAGAAGGCTTTCCCTTTGTTGTCCCATTGGCTTCTGTTACTCTCTTCACAGTCCCGAGAACGCGCTGTCTACTACTGATGCCAGCATGCCCGAATTATATCCTCAGTCACACTAGAATGTGAAAGTGATTCCCTGTAGACTTGTTGGTCAGGGATTTTGCTCGCAAGCACGTGGAAGTCGTCTGTAAACCTCACTAGACATCTCACAGAGTCATGGTAACACAGTCAGGTCATGTTCCATACGCATTTGTAGAAATTGATACGTAAATCGGCTCTTCTCACATTGAATTTCAGTCACCATTCTGAGAAAAACACTCAGGATGGCATTCATCGTCATGAAAGAAATTAATTATCAGCAATGAACGGCATTGGTATCTAACAACCCACAAAGAAGATCAAAGAAGAGACCAAGCCCAGACGGAGGATATGAGAAATAGAGGTCCATCCTCACCATCACATCCAATCTTAGCAGTGCAAAGCGCCGTGGCTGTGCCATGTCCCCATCCCCCCAATTTTACAGATCAACCATCCCAAGCCCGACCAACCGAATCCCAGGTCTTGTTCATTTTCTCATCGCGTACACGTAAGAGCCGACAAGCAAATCGACTCTCATCTCAATCAGACCATCATGCTCTTCCGCCGTGTCGAGCTTCTTTCCGGTTTCCCTTCCGCTGCCGCGGATGAGCTCTTTGACTGGCGTGAGAGTCTAGCATGACCGGCCTCATCGCTGAAGCTCACGGTCTTGGAGGACGATGCTGCCCTCTCACCGCTCCCTCTCTCCTTCGTTGATGTGGACATCACGGACGAATGACGTCGGGATGCCGACTTCGCTGCGAGAGCTCTGCTGCTCTTCATTATTTGCTCCACGTTTTGGTCGCGTGATGCTGAAAGAACGTCTTTTTCGTCGGACGGTGAGGATCCATCGGTGATGTTGAAGTCGAAGATGGCGAGGTCTGGATGGTCCTTACCGATCGAGTCGGTTGATGAGCTTTTTGCCGTGGCTCCCTTTCTACGAGACGATGCTCCAGAGATTGACCTAGATAGGAGGTCTTTGCCTGCATTTGTGGACGTCGGCTTGTCATCCGCCTGCTTCAGGCCTTGGTCTTCAGGCTCCTTCGTTTGCGATTCAAATGCGAGTTGAGCTGCTGCAGTCTTACTGCTAAGTGGGCTGTGGGGTTCGGTTTGCTCTGATGACGCAGTGTGTGTTTTCCAGGCCGAGCCTGCATCTTCCTGCCGTTCTCGCTTGATTACTATAGTTCGCAACGGATTCGCTGAGCCAGACGCAGATTGGCCTTGCTCAGAGTGTGCATCCGACGAACGCCGACTATCCACTACTGCATCAACGAGGGTCTTGGTAGGCCGACGCATTTTGCTGACCAGGCTCGGCTCCGCGTAGTTGACTTGAGGACGAGCGCGCCTCGACGGGCGTCCCGCTGCAGATGTCTCGGAATTGGTAGCGGCGAGGTCACCGGGAGGCGGGGTGTCCTTCGACTCTTGACGAGCTGCTGAAGGCTCTGTCGATGTAGGGGATGCGAGATCAAGGCCGGCCGGGGTCTTGGGTGGAAGCTCTGGCTGCTCCTGCTCTTGTGGCTCCTCGATTTCAATCTCTGCTGTTTCAACTACTTCGGTTGTCTCCTTCGGGGCCACGTTAATCATTGCAGCTCTGGACTTTCGCTCCCTCACACGGTTGCGAGCGGCTTCCTTCGGGATCTCAAGCTTCTTGGCATCCGATTTGGAATCCGACCTCTGTACCTTCTTCGGGGAGGTGTTGGTTTCTGTAACTTCGGTTAGCGATACAGAAGAGAGGGGTTGAGGCGCGAATGGCTTACTGTCTCCCAGCGCCTTACGATCAGTCGTGATAGGAATATCGAGCCTCAAATTCTGCTTGGAGGTAGGCTCAAGAGGCTGGCGGTTCTCTCTGTCCCCACCTCTGCGGCTAAATCTGAAATCATCGCGATAATCCCTATCGCCGGCGTCTCCATTGGTCTCCTCAGCGGTGACACTGAGCTTTCGTTTCCTTCCCACTTTTGACGGCTCTTGATCATTGCTGTCCTCCTTGTTGGCTTCCTCTGGCGTCTGGAAAACGGACATTTTCCTCAGGTCTAGCTTGGAGCTGTCCCTCCGTTTCCTCCTTGTCTCCAGATTGACTGACATGGTGGCTGGGAGCACTTCCTCGTCCTTTTGGTCCACGTCCATGTCATTGTTAGCGTCCTCGTTTGCTGGCTCGGGATCAAACTTGATGGGATCCTCCTCGGTAAAGTGGGCGACGGGAGGTGGGCCTAGGTTGGGTGAATCGTCGGTCGTAGTCGTCAGTACCGCATGAAGCTCATCAGCACTGCTCCTTGTCAGCCAAGTCTTTTTCCCGTGCAAATGGGTTCGACATACTCCAGGGTGCGACGAGGATAGTGTTTATCCTCTCTGATGGTGGGCAGAACTTCATCGTCGTCCTGCTCACCGGCCTGCTCCTTCATTGCGCGCCTCCATTCAAAGTGTTCCACCGCTCGCGAAGGGCCCGCATCCGACTGTCGGGCCTTATGCGAGGGCTTGTTGATCGAACTCAGCTCAGCAACCAAGCTACCTATCTCAAGGAGCTTGGACTCAAGCTGATCTTTGACAGAGCTGATCTGCTGAAGAGCATTGGGGCCTCTTATTTGTTCGAGCTCTGTCTGCAAGTTGATGATCTGCTCTCGCAGGGAGAGGTTTTCGGCGAGGATCCGGGCTTGCTCGTTTTCTAGGGCGCGGATGCGGACGGATTGTGCGGAGTTGTTCCTGCGATAATCGTATTAGAGCCACGTAGATGGGCGCAATGATGCTGAAGACGCACTTTGCGAGCTCGCGGTTTTGCCTGATGAAGCGGCGCTTGACTGCAGGCGGTGTCAGCGGCGGTTGCTTGGGTCGGCGGGGAAAGTAAACATACGCTGATCGACGGTTTCCTGCGGCGGCGGGGCCTCGTTGAGTCGCGCCATTGGGCGCAGGATGGAATGCAGCCAAAGGCGATGCTGCAAGAGAGCAAAGCGATAGCGGTGGACCGCGAGGTGGCGGTCGCGGGGTGGTGGGATGTGGGATGGGGAATGATGTCGAAGGTGGAGATGGGAAGCTACTAAAGTTCGGGTGTAAACAAAGGCCGCATCTGACTCGTGCGCCGGACGCCCGCCCGCCAAACTGGCGCAGCTCTGCGCTGGCCCGCTCAAACCAACAACACCACTGTGCGCCTTTGACCCGTCCCGCTGCGCGCACTGTTTCCGACTCTCGAGACTCGCCTGCCGTGTAAACCTTCGCTGCGCTCACTTTGGCCACTACAGCTTTCGCCAATATGGAGAACAAGCGCCAAACGCTCTCTCGGCCACTTGCGTCCCACCTTCGCGGCCAGTCCATGGGCGCATCTTCTGGCGGCGCATCGCCTGTGCTGCTCGCGCGTATAAATGAGAAGAAGCAAGAGTTGGCAAACCTCAAGGAGCTGCAGGCTTTAAGCGGTGGGCTTGCTGATCAGATGGAGATGCTGGAAAAGAAGCTGTCGACGTTGTCAGACGGCACCGAAGGTGCGCACTACCGCAGCTTGCCATTGGCGAGAGGATTCAAAGACTAACAGCTCTCACAGCTGTCGCTGCGGTCCTATCTAACTGGCATAATGTTCTGCGCGCTATCAACATGGCCTCAAGTAAGATTTCCACAAGGCTTAGCTTGTCTGCGCGATTCCTCTGACCGCACACAGTGAAAATCCCCAAGCCCAAGCAAGCCGAAGAAGAGGGTGCGGAAGAGAACAAGGAAGAAGTTCCTCTTCCGCAGACCCTCGTCCGCATCCCAACTCAACATGCTGCGCCACTACTTCAGCAGGCCAGCTCTGGAAACCCTACTGAATGAGGGCATCTATGCGGTCACTAAGTTTGATTGATCAGCGTTTCTCCAACCGACCACAGAGAATCACCAACGTAAATTGGACGACCACTTGGCGTCACGTCGCCAACAGCCAGCCTCAAGTCTAGCATATCGCTAGCAAGCATGGAAACAAGCCGTAGACCTTATGCGTCTACCAGAGAAGGCCAATGGACCTTGAAGAACAACGCTACATTTACCGGGACATAAGCAAAGCGTAACCTCACGCCGTCCGAGGTTGTCAGCTCCAGGATGCGGCATGCACATTCAGCCTTGGGGTAGTATGCCGCCTTGCAACATGGAAAGAGAAGTTGCAGACTTGATGAGGTAATGCTTGATTTACAATCACAGTAATCATGAAGGATAGAAGTTCCGGAGCAAGCAAGGAAACTGGGAAAATTCGAAAAAGCAAATGATAGATAGAAGGAGCAAACCGGGGCACCCTTATAGCCACTGTCAACAACTAAATATTCCTGCGTGACGAAGACCGCGTCTGTCTGCGAGGATACTCAACAGCTACATCTTTCTCCACTTTCGCCTTCTTGGATTTCCTCGTGGTTTCATTCAGAGTTTTCTTCCCTCCCTCCATATTCTCCGCGTCACCTACCTCCCCCTCCGTTTCCGCCTCCCTCTTCCTCCCTTTCCGTTCCACCTGTTCATCAAACAGATCCTCCCCCTCCCCAACAATCCTATCGCAATCCACCCCCTCCTTCCCCAAAACCCACGCCACCTTCTCCACCGCCACCGCCTCCCCCATGCCCCCCAACTCCCCTTCGCCCAACCCCCAACCCCTCACCCTCTCTACCACCCCCCGTACCTTCCCAACCAACACCCCATACTCCTTCTCGGTATACCCGATCCGCCTCCCCCACCCCTTCCCCTTCCCCTTCGCCTCTTCCTCCCCCCACACCACCCACCTAAACACCTCGTCCGAAAAAAACGGCGTCCCCGCCGGATCCGCACACGCCAGCACCAGCGACGCCGTCGCCGGCCCCACGCCCCTAAGCGCCTTGGTCAGCACCCTCAGCGCCCGCACCTCGCCGCCGTCCTCGTCCCGCCGCGACGACGACGACGACAACAGCCCAAACGCCTCGGCGCTCGCCGCCTCGACGACGGACGCGGCGTTCGACCGCACGAGCGCGAGCAGCGTCGGGCGGTAGGTCCCGTGCTGGAGCTTCCACTGCACGAGCTGCTCCAGCTGCGGGAGGGAGAGGACGGGGTCGTGGTCGTCGCGGCGGGAAAGGGCGGCGGGGATGCGGTCGTAGCGGGTGGCGTCGAGGGGGCGGAGGGCGGGAGGGACGAGGGCCGGGTAGCGGCGGAGGGCGGCGAGGAAGTGGAGCTTGCTGATTTGGGAGGGGGTGAGGTTGGTGGGGTTGGGGGTGGGTTTGGGGGGCATTGTGGTGGTGGTGGTGGTGGTGGTGGTGGTGGTTGGTCCTTGGTCTTTTCGTGCCCCCTTGCTGGCCTCTGATGCTGGGTGCTGGGAGTGGCTTGATGGTTTGCGAGTGTTGTGAACTGGAGAGGCTGGATGTGGGCAGGCAGGCTAAAGATTACTGGTTATATTTTTAGCAGCAGGAACTCGTTGGAAGTTTTAACGATGGGTAGTACAACTAGACCCAAGTTTCACGAGGCGACAAAGACGGATGGTGACGAAATGGAGAACTCTTAGCGAACTGGATCCACGAATGGACGGGAAAGTGCTCCTGAAGTGTAGGTGAGATCGGTAGGGATGGAAATGAGCAATAACCAAGCAGATGCGCTACTCACCTTTGTTCTTCGAAACATCAATCGTAGCTTATTAGCTTGCAATCAATGGTACTCTGGAAGTACAATTTTGGGGTCGAGATGAGGTCAGGATAAAGTCCGGCGGCGCGTGCGACGCGGGTGCGGGATGAACGCGTAGACGCGCGCCACTTCGTATGTGTAGCATTTGAATGCACGTGCCCTATGCACTTGCCTGTTCGGACCTCCACCACAGGTTCAGGCAGTCCTAGCCAATCAGAATTCTCCTATTCGGGGGCTTCGTCAAGAACCCTCCTCCGAATGAGCCGAGGCCCTAGAATGCTTATTTTGACTACGTCTGCCCGCTGTGTAGTGTTCATGCCGCGACGAGAAATCAATGAAAAGGTCCTGTCGAACCCCATCCCAAACGCCGTTGCCATTACCCCAGGGTATCGTTAGAATGAAGTCATAACCCAAGGCCGTTAGAAAGAATCGCCAGCGCCTGTCCTATCCATGTTTGCTCCCGTCGTTGATCCGAATTTCAAGCCTTTTCTCGCACTCTCCCCTCCTTGACTGCGCCAACGCTAACGCCTGCATCGCCTGCCATCCAGCCAGGCATTTTTTCCCCGTCTATTATGCCTTGTTCAACTAATTGCCGCACACCGGCAAAGACATGTGAGCCTTGAAAACTGAGGTGCACATCCGGTGTCCACGACTCTTCGTCGGTTTGAGGTTGACTTGTGGACGGGAATGGGTCCTCCATACGTATGTCCAGGCGCTCAAGACCCTTCCCGTCGCTTTCCTTTGCAGAAGGGCCGAATCGAGCTTCTGCAACCGACTTTCTCCTCTTTGCTGCCGCATCATCTTTTTGTACCCGGCCTCTTTTGCCGCCGCCAAGGGGTGTACTATTGAATGTTCCTTCCGTAGAATCTTCGGCTTTACCATTGGAAGACTGCCGACGATTCACTCGAGCATCATAATCAAGTGCATCATGACCAAAGCTATTTTCCGCAAAGATAGACCAACCTGCAGGGGCAGCGTTGCTACGACCGGGACCGCGCAAAGAGAGGAGAGTGGAGAGTGAACGTGAGGATAGCGACGTCGTAGTCAGGGCGTAGCGGCTATGGGGGCGTGAAAGCGCCTTCGGAACGGCCTGATATTGGGGTCAGTAGGCTGCGAAAGCAGAATGATGAGATGACTGACATCAACAACGACTTTCCTAAGACTGCGGCCTTCTACTCCCACGGTCTGGCCCAAATTCGTAGCTAGCGAGACATACACGTAGGGCGAGCCGTCGGGAAAGACCAAGAATACAGATTTGGACCCTTCAGAACCGCTGGGGGCTGATCCAGGGAGCGCATGATTGTAGGGAGAGTCATGAATATGCACACGCAGTAGGGAGATGCCGAAGGCTTTGACGCGGGTAATGTAGTAGTGAGCCCTGGTGACAGGTGCCACTTCCTTCTGTAGGTTCAAGACGAAAGTCGTCGCATTGAAGCGAGGCAGGCTGGTAGCAGTACTCTCATCGATTACCTCGATGTTGCCGTCGGCGGATGAGCCTCCAGAGCCGGTGACCTTGGAGAGCTGCAGCGCATTCCAGCGCAGGGAATTCGGATGGTCCAGAAGATAGCGCGTCTCGGCCATGGCCAGCTGGTACAGCGTGATGCCATGCCTCCAATCGCCTTCAACGATCCTATCGACAACCTCGCGCTTGCCGCCCTTGCGCGCCCTGAGCTCCTTGTACACCTCCACGATCTCCTCCTCGGACGTCGCAGGAGTGTACGGCGACTCGTCGTCCTCATCGTCATCGGACGCATGTGCCAGATAAGGCTCACAGAAGTCGCGGTTCTTCTTGTCTAGCCATTCCAGAACTAGCTCGAGAAGCGACTGGCGGCTGAGGCGGGACAGGGTTTTGGCGACGTCCGGGCTGTCGGCGGGCAGGCGCTGGATGTGCGGCAGGGCCGCATTGGTGGGCACGGTGAGGGTCTTGCGCGACATGGCGTGCTGGGGCTTGCGGTGCTCAGCGCGCAGCGTCGGCGTCGCGGAGACGCGTTTGGTGTTGACTAACCGGCCGGCGGGCAGCTGCAATGCCCTAGCGCTTCGCCCGGCGTGGGGGCGCTTTGACGCACCGCTTTGGGAAGTCAGGCCCAGGCGCAGCCAGGCTACGTAGGTACGGCTGCCGTTCGCCCCCGGCGGTGCCCGGCTGCGTCGGCCTGACGGCGTCGGCTTGATAAGCCAGCCGGCGTCTCCAGCGGCAAAAGTCGGCGCACGTGGGCGGGTGGGATGGTGGGATGCATGCCTGACGAGAGCGGGGTGAGAAAGGGAGCCCGCGTGGGCGTCGAGGCAGGCGCATCCATTCTTTCAGCATCGCAACGAGGCGTCTTTGGCCGCAACAGTGATTGGCAGATTTGCAGGAGCTCTTGCAACTCCGGACAAAGACGCGGAATTGGCTCACGAGAGACCCGCCGGCCTGACGACCCGCGCGGCGATCGCGGCGCGCCACTGCTAGTATTTCGCAGGGCCTGGCGTGTGCCTGCCTCATCGACCCCAGCGCCCACCCTCTCCGATCCACCCCCAGGACTCATACCACCCGCTTCGACGCCGTCTGTCCAGCACGTCCGCATCCAGCCGGAGACGTCAGCAACGAGCCCCCAAGTGTCCTGGTGCGACAGTGTGGATCAGGGCGACCGCCCAGACCCGATTACTCAGCGCGCCCTCCCTCCGACATAGGCGCCCCATCACCACCATCGACGACGACACTCCCTTTCGACTGCGCGAACACTGCCATTGCCAACCCCTCCAGTGACGTCCAGAATGTCTGGATACGCCGGCCGCAAGGCACCGAACGTGTCGCAGTACATCCAGGATCTCAACACCGTCCCAACGCCGCAGGAGCTGGCACAGCCCAAGGACAACTTCGCTCTCGACGACGATCTCTCGCTGTTCACAAACACCGAGTTTTTCGACTTCGACCTGGGCACGTCGCTCCCGGACGTGTCGCAGGCGGCGGCGCTCGACAAGTTTGACCCGCACGCCGAGGAGCGTGCGCAGCGCCGCAACGCCTCGATTGCATCGTCGTACGGGGCGGCACCGCAGCAGCAGCAGAAGCAGAACATGGACTTCAACTTCACTGGTGAGTTTTAATTTCCGTTTCGCACTTTTCTGCATCGCCCATGCGGCCCTGCACCCTCGGCCTCGGCGATTGGCAGGGCCCTCACCCACTGCACCAACGGTGCCATTTGGCCGCGAAATTGCATCATCACAAAATTCCGCTGCTCTGGCCCCTATCACCGCGTTGGGCCTAAGCTTGCCGCGCGATGCACCTATTAGGCTGCTCGCAGTTGTGCGGGATGCGAGATCCCAGCCTGCGTATCTCTAGTGGGCTCCGGAGCACGCCATCACCCGTGATCCCAGCGGGTAGCCCGAGCCACCGTCAACCACCGACCATATTTCAAGTCTTTGTATACACTACTACCTGATCCAGTATACCGTACTAATGTCGTACTATCAAGGCGAGTTCCAATCGCTGGACTTTTCCTTCCCCGTTGGCGGGCTGTCGGACCCCAACTTCCAGCACCAGCCGAACCCGTATCCCGTCCAGCACCAGAACGGCACCAGCACCTCGTCGCCCATCTCCGCCACCTCGCCGACCACGCCCGGCGCCGGCAAGCGCAAGCTCGATGGCCTGACCCCGCAGGCCGCCCAAAACATATCCATCGAGGATGTCTCCCGCTACGCCGCCGAGGAGGACAAGCGCCGCCGCAACACGGCCGCCTCGGCCCGCTTCCGCATCAAGAAGAAGCAGCGCGAGCAGCAGCTCGAGAAGACGGCCAAGGAGATGACGGACAAGGTGTCGTCCCTCGAGAGCCGCGTCGCGCAGCTCGAGATGGAGAACAAGTGGCTCAAGGGCCTCATCACCGAGAAGAACGACGGCAAGAACACCAGCGAGTTCGCCGAGCTCTACCGCAAGTTTATCGGCAACGACATCAGCAAAGAGGAGAGAAGTAAGGGGGAGAACAAGGACGGCGTCGGCACCAAGAGCGAGGCCTAAATGCAACACCTGACGGCATTCTTGTTTCCGGCGTTTGTTTGTTCTTCGTTTCTCGACTTTCCTGCGAAGGCGCGAGGGCAACGGGCGGGGTTGGAGACGACGAGCAGCAAACAGCACGACCGTGGATGGGCCCGTCAACACCGCCATCTCACACGCCTGTCACGGTGATGCCTTGAGCATCTGGCTGGGCTTCTCGTCGTTCGCCTCAACTATGGGAAGGGTCTCGGTTATCTGCACATGGCTAGCCATCCACGAAGTAATGCGGAGGTTGTATAGCAACGTAGGGCGATTAAACGGCTCTTCACTTTCACTCATGACCATGATGGCTGTAGATGCGTTGCCCGCCCCCCTGGCCTTTGATGTTTATACCCAAATGATTCAGTGTTCGCGTTCTGTCTGCAGCAACCTCAGTGTGCCGCTCTGTCGCCCAGTGTGCCGGGCTGAGAGCAGGATGTGAATACGAGGAGAGTCGTGTAAATTGCATGAATCAATGCAAAGGGCCGAGGTGGGCGGAACTGGCGTGGCAGCCGTAAGCCGTGCTTTTCCATGGTTGGAGTCGAATGGCGTGCTTTTGGCTTTACCTAGCTTGTCCATTTCCCGTTGCATAACGGGCAGCCCATGGCGGGGCATCCCACAGCAAACGGGCGCAAGAACACCAGCCTCGCCACGGCACAGTCACGGGCGCGACGCTATAACGCCTTCGGAGCCCAGTTGCTGGAGACGGCAGTGGGCTCAAGAGCGCGGCTAGCGGCAACGACTTTTCCACACCTGAACACCGCTCTTTTGCTGGCACTGTCATCATGCATGGCGTCATCACTTGAGCGACTTACTGCCCAGGTCCCGGCCAAACCATCCCCTTCTTGACTGACGATCGTCGACCGTGTTGTTTCCTTCATCTCAAGCTAAGTGATCATCAAGTCGGAGGAGTGAGGCTGTGATGATGTCTTCTTCCTTGTTTTCACTGCCTCCTAGCTTCCCGGCCCTGCCGACAACGATGCCCCTGACATGCGCTCCGACCGGCTCCGTCAAGTCTCTCGCCCTTGCCGTGCCCGCAGACGACGTGCTCGCTGCGCGGACTGGAGGGTGTTGAGGCGTTATCTCTCCGGGCGCGTTGGAGCCCTGGGCAAGGGATGCCGGAAACGCCGGGATGCGTGCGCAAGGACGGCCTCTCGCTGGCGCCGGTCCAATGGACAAACGGTGCAAGGAGCACCTTGCCTGATGTACAGGCTATCTTCGATGTATTCACGGTAAGTGTTGCTTGTCGAGGCTCCGTTTTGCGCAATCAAGCGTGCGAGTGTAGAACGCTTGCCGCGGGCGTGTAACCTGAGCCTGAAACACCATGCACGAGCTCTACCGCACTGTCTCGACCTTATCGCGACTGCGACGATGCTTCTTCAGCTTTGAAATTCGCAGTTCTTGCGGACGGGTTGTGGCTTTCCATGTAGCCTTCGCCTCAGGGGCTGTCAAACCGGTCCAGACAAGTCATCTTGACGACAATCAGAGCACACAACACGTTCGACAGTTTCGGAGCCAGTATTTGTTATTACCAGTGCTCGGGGACAAGGTCTTCTACTTAGTCGTCGTCGACAGAAAGCAAAGCCAAAGTTCTGGTGAACTCTCACAGCTTCCGGAAAGCACCGCTTACTTCAGGCACACCGTTTCTCTCCTCCCCAAAAACACGCTCGATTGTGCGAAGCGAATGGCGCTCGGACAGCAGAAGACCAAATTTTCAAGCTTTCTAAAGCATTGACGGTTGTGTGTGCGATCCCAGGCGACGACAAACAGTCCAGCAAGCGAACCGTCTCAGACCCGGGCCCCTTTACGCCCCCAAACACACATCGTTCTGAGGACATCACAGTAGATCACGAAGAAAATCGGCCCGCCTACATCTACTTCACATGGGTGGTGGAGTCCACGATCTGGATGCATTTGTGCAGTTTGATACTCACGTCTACGTCCTGATATCTGCTTCAACTGACCGAGCGTGCCATGACCTCAGGCCAAACGTTGCGCGTTCACTTTTCAGCACCATCCGCCGCAGGTGCGTAAGCCTGCGGTATGCTCCCGTATGGCAGCAACCTAACCATATGCCTCCTCTCGCCTTCGTCGAAATCCGGAATCGCCGTATGCGCCGCACTCCTCTATCACGAAGAAAGACCCAAGGACACCAGTTAGCAAAAAGAAGGAAAAGACGGGGGAAAAAAAGAGAGAGAGAGAGAGAGAGCGAGAGAGAGAGACAGAACGCCCCTTCCCCCCACATACCCTCCCCCCC